CAAGAACATTCAACAAGTCTTGTCAAACAGTGACTTCATTTTCTTTCCTGGAGAGCATGTGCAGTAAATACTATCGGTATAGACTGGAATAAGCAGACGCTAGAGATTACCATTCATATGAGATTTCCCATTAGAAATTACAGTAAAAACAGCAATCATTGAATGTAAATCAGTTTATATACATTCATATTACATTATTAAATCCGTTGCGACCCATTTGTGTCAATTTCTAGGTCCAGGGGCCTGTTTCACGAAATCTTAACTCAAGATAAAATCCAAATTTTAGTAGATACTTCAATTTTGATTGGCTAAGGACTAAAATCAATTTAATATTATCCAATCAAATTACTAAAATTTTGATTTTATCTTAGTTAAAATTTCGTGAAACAGGCCCCTGAATATTAGCGATTTAGTTCCGCCCAGTCCGATATAGCATGCGCACTCCATCTCGCGTGATCATACGTCACTTTCCATAATATGGCCTCCATGTCCATAATTATATGCTAATGACATTAGCGTGGTGTTGCGGGTGATGGGTACTAATTTCTCGCTCAAACGTGAACAAAATTTGATAATTGAATATCTGTTGTACAGATGTCGGATGTAATGGGCGCCTTGCCAACTGGATATGGCAAATCTATAACATTTGTTATAATCCCTGATAGTAGCCTAATTATCGAGCGTAGTGACACGGCCTTATAAGGGAAGCGGTGGGCGGGGTTAACGAGTCGCGGTATTTGGCGACATTTCATCTGGCTGTGTCATGGCGGCTTACATTAAAAGAAATGTCGCTTTGAAAATGTAGAACGCATTACCACAAAGAAAAACTTTTCGGTAACTATTTACTACATCTATACTATTAATCGTATTGTTACATTGTCCATAATAAATAAATCCCGATTCAATGTGTATGATTTACAGGTGATAATTTGAAAACATACAATAAATTCTACTTGCATAATTGTGATAATAGGTTATATACATCTTTTGTCATGAAATGTCTCCCTGCTAACTACCTACTGGATAATCGAATCCCTAATCCTGGTCCACCACACACAGTCTAGAAGGCGACAGGAGGCAATGTGGGATGGCGGCCTTTTTTGACGTTTTAGACTAACCCTGTTATTCTAATGCAGAGTATACAAGTCCGTTTTAGTGATGTAATATGAAGAAGACCCTTCTTGAATTGACCTGACTTTAAAGGAGCCGACCCATATCCCCATTCCTTTAATGAACCCGTGTGATGGAATCCACACTAGCTCTAGTCGGCTTCCTTTATGTACGACTATCTGATTTACTGATTTCAAAAACGAATTTTGTCTTAGTCCGAGTTATCAGGCTGGTCAGGGTGTCAGTCGGAAATACAAACTTTCTCGTCTTCTAATAGGACATCCACGACATTGCACAATGATGACCACCATCTCTTCAGTGTACACCGAACATCTATTGGACAGTTTCCTGATTACTGCCCCTTCCCGACCGAACTGGTTACCAGTGCCTTACTCACGGAGCCACTGTGGCTCGCGTATGCTAACACTTAAAGGACAATGTTGGTGTCCACCAATATTACAATTACATATATTATGTGATAGAACTAGTTAAACACATTCGACTGTGTATCTGTTATCGCTATGAACCTCAATCACGAAGCTACTGTTTTCTTTATTTTGTGACAATTACGGATTCTTCAAATCTTTGTTGCGGATCAGCCGTATGAAAAACCTGTTTTAAAATTTTATTTGGAATGTGTTTAACCAGTTTAACATACCTGGTATGTAATATTGGTGGACACCAAAATTGTCCTTTAAATTTTATAGACTTTAGTCGGCATCTAATACACAAAACAATACCTGGTCATGTTTAAAGTATTGGTGACACCATCTTGTTGCATTGTAGTCTCAACACCAACAAGGCTGAAGATATTATTTCCCAATACAGAATAGTGGCCCTTGGATACAAACGTCCAAAATAAACTCTATTACACACAATACACTATTTCACTGCCAATACCCCTTTAATTCGTTCATCCGCGTGTTATCACGTAAACGAAAATTTCAGTTTCATCACTTTCTTGCCCAATCGCGGTTACACCTACAGACAAAACGATAAAACTTGGGGACAGCTATTGTCTCTCTATTTATACTCTGATCTATGTAGTACAGTAGTCGAGTCTTAGATTTTCGAGTTGCTTTCCTATTTCCTTGTAGACTAAGATGTCCACGTCCTTGCTACCACGCGGTTGGGATCCGCCATTTTCTTTTTCAATCTTGAAAATGACCCTTCATATCTTTAGACGAGTGATGCGAATAATCGTTAAACTAACAACGCTTAGCGGAACACTGTATCGATATGCAAAGGTTTCATTTGCATCACCACCATACATACAATTATGTCGTATTCCCTTTAGTAATAACACATTTCGCCGTTGTATAAATGTAAACAATGTTTCGTAGGAAACTTTCGTGTCCGAATATCTGGTATGTCCTGGACCTTATGCTAATATCAATGAGCAAATTGTTAATTTTAAATACAAATTTTTAATTTTTTAATTTAAACAACTGCGGAATACGATTAATTCATATCAAAATACAAATGAGGTGTCATTTACGGGATTTGATAATATTAAAAAAAAGTCATGCATGAACTCTTTGATTCGAGCAACACTTCCCTTGAGCGGTAATTCGACACAGGTAAATAAAAATGCAGTAAATACTTTTTGACTTATACTATCACAATTATCCTTACATCACGTGGTAATTCGTCATATTATAGACTATTGTACGTGCTTCATTTGCAAGAACTGTCACATCTTTTAATATCAACATTATTCATATGGACCGTTCTGTAAATTGATGAAAACAGAACTGTCAAAATCTAAGCTATCGTGGCTGCCGTTGTCAAGTGTTGGTAAATGTTAGCAAAAAGGCTTGTTTCTAAATTCTGGATAGATTATTATTCATTTATGTTAGAATAATAATCATTTTGAGGGTCTGATATAGAATTTGTTACCTAGATATAATTTTTGTGGGACAAATTCATTTCTATGGAGTACCATTTGAAACACATCATATTTTCCAATTACTCATTCAGCTGGACCTTTCCACATTCAATAGTGGACTATTAGTGTACAATCTAAGATTAAACAATGTGTTGAGTGTGAATAAATATTGAATAAAATTTATAACAAATTATTTTACTGTAAAACTCAGTAAAAATGTTCAATGTTTAATTGTCAGTACATCTTTATGCTTCCTGGCACAAAGTTTCAAAGGGTGAATTAAGAAGTAATACAAATGATAACAATGTGTATTCATTATAAAAAATTGCTGAAAACCAAAAGCAGTTTCAAGGAAATCGTGATGCAGTATTTACAATTTTCCATACAGACTCGAAACATTTAATCCAAGTGATGTTTATGATGGTACTCCATACAAAAAGTCTGAAAGTAGTCCCTTGAAAAAAAATGGAGGATATTTAAAAGAAATTTTTTTTTAATTTATAGACGTGGTGTGCTAAAACAAAGATAGTTTTCAAAATTTGAAGTCTTGATGGTTGTAGTGTATATATTCAAGTATCTCTGTGAAACTTTGTGATTTCCCATGTTGAGTTGTTTACCCTGTAGCTGTGCAGTGCTGAATGGTATATTTGATTCATATTTTCCAAAGTTACAAATTCCAAAGTCATTATTTTAGATTTTCACCCTTTTTTATTGTTCAGTATCACCTCAAGCACGTTTAGACACCAAAATAAAGGCACTAAAGGTGTTGTGAATGATTTTTTGAGGATCCCCCATTTCAGGTACGTGTTGTGACAATTTTTGTCACTTTACCTTGCCCTTAAGATATTGACGTATAAGCAGTTTATGGTATAAACTATGTAAATAGATAATGAATCAAATATAGTTTGGAATTCCCAGATTTATTTACTTTTCAAAAACGTGTCCCTTCGACGTTAATCGATCCGCGAAATCCAATTAAAAATCACGGATATTGCATGACAGGTGTGGCGGGTTCTTTGATTGTCTACAAATAAACTTGATTATCCAATCAAAAAATCTGAGCCCAAATCCAATACAAACTAATCTTGTTTTTACTTAAATGTATACTATTATATCATATTCATTGTATTGGACGTTAAATCTTTAATAAACAACAACATTGCAACGTATATACATAACATCCTACTTTTGAGCACCGACTGCGCTATAATGAAGTCAGGCTCACTGCAGGGTGCTATGAGGAACAATATGTCCAGACAGCGGCGGTATGGCCTACACTATTTCGATTTCCATTTGTCGCGGTTTTATTTTTAGGTAGACCTACACCCAAATGTGTAAGGGGACTCGGATTTACGTCCCATCCGAATGCTAAATAACTAAGAAAGGAAAACTTTTCGACTCACTCAAACTCTTTGTTTAGAAAGAAGTTTAGTGTGCTAATAATAAGGTGGCGCCATTGATCTTCTTTTCTAATGGGGAAACCATGAGATGGATATGTATAGATGATTATGTGAGTAATCTCGTCAGATCGTTGATTTTGATTTATAAAATAAATTTTGATATTTACGTTTCCTTTTATACCGGTACCAAATATGAAAGAACCCGAAATATTTTTGCTGCGCACGCCCAGTGCGCCTGGCTGAAAACCACGAGTGTGGTTGATAATTTTGATAAAGTTAACTGAGTCGATGGTAATTCAAAATTCTTCTGTATGACGCTTTAGGCATAAAACGAGATCGTGGTGTTTTAAATGTTATCTCTTTGTTTCCTTCTAAAATCTACACTCATCGACCCCCGTTATTATTAAAGGATCAGCAACATCTATTAGTTTAGTGTATATTAAAACGATTTTAGGATAAAATAAAAAATATCAATCTTTCGGATCGTTTTATAAAGTGGTGTCCAATATCATAAAATCCTCAGCTTTAATAGTGCGCGTGCTCAGTGTCATGTTCATTTAATATTCGATAACATCCTGGTTGTGTACGCAGTTCACTTCCGATTTAGACGTTTGACAACTCAGCACACGTTGAATGGCACTGACAGTTTCTGTATAAATTAATACACATTTTCGATAAACAACTGTAAATCATTTAAATGGCTAGTCCTAGGACAAGACGTATCTTAAAAGAACTGAAAATAAAAACCGATAACAATAGATGTTTCGAATGTGGGGGCCATAATCCCCAATGGGTAAGTGTGAATTATGGAATATGGATCTGCCTGGAGTGTTCAGGAAAGCACAGGGGTTTGGGAGTTCATTTAAGTTTTGTGAGATCAGTGTCTATGGATAAATGGAAAGATACAGAATTGAAGAAAATGGAAGTGGGTGGTAACAAAGAGGCTAGAGAATTTTTTGAGTCACAGTCGGATTACAAAAGTGATATGAGTCTAAAGGACAAATACGACACACGAGCCGCAGCTTTGTACAGAGATAAGATTTCTTGTATGGCTGAAGGAAAACCGTGGTCTATTGAAATGTCCTCAGCTAAAAATTACACAGCCCCAAAACCAATGTACAAGATTAATGACAGCTTTGATATAGACACCAATCGTGATGACCAATTTGAAGACGACTTTGGAAAAAGCCATCTTACACCTAGTCAGGGTGGTAAATATATCGGGTTTGGAAGTGCACCTGTAGAAAAAGAGAAAAACGATGTATTTGAGAATGCTTTTGGGTCTTTATCTTCAAGATTTTCTAGTCTAGCAACCGGAGCTTCCAAATTTGCGTCAACTGCTTCTGAAAGAGTTTCTGTATTTGCTGATGTGGCGACCAAAAAGACAAAAGAGATTAGTCAATCGCTCAATCAGACTGTTGTGAAACCTGCAAAAGATAAAATCGGAACAGCAAGTTATTCGGGATGGAATAGTTTATCAATGTTCTGGAATGATAAAGTGGTAAACGCGGGAAGCCACACTGAAAGAGATACATTAATAAATTCTAATAGTACCGGTAGTAACAAACAACAAGATACAGACAGTGACAAGAAGCAAGATTCATTACTTGACACTGAAGAAGATAAATGGGGCGACAACTGGGAAAATGATTGGCACAGCAATAGCAGTAGTGGAGGGAAATCTTCAACAAACGAAGTAAATGACGATGAAGCCTTCGAAGCATGGTTGAATGATGAAAAGCCATCGGCAAAGCTGAGTCACAATAATACTGGTTATGTGGGAAAAAATAAATCAAAGCAATCCAATGATGATTATAATTTGGTTGATTTTTCGGACAGTCCAAAAGATGGAATATTGAAGAATGACTTTGATAGGGATAATGAACAGGGTGGTAATTTTAATGAAGTGTGGGCCAAAGATGACAGTGATGACGATAATTGGAAAGCCTTTTGATGCAGACATAAATTATAAGCTTATTAATTTTAGGTGGTTATATGATTTGTAACCAAATATATCAAACTACGCTGGTCGGGTATTTCAATTGCTGATAAATTTTGTGTATATTAGATGCTGAGACTGTGATGCTCATTTTATGTTGTTTATATGTTGTTTACAATGAACTGGTGATGAAGCACTATTACAATTATATTACAAAATGTACATCCTACTATTTCCATTGGTATTTTAATGATCGTTTCTTGTAAATTTACATCTCTACTAATTAGAAATTATTGATTTTTTAAATATGAATGTGGTATGGTGTTGATTATAGATTTTGAAAAATCTATTCTGTCAGTAGGAATTATAAAAATAAGTGGGGGGTTGGATGGCCGAATGGTTAGCGCATGCATGCTGAATCATAATGTCTTTCATTGAGTCAACTGACCGCAAGGTTTCGATTCCCCAGTTGTACGTGACAAGAAGTAGGGTCGCCTGTCCAACCCCATGGGTTTTCTCTGGGTTCTACAGTTTCCTCCCACTGCTAAAGATCCCTAGCGCAAGTCAATTGTTGAAATAAAGTTGAACCATATGTTAGTCCCAAAATGACCTAGTTTGTGTCAAGTGGGCGTTAACCCCATTTCTCTCTCGATAAAAATGAGTAAAAGTGCTGTCGATAAAAATGAGTAAAAGTGCTGTCTATGTCTTATGTGTCAAAATTGTGTTGTCACTACAGAGATTAATGTCGCTAAATGCCAAAAATTAGGAAATGTTTGAAATTTTATTACTACAGTGCTAGAGATTGTTTTGAAAAGCCATACTATATGTGTTGTATTAATGATACACGCTGGTTACATTACGTGTATTGATAATACTTTTATATAAAACATGGATACACTCAGTGCAGTATATTTACTGTTAGGAATACACCTGTAATACACAGTATAAGATATATTTATTGGGAGATGCAATTGTATTGCACGGAAGATTCGTGTATTATTTGGAGGTATACATTAGTATTTTACAGGAGACCGATGTATATTCCCAATGAGTTATTGAGAAATACTCTTGTAATACCCAATCAAGTGGATACCCATGTGTATTAACTGTGAGTTATTAGTAGTACCTTGGTGTTTAAAGTCTGCTTCAACAATAGAGTTATTGATAGAACTGTTGTTATATATCCAATAGATCATCTATATCGACTGTGATTAATAGGGAGTAATAAATGACATAGTAATATACAGTAGACCCCTTACATTGACTGGGAGTTATGGGGGAGTACTCTTGTAATATACATAGATATGTATATTGGCTGTGAGTTATACTTATAGGGGTAGTACACTTCTAATATACAGTAGACTGTGAGTTATAGGGGGAATACCCTTATAAGATACAGTAGATTGACATCTAAACACTATTCCGCCAAAAACAGACACCAAACCTACAGAGTGGGATAGTGGAGTAAGGGGAGGTCACGATAAGACGGGCCTAGCACCTAAACACAAACCCCTCAAAGATGACATCTACCAAACTAGCAGGATAGTGGAGTAAGGGGGAGTTACGATCAGACGAACTCGGCACCTAAACACTATTCTGCAAATAAAAACTAACACCAAGCCCAAAGAGTGGGATCGTGGAGTAAGGGGAGGCCACGACAAGACGGGCCTGGCACCTAAACACTAACCCCAAACGATGACATCTACCAATCCAGAAGCAGACGAAATCATCCATCAAACGATATGTTTTATATTAAATAAAGGGAAGAACTTCCCACTAAACCAAATCCATGGCCTAATGCCAAATGGAAAGATTGCAAAATCATATTCTAAAAACAGGAATCAGCTAAATTCGGCTCTCCTATGTCTTGTCTGCGATATCACTTATGTGGAAGCAGACGTTAAACACCAAGAACTACTACTACTACTGTGAGTAACTGGTGAATACACTTATATTTGTATATTGAACAAGTTAGAATAATGTTGTTTTGTAAGTTGTATTTACTGTGTTTCATTGGACTAGAGTATTTTTATTATATATATAGTGTAGCAGATATCGTCCACTGAAATCAACTGTTCTAAATTGAGTAGCCTGTACATGATGTGAAATGCAAAATATTATCCTATTTAAAATAGAACCAAATAAATCCATCTTAAAGGGTATTCAAATTCTATGTCCATAGATAAAAAGTGACGAACTGGTATACATGGACTTTATTAGTGAAATGTACCAAATTAGCTGGCATTCCCATAACATAATCCCATTCATATGGTCATATAATATTGGAAGATGAGTTATTGAGCATGATGCTAATTTACAAAAAAAGGGTAGCATGTGTTATCATATAAGATGATATTAATTAGGCTTAGTCACTCACTGTAAATATGGAATTTTATGTCTATATAGATAATTTTGAATTGTCAATGGTTGACAAATATATGTCATGAAATAAATAATGCATATTGATATTACCAAGCATGAAATTAAAACGAACAGAAATCATTCACAATATTAGTATTTCTTTATGTAGACTAAGGGTGGCCAGCCTATGGCACAAGTGGCTCATTGGACGATTTCATGTTGCATATTTTACCAAGGGCCACATTTTGATGATGAGAGGCACAAGGGTATTCCACTTATGAGACTCCTTTCAATTCCCCACCTTCACGACTAAGGGAAGATGAAAGTGTGCTTCAACACAATTGATCAAAGCCAAGGATGATTTTGAATGTTTTAAGACTACAGTGCGTGTAAGAAAGGCTTATAACAATTCTTAAGAATATTGTACACCTTGGTCAGAGGCCCCTAGATCTTGATGCCTATAGGTAAGTCTGGCACTGAATGCAGTTAGTGCACCTCATAATAATAATGGTCTAATTAATAACAAATATGATTCCAAATCTCAACAGCTTGGGCAAATCAAAACAGAATCAAAAGCTAAATACAATGTAAAGTTTCTATCTCCCTTAACATTTTTTCTCAGGGTGGTGGGGTTTGGATGGCCGAATGGTTGGCTTGTGCGCGCTGCACCATACGGTCTGTCATTGAGTCAACTGGCATGGTTTTGATTCCCAAGTTGTACGTGACAAGGAGTATGGTCGTCTGTCCAAACTCGTGGGTTTTCTTTGTGTCCTACACGCAAGCGAATTATTGAAATAAAATTGAACCATGTGTTAGTCCCAAAATGACCCAGTTTGTGTTACGTGGATGTTAAACCCCATCTCTCTCTCTCCTTTTTCTCAGTTGAAAGTTAAATGGCACATCTGAAGCACACAGGTAATATTTAGCACAGAATGTTGAAGGTTGACCACCCCTTATGTACTACAGTAACTTTATCTTTTGTTTTAATCATATGAGCATTTATTAATGTTAATATAAATTATTGTAAATCTATTAGGCCTGCCAGTATTTGAAATGGGTACTTACCTTGGATATCTGTTTTATGCTATATTTGTAAATTACAATTCAAGCATTACATAATTGTTAATTCATATATTGTTAACTTTTGACATGGCTGCATAGGTAGATATATTAATGTTCAGCTGTTGTATTTATTGGAGCCATTATGATGCTTACATACATGTGAAATTTGTTATATTATAGGCTCATTGAGTTCATTTCACATATTAAATGTCTTTGTGTCCTGGATTAAAAAATCGTTTTTGTGCTCATACTTAAAATCTACCATTCATTTATCAAATATTGTATTTATCTTTACTTCCCATCCAACATTCAGTACTAAAATTGCTGACATATCACCATAGGCGTACGAGCTGGGGGGGCGGCTGCTGGGAAAATTTGGGCACACAGTTGTATAAAAAAATATTGTGTTCTTGAATGTGTCCAATCTAACAGCAAATTTATTATTATTATGTAACATACTAAGAACCTAACTACATTTTTTGGGCACCAAAAACCACCGCCCCCCCCCCCCAATCAAAAATTTCCCCATACGCCTATGCATATCACACCAACAAAATCGCATCGTGTGAATCTCGATTGAGGTAACTTTGCGAGAAATATTGCCATGGTATGTTGGAAAGGTAGTAAATATGAGAATTTTTCATAAATAGATTATAGATTTAGAATCATAAAGGTGTTATGATTTGTAGTCCATGACACAAAGATATGAAGCATCTTCTCAATTGTCCAGCACATTTAGTACAACATAGTGGCCCATGAAGCCAAGTTGAAGGCAACAGAGCTTTAATGGTTCCTGAACAATTTTGCACATGATTTTGATGATCTGTGCCACACCCACATCAGAACAAAGCGGAGGGGGCGTGGCATGCCATGGTATACTAAGTATGTTGTAGTGATGATGTGAAGATGTATTTTTAAACCCATTGTAAATACTCCATATAATTATTATAGATTCGGGATGTAGATAAGAGTTGGACTTACAATAACCCCCTCTCTTTGATCTGCATCAAAATTTAACATTTATGGCCAAAACATCCATAAGCCAAAAATGGAAGTAAAAATTAGTGAATAAACTATTTCCTACCATGATGTACAGTCCCAAATAGCTAGAAAGTTTATGGCATTTTAATCACATTCCACCTGCTATGAACACCCCCACCATATATTTAGTTGAATTTGTTGTATATGTAATATTGTCACTGTTGTACTATTTTAAACCAGGCTTATGGGAATATCTTGACACAGTATGATAGTAAACTCCCATTTCCAGTTCATTTTGGCGCAAGAGTACTGTGTGACTTTAATAATCTCAATAATTAAGTGTGGTATTAATAAAGCTAGTTTGCATCAATTATTAGAACTAATATAATTATTAGACAAAATAATGCTTGTCATCCCTACACATGGTCACACTCAACTTAGCTTCTAGTAATTGTAACAGGCCAATGTTACAATAACATACAAGTCTAATATTGGTCACTAAGGTACAACACGCCAGATCATTCAAAGGTATTATATCCTCAAAGTCAAAATATATACTATTTTAATGTTAAATCTATTATAATGTAATTAAGCACTTCTGAGTATAAGACCTTCATGTAGAATGAGCTGGCTTAGGCAAAAAAAATTTTCTTTATAAAGATGGTGTTGTGAAACAATAATATGTTATAATTAATTGATTGGAATACATTTTGGACTAATACGTTTTTTTTCTAAAAAAGTACTTCAGTTGTGTAAACTCTCTTTCTCTTGAAAGTAAATATAGAAATCCAGATTTGAATACTACGATTAATCAAACATACGCTTTGATTCTTTATCCTGGTCATACTGTGTGAATATATCCAAGGAGATGGTTTATTACCATAAATGTTTAACCAAAATAAAAGCATATTTACTACGTTTCTGTCTTTTTGTATTATGGCACTGTCCATCTGCCTGGAAACTAGCTTTTCTTCAACTTTTTACAATGTAACTCCTATTTGTGAAGGATGTGGTCTAAAGATATGTGCTGTAGTTCATAATCCCTGTTATCTGGGCAAGTCATGGGTTTTTGTACCTCTCAAGGTCTTAAACTGGTGATCCTTATGCCCACCCTATACTCAAGCTAATTATTGAAATAAAAAATGATAACAAATTACTAGTGTCGAGGAGATATTAAACCCATTGTTCTCATAAATATTTCTGCAAATTATTCAGTGTTTAACTTTGACATTCTGTGTGGTGGATTTCAGAAAACAAACTACAAAACATACCATATTTATTTTCAGTTTTATAAAATACAACACAATATTATAGTGACATTATAGTCTATTAAATATTTAAAGTTTGTCTTATACATCGTAAAAAAAACTTATATATTGCATCATTATTTTCATTTTCTAAAACATCAAGAACAGGAAGTAATTCTGTAGTATCATAAGGCACATCTTTAAATCTATTTACTATGTGTGTGAGGTCCATTTCATTTAGTTTCAGAGAAAACTCTATATTATATATTAAACCTTTTTGTATTTCAATCACTATTTCAGTATGAATAACCTTTGAGTCAATTTCTATCTGGAAGGCCCGACTAATTTCAAAATTTGGAGTTTTGGCATAAATCCATTTAAAAGTTTTTAAATCGTTTAAAATCTTGTTGTACCCTGGATAGCTATCTTCTGTTGGGTTAACAAATTCTTTTCTTTTCACCTACAATATAAAATATAATAAATTACTTTAGCTGGGTTAAATTAATATCTTTTAAGATATCAACATTTATCTACAGAAAATGCATTAGTATATAATAGTAATACTAATAGACTATGGAGGACAACTCTCCAACAAAAAAACCATTACTTCAATACAGCACATTCAATGTCAGTTTTTCATACCATCCGAATGACTGGGCACCTTTACTTCCCCGCCAGGACCTCTGTCCTGCACCACTGATAATGGGAATTCAAAGCTAGGTTGGAAAATCATGGGGAACCTCCACGACAACACCGGGATCGAATCCAGGACATACAGTTATAAGCCATTGCCATACTCACTGAGCGTTGTGTGTAGGACTGTTCAATATAATTATACTCAAAATGTATTATTAGCACGTTAATATTTGTAAATCATATAAATGGATAAAAAAATCCATATTTTTGTAAAACATCTGCCACTGAACTATACATGTACCAGTACTAACCAAATCATTTTGTAAAAACTTGTTGCTAATAACATCTGTTAAATTTTCATAATTTATATCTTCATTAACATCTTGTAGATTCATTATATGGGACGGAACACTCTCAGTTGCTCTTGTTTTTACTCCAACCTACAGAAACAACAAATATTAAATTTAAGACCTGTATATTTGCTTATTATTTCAGTTCATCCGAGATGAGTACCAGGTTGATCCATTAGCAACAACCAGGTTTTTAGTGTTAGTCATATCTGGCTGTCCTATGAAATTATTGAAAATATAAGTATAAATACAGGAAAGGAAAGGATTTTAACGTCTTTCAACACAATACTTTGACCATTTTGAGACTGGCATACAGTTATTATTTTTCATTGATGATGTGTTTCATTTTGACTACACTTCGTCTAATGTCACAGGTGGAGCTTTGTTTTTTGTTCAGTCCAAATGACTAAGCAACACTTTATATGTCAGCCCTGCACACACTCCCACCTAACATGTGAGAATCGGTCTTGAAAAATCCAGAGAATCATGCTGGGATTCAAAAGCGGGACAGTCTAGTTGAGAGTTCATTACCCTTGCCCCTCAACTACCACAGCCTAATTATAAACACATGGACTATGATATATATATTGCAAGGTTATGTAGGGGTATGAGCCAGGGGGGGGGGGGGCAACTGCCCCCCCCTAACTTTTGGGCAATCTGACTTTTCGGGCAAAGTGAAAACAAAAAATAATTATTTCACCTAGTTGGCAAAACAACTTTTTTCGGGCATTTTGAGCCCCCCCCCCTCTAACAGTCATCGAGCCCGTACACCTAGGCAAGGTTGGTATCTTGCACTGACAGATGCCTAGAACATAATTTTGCTGCCTAATGTACACCCATTCTGTTTCTTTAAAAATAAATGAAAATAGAGATATTAAGTGTGCAAATTACATTTTAAGATATGTAGAGATATTTCTTAGAAAGTGATTTTCTATCAGTCAGAGAGAATGTGGGTGTATGGTGTGCCTATGAAAATATGCCAGGATTGTTAAGCAATTAAAGGTAAATGCTTTGTTAAGATCATCCGGCCACCCATCGTGACTTAGAAGGAACTTAACGTACCAATGGAGACTGTAGTAGATTGTGTAATTTGTTCTTGTTTACATTTATCAATAGAGTAAAATGATGATATGATCTCTCGCCTCCCAACTTAGCTGCAGTACCTGAAATCTATAAGAGACAATGGTTTAAAGTTTTATATTTTCAGTCATCCACAGATGTTTTTTTTTCCTCAAATACTAAGTTTACTAATATATGGAATGTTTATTTTTAACTGCAAAGATTATAAACATGTGGTTAATGTTAATTAAAGATGGGTTCCCAGAAATGTATTTATCAGGTGGTTATTTCCAATAAAAGTATGGCAATTTTGGTATATATGGAAAGTAGAGATATCCAATCTTACTAGAAAAATACTGGATTCCCCGAAAAACACTCATGGAGCGTATACAGGACAAAAATGTAAGGGTTCCCTTAATCGACAGCCGGACGATTAGGAATTTCTGCACGCATGATGTCAAAGGTCACACACGAACATTGAGCGCTTGATGTACAAGTTGATAAAATTTATGAAGAGTTAGACGTACAACACTTTCTGAGATAAAAGTGACGGAATAAGACGCGGGTAGTGGATAATCCGAGAATTTAATTATGATTCAATATTTGTAATAAATAGTAAGCGATTAAAGACAACATCGTCTTATGTATGCAATGAATTCTCCTCTGACTTCCAAGAGAGGTAAGTCACGTGACGTAAACATGACCTGGTTTGATCGAATTTTTATAGCAGGGCATTCCTTCGCAATTACAATGTTTGAGAAGGATTTGAAGCAAAATTATGACAAATTAATTAGTTTGAATATGTTTTTAGTCCATATATACCATTAAATCACCCAGTTTGTATGCGGGAACCAATCTTTAAGTTAATTATATACTAGATTACAGCATTTCCTTACTTTTAATTACACAGATTACACATGTAAGGACAGAATAGAATATTGTGCCAGCATTCCACCATGGTGAATTCCAACCTTCAATTGATCTTTCGGTGTTCCATCGAAACAATTATATATGGATGCTTTGTCTTCAGTCAGTTTTAACAGAATCGTTCCCATATGTGTGACTAGAACTGGGAAATCTGAGGAAGTCAGCCTCCGAGAATCTTACAAGGTGTTTTTTGGCCGCTTTACATATTTGATTCATCACCATTATTAACATAGATTCAATTTCTCAATTTAACTTGGTAATGAGTCAAATCTGATTAATGCTGTGGGTTATCTCCAACTACTTAACGATTTTACATGCAACCAAAAATACATTTAACATGTTTTACATTGCCTAAAATGACCTGCTACAACCTAAATACTCTTACATGTATCTTATTGCACTAACCTTATATAGGCCATTTAGCACTATATCCTCCCTTTTATTAATAGACAAATCTATATCCCAATATGACGTCAAAGCATCCACCACCAGTTCTAAATTAGATTTACGATTATATAACTTTCTGGATGTTAAAAAACAACAATTTAAATTTCCTTCATCGTGAAAAACTGTTCCACCACCACTATTTCTTCGAGCTAGATCTACTTTTTGTTTTAATACACTAGTAACGTCACATTCAAGCCATGGATTTTGATGTCGTCCCACCACTACTGCAGGTGTGTTTCTCCACATAAATAAATAGTTCCTGTTGTTCAAGTCTGCATGTTTATATAACCAGTCTTCTAAAGCTAAATTTTCAAAAATATTTCTGGACTTCGAAATGATAACCTCCTTTTCCCGACATTTTGTAGAATATAATACACATTTTGGTTGAACTTTTGTTAATGCCAGCAATTTCCTGAAGTTGATAAATTGTTTCAGATGGCACATGCTGATGGCTAGATGAATGTCTCATAATCTGTACACTTGCCTAAAACAATAAAAATAGAATTTACTAACAAAATAGATAGGTATTGTAACCTGTACTAAAAAAATAAATGTTTTCAATTTTACAACATTCAAATAGTAAAGATGCAAATAAATTGTTGAACAGCAACCAATATTACTAAATAACAGAATCTATCCCCCACATATTATACTGGATCAAACAGGACCTAGGGTTTAGTTAAGATTTTAGAATATATTAGTGGACAGCTTCTGATATGATCCCTTCCAGATGTCAGTAAATGAATTTGTTCCTGACAAGATCACAACCCATCACAGATGACAGGTAGAAAGTATTACTGGTATCTCGAGCAGAGTTAATAAGGTTGTGAAGAATCCTAAAATCACCCCATCTTTCCAGGGCTTGGAAAGTCTAAAAAAAAAAAATGAGGCCTTACTTGCCAGAACATAACTGACTAAGATCTTACCTATTATACAGTCTAATATCAATGGATAGAAAACAGAAGATTTGATGTGATTAGAACTGGTTTGACAATGTTAGTCGAATGTAAATGCAGTGGTTTCAACCAATCAACACCTCAATCGATTATTACATGAGGGAAATTGTTAATTAACACCTAACCATTAACCTGAGCTGCAAATCAAAACAAAGTAGGCCTAGATGTCTTAAATATTGAAGATATAGTTATAAAATAAGCACGAAACACGGTTGAAAGGATAGTGTTAGTACATTTAAATCACAATAGATCAAGCAAAGTTGAAAGTATTTGGGAAAATTGCTACTATGTGAACAGGATTGTGATACAGTCGCAAGATTGTTTTTCTATTCTAGATCTAGTGCCAGGCCTACAGCAGGGGCGGATCCAGGATTTTGTGAAACAGGGGGGGGGGTGGTGGTGCTGTCCCCACTTGGGAGTGCAAAGCCATGCCCTCAGTGGGTGGATCGACTGACGGGCAATCAACAAAGTCATCAACCGGCTCGTTTCGGAGTAAATTACGACAGGGATCACTACCATTTTTATGTATTTTTGTTCTCCTTTCCCGTGAGAATATCTGGGGCAAAAAATTGTTCTCTACTGAAAAAAATTGGGAGAGCGTGCGCCAGGTGCGCCCCCCCCCCCCAGATCCGGGCCTGTACAGGTACCCTGCCATGACATACCTGATACATTACATTATAGTTAAGTTATACATCTGTCTATTATCTATATCATATAGTATATAGGCCTAGCAATGTATGTCAGAATGCAGTTTTAAATTAAATAAATTTTATTAGATAAGTAAATTCTTTTTTTGTTATCAACTGAAGAATCTGATTCACTGTAGGTTTAAATTTAGTCTCATGAAAACACGTTAAACTCTTACATCTGTGAATGCAATTCATTTCTTTAAGTTCGTCTGCTACGCAATATTATGGATTGGGATGGAACGAAAGTAAAAATCAATAATTTGATTTTAAATAATATTAGATGACATACTTTCTAAAAAATTATTAAAAAATTATTTTCTCAAACTTTCAGCATCAGTTTATTTTCAAAGCTGTATGTGTCTTATGAAACAAATTAAACATAAATATTTCGTTTCAGAACATATTGAACATATTCATAATCCATAATTTGTAGGTTCAAGATGGCAGCCTCCATGGACGCATATGAGAAATGGTTATGTGACAAATTATTAGAATTAAACCCAGATACAGATACAGAAGTCTTTGTTACTTATATTATTGGAATCCTTGAGAGTGAATCTGATGAAGAGGAACAAAAGGAGTCACTTGCTGAGTTCCTCACAAGCTTAATTGTAATTTTGTTCTTCATTCAAAATCAAATTTCAATGTATGACAGACAACACAATATGTTTCTTCTTTCTGTAATACTTTGTCTTTGATTGTAATAATTCCAAAGTTCACGATGCAACAAGTGAACAACTTTTGCCCTCGGCCCAGACTGCATTCTCATGATTCTGATGTCACCAGTCTATTTTTCACACATTTTTGTAGAATATTGTGCCTGATGTAGGTATAGGTCGGTCGGTAATAGGGAATATAAATTTCAGTTCACTGGTTGAATCATTACTGAGAGAATTGATAGGTTCACTTGTGATCCCATTTCGAGTTTAATTCAAATCATGTATGAATTTTGCATCTGTATAGCCTATTCTGATGTGGATCTGTGCACTAGAAAAATTATCATATGGAATACAGTATAGACCTTGGTCATGTCACTAATCGAAATAACATATCAGATACCCAGTTCAATACTTTGTCTTAAATCAAAGAGGTTCAGCTTCTTTATGAGAGCTGTAACAGGGGGACAGACAAGTCAGCCACATAGGTTAAATAGGTGCTAATTGTTTAGGGTTAAAAAAACTTCAATTTCAGACATGACCAAACATTTGTCAAAGTCAAAACATGTTTTTATTTTTTCCTGGATGTACATGTAACATACATGTTTGATATTAACAGAATTGCATATGGAGTGAAATAGGTGGACAAATTCTGAAATCAAATCGCTCAAATATTGGCCAAAAATAGTTAAATAGAAACCCCTCCTGAAATTTCGAAAATGCTAGGAACTGTTACACCAACTCCCTTTTCTTTCTTCAGGAAACTGGATGTGAAGAAGCTAGTTTAGACATTTTTAAAAAATGGACAGAATTTCAGAAACATAAAGAAAATGAGGCCAGCAATACAACTAAAATAGATACAGCAGGTTACAAAAAGTTATTATTTTGATACTAATGTAACATGAAAGCTATTTTAAAAATTAATATACAGTACTTCTCATGACCCGAAAAATATAAAATGAAATGTGCCTTTAACTCTATAAGAGTATACATGTATGTTAACTAATAAATAAAAGAAAGGGAAGAACTAACTGATTTTAATTACTGGTAGACAGATCAGCACATTGTATATGGTTTTAGGCACTATGAATGTATTTACTGATATTACCATACATATTTGCATTTTTTATATGCCCACATTTTCATGTGGATGTATATTGTCGTTGCCCCTGTCTGTGTGTCCGTCCGTTCACATTTTGTTTGTGGACACTCTACAGGTCACAATTCTTATCTGATTTAAACGAAACTTGAATTATAGGTGTATCTCCTAAAGATCTCGGTTCCTTTGTCAAAATTGGCATGTATTGGACCATAACTTCCTGGATTATGGCACCTGGTGATATGAAAAATCGCGTTTTTAGCTTTTAGTCCCTCTAGAGGTTACAATTTTTATCCGCTTTAGAAAAAACGTTTAAATATATCACTGTTTCACCATAATGAGTGTTGAGTTCGAATTTCGTGAAAATCAGACCTAAACTGCCAGACAAAATGGCCACTCCTCAAACGCAAATAGTGTAAAAGTATGTTATATCAAGGTTGTCGACCCTCTAGAGGTCACAATTTTAATCTGATTTTGATGAAACTTTAAATTTATATTTATATCACAAAGATCTCGGTTACTTTCGATCACCACACACATTGGAATGTAACTTTCTGGATTATAGCCCCTGATTGTTCGAAAAATCACATTTTTAGCTTGTGGACCCGCTAGAAGTCACAATTTGGATTCAATTTTAAAAAACGTTTAAATATATCACCTTTACACCTCAATGATGGCTATATGTCTATAAATATATGTTTATATCCAAAAGATCTCGGTTCCTTTCGATATTCATGCATATCGGACCATAACTTGATTATGGCCCTGATTATACAAAAAAAATCACGTTTTTGTTTATCTTGTTCTCTATCCATCTCCAGCAGAATTTGGGCATATCTTGCCTGGCAACCACTGGTTAGGAGATGTAATCGGGCGGATAGGACTCAATCTATCTTCCATTATTTGTCAAGTGTGGCTCCTCCTACTTGTCATCAGTATTATGTTTAGTCTTGCATAGTAATATTTTCTTTTTCAGAAAAATTAGCCGAAATATTTGAAAAACAGAAACTTGAAGTTTCGAAAGTCAAAACTAAAACTGCTGCACAGAAAGCCACAAAAGAGGCCATTTTAAACCAGTATTCTATGGTACCTAGCGGCTCAGAAACGTATCTTTTTCTTAATGGGTGACATATTCTAATGCGGATTATTACCCACATAAAAATAAATCATATGTTCAAAAGATTTGAGCATATATTACTTTGATGTGAGATTGTGATACACCACAGTTTTTGCTTGAATTTTCAGAGTGTGTGACATGTAGTGCCTATAGCGTTGACCATGGTGTCATAAACTAACTACGGACGTATGAGGCAGATGACAATAGAAATGTGTTATTAGATAATGTTTTTTTAAGGTAAAATTAACAAATTTTGAGTAAAAGGCAATTTAATTTGGGCAGAAATTTTTATCTGCAAATTAGGACATAATTCTCAGTATAATTTTTATAGAATTGTCCAAACTGTTCTTGTAGTTCGTTCAGAATTTGTTTTATTAGGGTAATCACAGAGTTATCTCCCATTTGTAGATCTGCCCATGTTTTACGAATAGTTTTCAGCCAGTATTTCAATTTCATCCTTTTGTTTCCCAAAAGTACTGGAAATGATGATTTTAGGTGCACCTGGCAAAATTTAAGACACTACTGAACTGGTATCTGACATTTTGTAATTTATGCCAGACATGTATTAATATCAATAAAAACACTGCCCCCCCCCCCCCCCAACCTACCCAAACATATACTTGCCAAAGTGATGGGCACCAGAAGGACTGTGTATGACAAAAACTGAATTTCTGTCTGAAAATGTCTGTGACATCTTTAATATATTGTTTACTCCTTAATCTATATAAAGTGATGACTCAGATGAAGAAATAGCTCCTGCTCCTACTAAGGGAGGCAAACACATAACCAATGTAGATGACTGTATCCTTTTGCAAACAAGATAATTACTGTATTTTTTATGTAATATTTTACTTGTGTAACTCATTGTAAAACTATAAGATATCAAATTATTGCATTTTCAAAGGAAGTCGAATTAAAAGCAAACCACTCTAAGATGAGTTGCTTCTTGTAATCTTAGCATCAGGACTGGGGTATGGTAATCATTACATTTTTTTAGTAGTGGCCATGTAATGAGTAAGGGAAAATTTCAAAAGTAATGAGTAATGTAAAAAATTCCCCAAATCATGTAATGGTTAATTACATTTCAATATCTTTACGATTACATTTTATGGCACATATAAATATTTCCAATATGACAAGTTTGATTTTGTAGGCGTTTCATGGCAGAAAAATAAGGTTGTCTTTTTAATTTTGATGAAAAATGTTTTTTATTTATATATGGTAGTCATAAAGTAATGGGTAATGGTAATTAATTGTTTTCAATGCAATGGTAATTAATTGCATTGCTAAAAATGAGAAAGTTATTGTAATGATTACATTTAAAAATTAATGGTTATGCAAATAATTACATTGGCGTTGTAATGGCCCCAGCCCTGAAGAAATTTACCAGTAACATCTTTGTTATGCTATCAACAACATTGATTACCCTGGTTACTAATCAGTCTATCATCTGATTAATCACTGCTGGTTGTATTGCTATGATATGCCACTGATTTGATCATTTCTGTTGGAGAACATTGCTAGATTAGCAACTAGACAGTTAGTATTGATAAAAAAATCAATGTTGCTTATGCAATGCACAATGTATTTATTAACGTCAATATTTTGTTCATTTATATTATATTTCTGTAATAAAGAATAGTTCTAGACACTTTTAAAAATACCAACAGTGAAGATGTTGCTGCGAAAGAAAGATTAAAAAGAGATGTGGCAAAAGTAGAAGCAGATAAAAAGAAAGAAAAGGACAAACAGGATCGAGATTTCCAGAAAACAAAACAAGCAGATCGAAAAGAAGCAGAGAAAAAGCGTACTCAAAAAGGAGAAAGACGACGATAGCAGAATTAAAAATTTAATTAGTTTGATTGTAATTAATAAAATTGGAAGGGAAACTACAGATCAGTCTACTATCTTATATTTTAAAATTTAGGAATGAGGGGGACAGGTATCTATTAAACTTTCTGGTATTTATTTCTCTAAATCCCACAAATGATGAAAATTGATTCAACACCAGACAAAGCATACTTCAACAAGAGCTGCAACATGTATGGTTATGTCTTTACACCACCATTGTTATTGCAACTGATAGAACTGTGAAAAGAACCTGATTCTTTGATAGCAGTTCTGTCAGTTTGGAATGCTGTAAACTCTTAGGTTGAGCTCCGCTTGTTATGAAATATCTTTGTGGACTGTTGTTTCTCTTTATATCTAGAGGTAAGTGCCTATCAAAATAACAATACGAATTATGTTTATCATGTAAACTCTGATGATAGACAAGACATTGGAGACATTTTGCATGGCTACAATACTGATTCCTGACTTGTAGCCATATTTAACAGAAATAAAAATATTAGGTGAGGAGATAAAGTTTCAAGTAAGTCATGTACTGTAAATTGAAGGATTGAATGCTGGAATTTTGATGTTTTTGTTATGTATAAACTAGTTGGTGTGGAGGCTAAGTGGTCTATAATTTGCACTTTAGATCATAGGATCTGAAGGTCTGTTGTTCGATCAAGTATTGTTGTTTTGATCCTGGATTTGTATGTGACAAGGAGTGGGGTCTCCTGCCTAGCCATGTGGTTTTCCTCTTACTGGTAAAGAACCTGGGTGTAAGCAAAAAATGTTAGTCTCGAAATGACCTTGTTTAGTAGACATTAAAACTTATTTCCCTCTCCATCTATTTATTTCAGTTGGTTGTTAAATTGAGAGAGAGATAAATTGGGTTAAACAACCACTCGACACAAACTAGGTTATTTCAGGATTAACATATGGTTCAATTTTATTTCAATAATTCGTTTACACTTAGGGGTCTTTAGCAGTGGGAGGAAACCGGAGGACCCGGAGAAAACCCTTGAGGTTGTACAGGCAACCTTCTCCTTGTCATGTACCACCGGGGAATCGAAACCACGCCAGTTGACTCAATGACAGACCTTATGATACAACGTGCACACGCTAACCATTCAGCCATCCAACCTCTCTCGTTAAATTGAATCTCCATACAAAGTTTTGGTGTTTATAGAATTTGACTTGTGACCAACTGAAAGATATAAAGCTAAAAGATTCAGTCAGTCAATATTCTCTAGTCATTGTAAACCATTTGGTATTTGTTTATTGCATCACAGAAATGACCTCGCTCAATGTAGTTTGTTCTTAGTGCTTACAAATCATTTTTCAGTTATAATATTGACTCCGATGTGAGTACTATGTAGTCAGAGACTACTGTATAGGATAATTAAGTGAGACAGATTGATTGGTCTTCTAACTAGTCACTTGCTACACAGAAGCCAAGAGGCTGAACCAAACATATCGGACAAATTTGGTGTTTTAGGAATGATATAGTAGGTGAAAATGGCAAATTTCCAGTTGAATATTTACCGGTAATACAAAATCATTAATTTTACTTAATTAGTTTTGCTTCTTTTTACTAATATACAGGCATTGTGTATTTCATTTTATTATTTATATATTTCCAATATACAAATACTGCAGGGTTGTTGTGTGACAAATTTTAAAAGAAAATATTTGCTGTTTAAAAATATCTTTAAACTTTAATCCTACAAAGGTAATTTTGACACTGACATGAGTAAAGTAAGAATTGGTCTTTGGTTGTGTGTATTATGGTAAAAGGTTGAAAATGTTTATTTTTTCCACCATTATTAATTATAATTATGTTTAAGCTTATTATTTTCCTTAAAGGATTTACACCACAATTAACAAATAAAAAATCGAGACTTTGTACATTTATATGCCATTCCAGCTAAAAATGAGATAATTGCACAGTGAGATATCTTTAAATCAGTATAAGAATTTGTCAATGTTAGCTTCCATTCATAATGTGGTATGATATGACCAATAGAACTGATCTTCCAAAGTTAGAATTTTTTTATCAGAGTTTCTTTATTATCACACATAAATTACTATTTACTCAAAATGATTAAAATGGGCATTTTAAAATCTTGAAATGTTGAGATAACAGATTGTATGTTCGGTTGTCGACTTATGTAAATAGAAAACAGACTGACTATTCTTTCAAAATGAAATTTTCATTGCACAGTACTTGTCATGTCACTAAATGAACCTTAACTATCACTTTACTGGTCAAACACGGATAATTCAAATTTAATTTGCAGATATGATGGAGAGATTCTTCTATTAAGACGTATAATTTATATTTTAACCTTGAGTTTTATCGCTATCAGAAAGTTATTTTAGAAGGTATTACTTCATTTAATTTGGATTAGTTCTTTAAATTATATACCTATAATAGCTGTAGTATTATAAAGTGTAAGTTATTGTACAAATGTAAATACTGTATACATAACTTGTATGTGTGATTTAACAGTTATGTGAATTATATATTTGATGAAAATATGTAACTGATGATATTGATGAAATATTAGAACTTACTAAACAAATGAAGCTTCTCACAGATTATATCACTTATATCTACTGCAATATCTTCTAGGATACTGCTTTATAGTGTTTACATTGAAGGCTGATTTTACTACTCATTATTCATGTGCTATTTGAATATTCGATTCAATTGAAATGATATATTTTTTGGCTATTTTTGATGCATTTTCAGATTTGTAGATAATGTAAAATCTTTCAAATCAATGTATATTATGTTACATTAGCTGATTTAATTGAATTAATATTATGTAGATATTTTATAGGAAACAATAACTATATGTTTGATTGAATAACCTTCCGAAACAGTTAAAATGCCAGTATTCAAATAAGTGTATGAACAATATACTGCTTTATCTTTTTTTATATGCCCACATGAAAATGTGGCCGTATATTGCTGTCCCCTCTGTTCGTACAGACGTACTTCAATTCGTCGTCCACACTTTCTTTTGAACACTTTACAGACTACATTTATCATCTGATTGTTTTGAAATTGATATATGTTGTTTACATCATGGAGTTAATAATTTCCATTTATTTAATTTAGTGAAACGAGGACATCTATTGAATTTCAGCAATTTCTAACAACACAATTTATCATTTGATCTGTATGAAATTTATATGCATCATTTAGATTAGTGAAACAAAAAAGCCTATTGAATTTTATCAATTTCCGTTAATTTCTTCTAGAGTTATGCCCCTTGTTTCACTTTGTTGTACCTTTATGAAAGCTGGAATGATGAAAGTTATTATCTGATCTGTATGAAATTTATATGCATCATTTAAATTAGTAAAACGAGAAATCATATTGAATTTCAACAATTTCTGTAAATTTCTTCTGGAGTTATGGCCCTTATTGCACTTTGTTATCATCCGATAATTAAGAATAAAGTTATTGCCCTTGTTTAACTTTATTGACCCCTGTGAACATTTGAATGACGAAAGTTATCATCTGGTCTGTACAAAATTTATATGCATCATTTAAATTAGTGAAACGACAAAGCCTATTGAATTTCAGAGTCATGGCCCTTATTTCCCTTTATTGAACCTTGTGAATGCTTGAATGATGAAAGTGATCTTCCGATCTGTATGAAATTTATATGCATTATTTAAATTGATGAAACGAAGAAGCGTGTTGAGTTTCAGCAATTTCCGTGAATTACTTATGGAGTTATGGCCCTTGTTTTACTTTGTTGAACTTGCAAATGTTCGAATGACACAAGTTATCATCCGATCTGTATGAAATTTATATGCATTATTTAAATTAGTAAAATTAAAAAGCCTGTCGAATTTCAACAATTTTTGTAAATTACTTCCAGAGTAAAGGCCTTTGTTTCAGTTTGTAGAACCTTGTGAACCGGCAAACAACGAAAATTATAATCTGATCTGTATGAAATTGTCTTGTAAATGCCCCCTTTTATATACAAAAGAATAAATATGCGACAACCCTTGTCATCCATTGAGACGATTTAGCTATTGTGGGCGTATGTTTCGTTGCCTGGCAACCTATTCTTTGTGAAGTGATAATTTTAGGCACAACCTTTTGACCTGACTTGATATGTTTGAATTGATATAAGAAATGACTTGCTTAAGATTCTCTGTTTGTCATATGCCCATAAACCTTTCTCTGACGTGAATTATATTAACTGTTAAAATTGGGAATTGTATATGGTTGATAAAAAATGTGTCACAAAATCTGACATGTCAAACCTAGACTTTTTTCACAAGAATAGAAAGAGAACTAATCCTTTCAGGCAATACCCAGGTCATTCGCAATATTGGCATACATATTATACAAGCAATAAATTCATGTTTTTGCAGAATATAACAAATGAGTGACATGCCAGTACTCAAGTTACCAGTTTTTGTGTTATATTTAACAAATAAATTATATAATTTGGTTGAACTAATGTGTTATTTTGATAATTAATGGATAATCTCTTTGGTAAAAGACATTTTGAATGAATAACGGCAGGGCTGGATTAAGGCACAGGCCAACTGGCTATGGTCTAGGGTCCCACACTTTTGGGGGCCCCACGTAATCATTCTGTGTGTTTCCCAAAGCTCTCACATGGTTCAATAAATCCTGAATAATCTGCTGGTACAGTAGGGCCCATGATATAAGCAACAGGTCAGATGACAGCTTGAAATTGCTTATATCAGAGCAAAGACTAATTACTTATTTTATCGGTTTTCTTGGTAAATAAAGTGAAACTTTTATAGTATGGAAGATTAAATAGGCCTATACTTTGCTGTGTTTCTTTTGCAGGATTAGCTTCACCTCCTGCATGCTTGAAAGTTTCAAGTTGAAACGCATCAAGGAGGATGGAATTGCTGACTCTTTTTCTAATGTGGACATTGCTTTGCAGATTTATTTGACATTACGGGTAGCAAACATGGAAGGTGAACGATCTTTTTCTGTTCTCGAACGGGTGAAGAACCAGCGTCGTTCAACAGTCGGACAAGAGAGGTTATTTGACTTATCGCTGTTGACAATTAAGTCAGATTTGTCCAGAGGCCATAGATTTTGAAGGCATCATTGCAAAAGTCGCAAAATTCAAATCTAGAAGAAAAGATATGTAATTCTGTGTAATGTCAGGTCACCTATCTACTAATGTAAACTAATGCAATGCACAAAATGTATAATACATATGCCACTGTTATTTCTTTTAATATTTTGTATTTGATGGATGGATGGATGCCTGTGTAATAGGTATCATGAAATATTTTGACCTAGGGTCCCACTAAACCTTAATTCAGTCCTGAATAACAGTTAAGATTGGCTATATTTTCATCATCTGTCTCTGTAAGCCAAAGCTCTGTGCAATTGAAGGTAGCAAGGTTATTACTTTTGTATTTGGTATTCTTAGTTGGGAATCACAGTAATCAGCTACGAGAGGGGCTCACATAGTTTGGATCCATTTTTTATTCCTTCCCCCACTGACGGGAGAATATATTTAAGAATTGTGGTGTCAGTGTTGATATCTAGCCAGCTGAATACTACAACAGCTAGTTTCATCAGCAACAACCTCACTGATAACAGTGTAATGATGGCACAACTTTCTGTGTAAAATATGGCGTTTTTCAGGGGGCATGCCTTTTAGCACCATATTATTTCAGAGGTGAGGGGGGATTTGAATTTTGATTAGTATATAATTTAAAGGGGGCTAAATCACTAATATTTGGGACCTAGAATGGACACATAAATATTTTGCAACGCATATAATACTGTAATATGAATGTATATAATCTGTTTTTACAGTAATTTCTGATCAATTATGTTCGACGAAATACTCCAGATGTCTCAATCGAATAGTGATCTCTAGCGTCTGGTTATTTCAGTCTACACAGATATATCGTCACCGTTTGACAGGACTTTTGGAATGTGTCTAGCCTTGTTCTTCGAGTCCCTTGTTACAAATAGCGCTTAAACGCATTATGGTACACAATATCGTACATGTACCATTGGTAAAATGTTTATTTTGTCTTAAATATTGGCTATCAGAAACTCATCTTTTCCTGGTAAGATAACAACATCAATGTTGATTTAAATTGACAAATAATTCGTGTTTTCAATGTCGAAAATTTTGGATGATATAGAGTTAGAGACTTAGCTACTCTAAAGGTAGGTGGTAGAAAATGTTTTGCACGCTCCACTTCTCGAGCATGTGTGATTTTTGGACAGAAACCGAAATTGTGAGCTCGTCAATAAAATTGATAATATTAGTGTATTGATCCAAATCCAGTTTCGAATCTATACCAGAAATCATGACGTCATTAATGATGGCGTCCTGTGAAACACTGAGCGCTTCCGGTCGTAAATATTTGCGATCTCTTTTAATGTAATTTGATAAAAAATGGAACCGGGGAGTGTTGGAACGAGTTTACATTTCGATGGGCAGCATCTACAGAGTCTCCAGGAAGCTGAATATCGTAAAGAGGAGGAACAGCAACAATGCGAACTCCGGCAAATGTTGACGAATGCGTTCGATTTGATGGATGAAGATATTTTGTCAGAAACATCAGAAGAATGTGAGTCACACGATGGTAGCAGTTACAAGCCTGACACATCTTTTAATCATCATGGCGGTGCTAGGGATCATCAACAGAATGTTCAAGACCCTAGATCTCAAAATGGAGTTCTGGATTTCCATCAAACACCGCACGATAATGGTGTATTTCAAATGTCACAAAATCAAAAATTCGTCCACAATAATCAACAATTTCAGGGAAATCCTGACCTTCAGAGGCAGAGCCAAGAGAGTGATGACATTAACCCACGAGCAAGCTATGATTTCCAAAGAATAAATCAAGGAATAAACGAATTTCAAACAACTGAAACTCGTGATTATCGTCAAAATCCATCCATAGAAAACAATTATGCACCGTCATTGGGATATGCATCTTTACCCACAAATGTCAACAACATCCCAGATAATAGTAATCATCATCTCCAGAATGTCCCGGTTTCTTCTACAGATGTTAATTATCCATCAACAGATTATTACACAAGACATAATCAAGGCAATTACTATTTTTCAACCACACCCGAAACACAACCTCCAACGTCAATAGGCAATGGATACTTTACAGAAAATAGATATACACTAGAAGCTAGAAGTAGTCTGGATATATCGTACCCAAATCCTACAACACTGACTTTGGATACTCCGACATTGACAGAGCAGAATGATTTTATTAGATCTAGTCAAGATTTTAATCACGGTTACCAATATCAACCATACTCTAATAATCATGAAATTCTTTCTCATAATAGCCGAGAAGATCTTCAGAGCCGTGTTCAACATAAAGATAATCAAGATAATTTCCAAAGCTACACTCCATTACACAGTCATGAGCAAACTGAATTTCCGAATCGTCAACATCAGTATATTGGCTATGATGCAAATGGTGTACCTTCTAATCCTAATCAACACTTTGATATTCCAAAACAAAATCACCATTTTTCAACAAATAATGAAACTGTAAGACCATTTAAACATTATTCCTCAACTTCTAATCTCAATCAAAATTCAGAAATACCTCAAACAAATTTTACTGACATTCCAAGCAATAATGGTCACCAATTTGTTCACACAGATGACAGTATTCCAAATCACAAGCGAGATATACCTGAACCACATAGTATGGATGGCAATACTGATGAAATATTGCAACTTAAAATATTAAACAAAGCTAGAGCTCGCGAGCTAGAAGAACTGTCTCTTAAATATGAAAATCTTAAACAGGAGTCTTGCCGTGATTCTAGAATTCTAAAACATCAGATGACATTGATGGAAGAAGAGAGAGACAGATTGAAATCATTGAATTGTAAACTAGAAGATTCAGCCCAAAATTTAACAGATGACAATGCTAGTCTGAATATGGAAGTACAGAGACTGGGTGGAGAGTTAAATAAACTTAAAGACATGAAAGAGGATCTGATGAAAAAGCTGTCGTCTGCAGAAGCGAGTATTGAGAATTTAAATATGCAGTTAATTGAAGCACAGCTTTCAGACACCCACAACAGAAATCGCCAACAACACGAAATGATGATTAATGGATTACAACAGAAGTTTGAGCAAGAGCAACAAGGTATGACAGAAAAGTTAGAAAAAGCCTACCAAATAATCCACGAAAAAGAAGAAGCCATCGACTGTTTAAACAAAGAATTACAAGAAGAAAGAATCAAAGCTTCTTTGTTAGAGAGAAATGAAACTTTGCGCAGCAATGGTAATGATAGAACTGAAGAAATATGTAAATCTCTTCAGGTCGAAGTTCAGGAGCTTAAAGACCAGATAAGATCATCAAAGTCTGCAAGCAGGTTAGGCGCTTATTCAAAATCAACGCAAATGCTTGATCATACACATGATGACTCCATAGTGGATCTTGGTATACGAAAGACTCTTCATTTCAATAGTACGCCAAACATAAGTCATATTGAACTTCATACAAGTGAAAGATTAACCGAGCTGCAAACAGAACTCGAGAATATTCAGATCAGTAATAAGAAGAAACAAGAATTAATCGATCGCCTCCAAAGAGATTTGATGAATGCTAACTCGCACGTAGATATTTTACGAAAGACATTAGCATCAAACGAAAAGAGCAGGAAGGATGAAGAGGATCTGGAAAGACGACTAGAAGAAATGGTGGATAATGAAGAAAAACTTACAGAGATAAACAATGAATTAAATCAGAAATTAGCAAACCTAGAAGATTCCAGTAAAGATCTTGTGGAAAAGAAAGAACTGGAAGACACATTGAAAGAGCTTGATAATGTCAAGCAGATGTACATCGTTGAGTGCGAGGAACGTGGAAAACAAGAGAAAAAACTCCAAGAAGAATATGAAGAAAAGATCAAACAAGCCACTGAAGCTTTTACAGCAACACAATCTGAACTTTCCCAAGAAATAGAAAACCTCCAAAAATCCATTGCAGAAAACAAAGAAACTATTAAGGAATTGGAATTAAGAAACCTTACAAAGAAGTATTCTAAAGATAATCTAGATTCCAGTTTTATTGATAACTTGAATAGGAAAACTCAAGATACATCTCAACAAACTTCACCGTTGATTCCAAACAATTTGAGAGATACATGTGCTTTCACCACAAGCAAAGAAATCGCCAGTGATGATAGCAAAGATAGTTCGAGTCTTCACAGTATTTCGCTTCTAATAAAGAACCAGAGTCAAACTGGTACAGACAGTTTTGAGATGAGCGACCACAATGATTCAATGCGATCCAACAGATCACGGCAATCAAGTAGGGCAGGAAAAGTCATGGATGATATAAAAAAACAACATAGAAGTGAAATTGATTATGTGAGACAGACGTTGATTGAAGAAAATAAATCTGTGTCCATTACGTTACATCAAAAAATGATGGAGATGCGAGAAGAACATAAACAATATATCAAAAAATTAAAACATGATTTCCGTTGTGAGAAGGAAGCAATGATAATTGACTTTGAAAAGAAGCAAAAAGCCTATCTCAATTATACCAAACCAGATGTTAAAATGATAGTTGAACTTGGGTCCCAGTACTTAGATGCAGTGAAACATATTAAAGGTGCTTTGGTCAAACATATTCAAGAAACGAATCAACGTGCAGCAGAGAAAATTAAAAAAGAGCTAAATCAAGAAAGAATTGCCCAAATGGAAAAAGTCTACAGAAGTAATAATTTTGATGGAACACTTCAAGAGTAAGTTATTACACTATTAATAGGGTGACATGATATCGTACAAGGCAGACTATTATTACCATGTCTGGAAAACCAAATATATTAGCTTTACTGTTATGTAAGAATTATTTGATTAAATGTTCCGGAATTGAATACTCTCAATCCCTCTTTAACATGTCATTTGATTATTTTCGAGCGACTAAAATGTTCTATCTCAAGCACATTCTGATTAAAACACAGACAGATCCCTTTTCATTTCGTTTTTTATAGTTCAAGATTTCGTTTTTTTGTCTGTACTACACTAGGATCTGGAAGAGTTGTTATATAACCTGCGTTCTGGATGGCGTGAGGGATTAGCCAATGAAACCATCTGTTGGCATGCGATGCACGGAACTGTGGGTAAACCACTAGAAATGTCAACGCTGATTGATTGATCAATGTCTGACAACATAGAGTCAAAAGCCGTTCGTACGACCTCTGACACGACCTTTTACTACAACAGGTCAGATCTTCATGTAGTGTAGGCCATCAAAAGTATAAAAAAATGAAAGAAAATATAGATCTGTATTTAATCAGATTGATCTCAAGCAATGACCATAGCTATGACATTTGATTATGTCGAGATCTGTTCACACCACATTTTTTTGCGGGGATTAGCAGAACTAATTGGGACACAAATTCTGTGTCACTCATTTGAAATTCTGTGTCACTCACTTGAAATTCTTTGTCAGTCGAAATCTGTGTTTGAAATTCTGTGCCACTCTCTTGAAATTCTGTCAGTTATCAGACTGACTATCACGAGTATCAAGCACCTCTGTTCTGCACCTTCACTGTGAAGAATATTTAATGTATTTTTTAATTTTTAATTTTAGTTTTCTATGATGATTTCTCAGTGGAATTAGATGAAGAATTGTGCTGAATTGTAAACAAGAGTAGATTTTGGTTCGTTAAGCAATTGGCATAAATTTTGTACCAAAATTATGATTAAGATGCACAATTTGATATTGTATACATCAAGAGTGCTAATTTCCAAAAGACAGCAAACAAGACCATCCCCATGTGTTGTTTATATTTCCGTCCTGACGTTTACCGTTGTGATAATCGTACTGTGATATTATAAAATATTGATTTCATACTCATGTTTGTAATTAATACATTTAAATCACTATACCATGCAGATCATCGATTCGTCTTCTGTGAATACACATAGGTCTCTTATCAATTTAAGGACTCTTACTAGCTAAAAAAACTACAATATGTTAGATTGAAAATTACAGAAAATGACAATTAAGTAGTTATTCCTTTTTCACAGGTTAAATTTTGTTGTGTTTTGCTCACTGTAAAAATTTGTTGAAGAATTACACTTTGTTAGTCTCAGAACCCATTAAGTAAAATTTGATGAAACATTACTATCAGCTGATAAATATGCCTAATAATTGTTTTCTCATATTTTAAAAGAATCATACAGAATATAAATCATATACATTCATTTAGTTGTAGTTTCAATATTTATGGGACCTTACAATAACTATTATTAGTATTATATATATATCATATACACTGTATTATAAAAGTGCTAATTGCTATGTTTATTTTGTATATTTAAATAAAAATAAATTTTTGCATTTATTAGAATGAAGAATTAGGTTATGTCAATTGTATATACATTTACTGCCATCTTGAATTTGTAGTTAATCTAAATGAATTGTTCTTTTTGTATTTTATTTATTTCTTCTGAGCCTTACTGAGGTCAGTTATTATTTAGAACAAATCTAAAACTTGAGTGAAACTGAATTTTTATTTTAGAACAACTTGCTTTAAAATAAATTTGTATTTAGGAACAAAAGTTAACTGTTGAACTCAAAGTAAAGAGATATTTTTAAAAGAATCCAAGAGGTAACTAATTTCAAGGGGTATTTAAATTACCTCAGTTGGCTATTATGTTGACTGAATATGTTGTTTTGCAGTAATTGTCAGTTTGTGAAATATGCTGCTTGTTAAAGATATATTATTGGAGATTAGATAAAGAGATGACAGTTCTCACTATAATAGTCAAAAACTAGATAATGTAAAGGCAATTTGCTGAAAATTTCAGTCAAATTGCTGCACTGTGAACCGAGAATTAAGCGATTGAAATTTTGGCCTAGTTTCGATCATCATTACTAAAGTCTTTACGATAAAAAACGTAGTCTCGATCATCCATTTCTTGATTAAATTATGAGTGGAAGTCGAGCAGCAAATGGGATCATAATCCAGTAAATATCACAGGCTAGCGATGCCATCGAGAGTTGATTATTGTCTGGATAAGTTTATTAATGTCTAATTAATAATTTAGATAACATTTCAGGCCTAAAAAAAGACCTGCAATTGGCAGATTTAGCTCTAGCATAATGTATGTTTAACATAGATGAAGTTACTGCAAACTTACTTTAAGGTATTTCTGAATAAACATTTATGTACCGCAAACAGTTTTTATGAGAACTGCATAACAGAATAATTTTTTAACATAAACATCTCTGGTCTATATTGATTTCTGTTAAACTGTTCTTGGACTTCATTAATAAAAATTATATTTTTTGGTTTACATTACATGAATAAACCTATATAAGGCCACACACTACCTTATAGTCATTGAGACACTGGTATGTTTATTGTATTGGTTTTTAATGCATATATAAAGTTGAAATATAATATTATGCAGTGAAAATTGATAAAAAAGAATTTAATCAAATTTCTATTTTTTTTTTTGGGGGGGGCGGGGGAATCTGACACCAGTCTGTATTGGCCTCATAGATGTAGCTATAGAAATTGTAATGATTCTTGTCAAGAGGGTAACAGTGAACAATGGGCAAACTAGGAGTGGGAGTAAATATGCTTTGGTGAGCTGGAGGATAAAGGGTAAACAAACGATATGGCTAACTGGCGGGTAATAATGATTAATCCAGATGTGGTAAATACAGGATAAAACATTGACGGGGCATTGTGGTGCATCCAGAGTTATCCCCATGACAGATAACTGTAAACCACAATGCAGGTTAATAGTTAAAAAAAATGAATATTGGAATGAACAGATCTATATAAAGGTTGAGCATTTAAATGAAATAAACCAGATAAAAGAATTATAAATTAAATCAGAGAATGGGCTTATACAGTTGAATGAAAAAAAACCCCAAAAATTGGGAATAATGGATAAACCATGGGCAAGAGGCTGCGATAAAGGGCAAAGAATTGATATAGTAGGAGGGGAAACAACAGCAATAAAGTGATTTGGGCACATTGGTGCGTTTATTGACTCTTTAGGGATCTTTACTTCCAATTTTTGTTATAACCAGCCCACATTTTGCAAAACATGGATAGAGAACAAGCTAAAAAAAAAAAAAGCGATTTTTCGTATCATCAGAGACCATAATCCAGGAAGTTATGGTCTTAAATGCGCAAATATCGAAAGGGACTGAGATCTTTTGGATATAAAGATATAATTTAAGTTTCATCAAAAATTGTGACCTCTAGAGGGTCCAAAACCTTCGTATTATATACTTTTATATTTGCGGACATTTTCATTTTGATTTTCCTGAAATTCGAATTCAACCTTCATTATATGGTGGAATGGTGAAATATTTAAACGTTTTTTAAAATCAGGATAGAAATTGTGATCTTTAAAAATCCACAAGCTAAAAAATGTGATTTTGTGTACAATCCAGGAAGTTACAGTCTGATAAGCTCGAATATTGAAAGGAACTAAGATCTTTGGGTTATAGGCTAAACATGCATATCAAGTTTCATCAAAATCAGATGAAAATTGTGACCTCTAGAGTGTCACAATCTAAAAACTTGATTTTTCGTACACTCGGGGGCATAATCCATGAAGTTATGGACCGATATATGCCATTATCCAAAGGAACCAATATCTTTGGGAGATTGACCTACATTTCAAGTTTCGTCAAAATCGGATACGAATTGTGACCTGTAGAATGCCCAAAACAAGCAAATTGTTGACGGACGAACAGGGGCGACGACGGCATAATACGTCCACATGAAAATGTGGGCGTATAAAAATTACATGTCATGACAGTTGCTATCTAGGAATGGGTTGCCTTATAAAGTAGTATTGACACATTGCGAAATCTAGAACAATACTGCCCTCTTTACATCGATGGTTAACGAATTCAGAAAGGTGTTATGTATTATGGTCTGATCCCTTCGAAATGCCCAGAGTTACTTCCCTTCGCAAGATGGCAGATCTTTGTTGATTAATTTTGATTTTCGATGTATTTATTATTCATTTTGAAAACAAAAGACGGTTAGGATGTAAAAGTATTTAAAGTTGTATTGCATCGATTTCCACTGAAGTCACATTTTCAAAATACGATTATATAGCATTGAGAATCTATGTTCTATATGCAATGCGCCAATATAAGACAGTGCAAATATCACACCCGCGTTTTCATGTACCTACCAACAGTCATTACTTGTGAACACTCAGTTGGGCTCTAGCCGATCTAAAATACTGAACTTAGATATTTTATGATTCTTTGCACAACAGATGGCAGCTGATGAGGAAATTGATATGGGGAATTCTGTTGTTGAACAGGTAGCTATCCTTTCTTGCTTTTATCTTCCATTTCATATTTAATTTAGGCTGATTTTTTTTTTTTTTTTCCAGAACTCAGAACTATTAAAAACAGTAAAATTTATGGAATATTAATCATCTATGCAAAAAAAAAAAAAAAAAAAAAAAACAACATAAAAAGGTGTTGTTTTAAGTAAAATACAGATTGTTTTGTGAAATTGTGTTCAATTATTTAAAGCTGTTTTGGGTACATGAATGTATATAATGGACCGATTTGGGAACCCTTTATTAGCTTTTAATGATTTAATTCTCCAAAGATGCATCGGCCACAGCAGGTTGTATGTTGGAATTTGTTTTCAGCAGGTTGTATGTTGGAATTTGTGTTCAATTACTTTATTTTATTTTAAGGATATTATTCTTGATTTGGTTTGAAAACTGTATCATCAATATTACCTTTAAAAAGTTGATTTAAAAACTGTATCATCACTATTACCTTTCTCTGACCAAATAATTTCTTTTCCAAACTTTACATTTTAGGAAGAAGATGAACCAATCCGGGATCCCAATTTGCCAATCCCTGGAACTAGAGGATCCAAGTTCCATCAGTGTCATTTTTGTGACAAAGTTTATCCATTCGCTAGTCACCTTACTCTTCACTTAGCAAGTCACACTGGAGAAAAACCATTTGAATGTGGCATATGTGGAAAGGGGTTCACAACGTCTCAAAAGGTCAGATCACACATGTGGACGCACACAGATGACTCGCCCTATAAGTGCAATATTTGCGGAAAATCAGTGAATTCTACCGGATCTTTGAACCGTCATCTCCGAACTCATAGCAATGTTAAACCATATAAATGTGAATGGTGTTCGAAATCTTTTGTGACATATTCACAAGTACAAGTGCACACTCGAATTCATACAGGAGAGAAACCTTATCGTTGTGAAGTTTGCGGACATTGTTTTAATCACAGCAGCGATTTGATTCGACACGTTCGTACACATACTGGAGAAAAACCCTATTCCTGTGATACATGTCAAAGGTCTTTCAATACCAGCAGTAACTTAAAAAAGCATAAACGTGTTCACAGTGGTGAAAAACCTTATATCTGTGTGGAATGTGGTAAATCATTTACCATTAGTAGTAATCTTAAAAAACACAAAGAAATTCATACCAGAGAAAGACATGGTTATGGAAAGTAATCTGAAATTCGAAAAGTGGTTAACAATGAACAATAAGGCATTGTGAATATTCCTGCACCCAACTTTCTGTGACCACACCTGTAATAAACACTTTATACAGATCACACTGATATATTCCTCTGTAAAATCTTAAACAATGACATGATAGCAATACTAGTTATTAAATTATATTTACTCACAAAGAAATTCCAGTCATGCACTAGTTTTCCTTCTACAGTAAACTTTGCATAAGTCGGATCTAAGTGGACTGACCAATTTTATCCAAGTTAAGCGAAGATCTAAGTTAGCCTAAGATCGAAATTCAATCTTAGCTCAATTAAAAATAAACTGCAAGAGCCGGATAATAATTGATTCAAAGCACATTTCAAGCCTTTGTTCGTACAGCAGACAGTAAGTTTCAAATTTTGCGGAAATATTCTATTAGGCTGATTTGAGTCAAAATGATAAGGGAAAGTATATTGGGACTCTGTGCATGGAATAGCTAACCGTGTTTTAGACCATCAAGACGAAACTGACTTAGTCAAATTCTGAACATACTGCCGATCCGACTTGGGCGAATGAAAAAAGCCGGAATTAGATCAAATGGACCCAACATTTTGATCCGAGTTGAGGGAAGATCTGACTTACGCACAGAAAGTTAATAAGAAAAATGTGCAGTATCAAAGGGTCCAAACGATTTTATCCGAGTTGAGCAAAGATCCGACTTATACGAATCCGACTTATGCGACGTTTACTGTAATTCAAATTGTATTAAAAATATCAAAGCAGGAGAAAGGCCTGGTAATCCGAATTATTAAGATACATGTACAGTATATTATGTAGACGTCACATTACTCTTCATTTCTCAGTTAACTTGTGCAAACATCTCGGTCAAGTGGTGGAGACATATACAGTGAACAAAAACAATAATAAACAAATTGTACACATGAACCTTCTGATTCATAAATACATGTACATGTACCTTCAAACGTGTATGGTTTATTACAGATTCTGCACATGTACATGTACTTTCAGATTCATATATGGTTTATTACAGATTTTAAGGAGATCTGTTTTAAAAATTCAAAATTTGTTTCTGCATGGAATACCAAACTACATGTAACATTAAATTAAATGAGTATTATAGATTCAACTACTTAAAGTCGCCAATCCCCAACATATGTTTTTTGGATAATATCTAATTTTTCATGGCTTAATTCATGCTAAATTATCCTCAAACTGATTATTTAACATTTAAGGCTGCACAGGGTAGTTGATATTTTGTAGCCTACCATGGGGGTATAACTCGATATTTCAATCATCATTTGTCTTTAGAGAATCAGAAGATTCCCAATTTTCGCTCTTTAAACCAATACCAGTATAATGGTAGATTTTTTAATAATTTAATCATCCACTTCAAACCACTTTGTTTTAATTATAAAAAAAAAAACACAATAAGATTGGATACCATTACAGGCATAATCCAAATTGTTCATATATCACAAAAATATGTACTATCTCAATTGCACATCTAAGTATTTTTTTTTTAAAAAAACCCTTATGAAATATTTGCTAGTACGACAAAGATGGCAGAAGTATTATTAATATTTATATATATATAGAGTAGGGGAGAACTGCCCACACAGAAAACCTAACAGAATGCAGCAGACAAGACACATAGTGACAACAAACACAGACATTGTAAGTAATAAATAATAAAGTACTATCAGTTCATGTGTATTGTTCCAGGGATTACCAGTAAACATCAACTGTTCTGTATCGTCTGGGACATACAGTAATACGGGCTTCACTTAAAATCAAAACAAACTCACTACAATAAACATAAATATTATTTGCAAATTTAAAAATAAATATACTATCTTATTGTAATTTAATGAAATGTGGACAGGTGAATCATGTTTAACAATATGTGCCGTAAAAAATAGTTGATATAAAATAACCTTTTAGTATAGAGAACCTGGCATGTTTTATGATTGTAAGTAGTATAACATTAATAGTACACAAAGAAGCATACAGCTACTTTAAATGTACTTGTCTGCAAGGGGCTCATCAAAATATTTTACCGAACACTTAAAGATGACGCAGGCTTGTTTATGCCATCTGCAAAGGATGCTGAATGTTGCGAAATGTATAATTCATCATATCTTTGTTAAATACTGAACTGAATTGAAGAACTATTTTTGGACCGATATATATACATGTACTTTAGAGATTCAATGTTCACAATATTGTAGTTTGCAAGGGATTCAAAATCTCTCAAATGACAATCTGCGGCTTTTAAAACAGACCAGACATAATTTGGTGACTTGTGTTGAGTGGACATTAAACCCCATCTCTCTCTCTCTCTCTCTCTCTCTCCAGGTTGCCACATTTGATCCCACTTTTCTCTATTAAATTTTTAAAAATACAGGTATGTCTGTCCACCAAAGTCATGAAATTATCATATCATATATTTTTGTGGTAGAAACTGCCTTTTACAATGATGAGAACAAAGTTGATAGAGAAAATTAAAGGGAGATGCAGGAACAGAGTTGATATCAGAGAAAATTAAAGGTGGTATACCCGTATAATGTGTCTTAGACTGATCAGGTAGTCATCAATTTGCTACTGAATTGGAATATTTTGCTTGTGTGAATATGAATGTAATAGACTTTAGGCATAATACGTAGCCCCAGCTTAATGTTAATCTGGAAAGATTTTCCATTTTACAAGCACCTGAAATTTTGGGCAGGTATGACTGAAAATGAATTTGCATGAGGAATTTGACAACCTAATGATCATGGATTTAAAAAGTTTGTTTTGTAAACAGCTAGAAAAAGAGTGTCAAAGATAATTGTTGTGAAATTTATACTTTGCTGGCATTTATAATGTACAATAATAAAAATACTGTATAAATATAAATGAAACTGTTTTTATTCTCATTTCTTTTGTAGGGAGGGTGTGGATGGACGAATGGTTAGCGTGTGCATGCTGTATCATAAGGTCTGTCATTAAGTCAACTGACATAGTTTCGATTCCCCGGTTGTACGTGGCAAGGAGTAAGGTCGCCTGTTCAACTTCATGGGTTTTCTTTGAGGCCTCTGGTTTTCTCCCACTGCTAAAGACCCCTATGCACAAATCGAATTATTGAAATAAAATTGAACCAGATGTTAGTCCCAAATGACCTAGTTTGTGTCGAGTGGAGGTTAAACTAACTCTTTCTCTCATTTATTTTGTAAAAACTCCCAACAAGATTTTTGGAGAAATGCAGATTATGTAATTGTAAAGTAATAATGGAGTACTAGGCACTTTAATCAAATCATTCTAGAAAACCACTTACTGAATGGATCAAAGCAATTTTTTGTGAACAGTATGTTGACACAGTAATAATTAATTCATCACAATTCCAAGACATTACGAGAAGGTTTAGTCTGTACACAGTCTATAGATCAGTATCTGGTGTGTCCACCGCGATTGTCAATAACAGCAGCGCAACGTCAGTACATGGAGTGGACCAGACGATTGATGAACGCCATTTACATCTGCAACCACACTCAGAAAAGCCTGGAGCAATCCATCTGCTGTGTTTGGTCTCGGTCTCCCCTGAATTTCTTCCCAAAGATGTTCAATCGTGTTTAAGTCCGAACTAAGAGCTGGTCAGTGCATAACGTTGACACCGTTCTGCTGTAGAAAAACCCGAGTAATTCTGGCGGTGTGGGCACGGGCGTTGTCATGCTGGAAAACGTTGTTTTGATGACGTGCGAAATGTGGTATGACGTGGGGTCTGAGAGCTTGATCGATGTAGCGCACTGCTGTGTGATGCCGCCTCCTCTCCCTGGACCAAAATTTTGGAACACCACAAGACCCACTCTCTGGTTAAGGCCAATTTCACCCCAAACCATTATGCTTGGACCTCCCCATGAGTCTCGTTCCATGACACATTAGTCAGAATAACGCTAGCCACGTCGACGCCATATTCTGGTCCAGTGGTCAGTTCTGGTGTTGTTGGGCAAACTGTAGACGTTCACCTCGATGGCGAGAGGTGAGGATCTTTCCATGGTAAGGTCTACGGCAATGGATTTTCTCTCTGGTGAGACATCGGCGCACTGTATCGGTACTGATGGGTCTTCCGTGTATTCCCACTGTCTGACGTGCTGTCTCAGATGCCTGTGTGAAGGGTGATCATCCGTGGTGTTGGTGGCCCGAAAGCGTTGCTAAAGCCTGTAGATGGTCCGAACATTGATCTGGAAGTGATGGGCAACAGCTTGGGCAGTGTGGCCAGCGTCGAGTCTTCAAAGCGCCTGGTTCCTCTGAGCTGTCGTGAGTCGTGGCATGCTGCTGACATTGTAGTGTGAATGATTCAATCAGGTATAGGGATGCATTTTATAGGGCTGGTCCCGGTGAACAGCATGTGAAGCATGAGTTACATGAAAATCATGGAGAACACATTAACCATCTCAAAAGTCAGGTTGCGTTCAGTTCTGTGTTTGGAAAGGAGCCTTATTTCTCAGGTAAAGTTGGAGATGTGGTCACAAATATACAATAAAAACATTTGGCAAGTTTTATGCAATGCGTCTATTCAGAGTAACATACCAACCTGATGTTTCTTTTGCTGCTTAGTATATATTAATAGACCTCCTATCCATCAAGATATGTTGCTCATTTTGGAGCTATTGTATTTTATAGAACACATTCTAACCTAACACCATTAGCAAATGACAACACACGCTTTGGATATCAACAAACAAAGATAGATTACCTTGCCAGGCAACGAAACATAAGCCCACAGCAGCTTAGTTGTCCGAGCAGTCAACAAGGGTTGTCGTATATTTTTATGTGCTCACATTTTCATGTTGACGTATATAGTATGCCGACGCCCCTGTCTTTCCGGACATCCGTCTGTCCACAAAGTGATCACTCTACGGGTTACAAGTTTTATCTGATTTTGACAAAACTCGAAATATAGGTCTATCTCCCAAAGATTTCGGTTCCTTTCGATATTGGCATGTATCGGACCACAACTTCATGGATTATGGCCCCTGGCTGTATGAAAAACTATGTTTTTAGCTTGTGGCCACTCTAGAGGTCACAATTTTCATCTGATTTTGATATGCATGTTTATAACCGAAAGATCTTGGTTCCTTTCGTTAACCGCACATATCCGAACGTAATTAACCTCTTGGATTATGGCCCCTGATTGTTCGAAAAATCACATTTTTATTTTGTAAACCCACTAGAAGTCACAATTTGTATTAAATTTTCAAAAAAAGTTTAAATATATCACCGTTACACCCTAGTGACAGTTGAGTTCGAATTTCATGAAAATCGGACCGAAACTGCCTGACAAAATGTCCGCTCATTGTAAGCAAATAGTGTAAAAGTATGTGATACCAAAGTTGTGAACACTCTAGAATTCACAATAGTTATTTGATTTTAATGAAACAAAAAATTTATCTTCATATCCCAAATATCTCAGTCCATTTCGACATTTACGCATCTCAAGACCATAACTTCCTGGATTATGGCCCCCTGATTGTACGAAAAATCTTTTTCTTTTTAGTTTGTTCTCTATCCATCTCTTGCAAAATGTGGGTGCATTTTGCCTGGCAACCGCTGGTTTGATATAGTATTCTATTAATTATTGTATATCAACTTATCTAAATATCAAATGCATCATTTTGACTTAGTCAATATTGATCCTATCCAACCCTCTGTAATTAGCTTGTGTAGTTGTTAAATTTCTATTGATTGAGGCGTATAAAAATAAGACACACAAGTGCAAACTGCGGTACTTTAGTAGGCTTACACATTGGTGTGCACTTAAAGGAAATATTAACAGTTTGAATTCGAAATAAGGTTAAGAGTAGGTCGTAGCGCGGCTGTCTGGGCAATATTTCCCTTTATAGTACACAGAATGGCGTATGCCCGTCTTAATTATCCCAGTTTGTGCAGAGGATACGACGTTAAACCCCATTTCATTTCACCTCCTGGTATGTGAGCTGGACGTATAGGAATAAAAATATATCACTAGATAGACAAGAGGTAATTAAGTAGGCCTATAGTTTGTTACCATATGCCACAATCCAAAGGAAGATCCATATATGTTTTACCATGGGCCCTATATCAATCTGTTACTGTGTTAGTATTATTAGGTCTATGGGGGTACCAAATGAAAATGGGTATATGATATGCTCTATGCACCTGCTTTTCGCATTGACATTATAAGTATTTACTATCATATTTTTTTCAATTTTGCTGGTGTTACATCAAAGAGCAAAGTTATTAGCTTTGTAGTGGTAGGCCAACCGGTCCAATCCCGACCTCTCCATTTGACTGTCGAATATTACCGAATGATTTGGGCGAATTTGGTATGGCCGTTTGTTTAAACTGTGAAGCCACGTGACCAAGATGGCAGCCTCCATATATTTTTGGAGTTTGAATAATAATCTGTAAATTTAACATTATTTACCTTACTGATAGGTGAGTTTTAGAAGTAAAGTATCGTAAGAAGTGTGTTTAAAACCAAAAATCATTTTAAAACCAATGACATTGCTCGATTTTGCCCTCCAGTCTGTTGCAGTTAGCGACGGAAAAAGCCGGCCAAAGTGTAAACAAAGGAAGAAAAAGCCCAGATTTGTACCGGTACTAGTAGAATACTTCATGAAATGCTTCCTGACACCTGTCTTTGTTTTCATTAAATCACAGTCACATTTAGATATGTACAAGTAATTACGAGTAATTGAAATTCGACAGAATGTGTAAAGCCAATTTGTTTTAGAACTATAGGCCTACTGTAAACTGTAAAAGATAAAATCAGATTCAGATGCCAGTGATGGGCTAAAAAATTGCATGAAAATTGTAATTTTGTTCAATGGCAATAGAGCCTAGAGCATTATGCATGTTTCAGTCCTTAGCTATTAAAATCCATAATAATAGTGAAGGGATCTTTATCATCTATAATACTACAGACACGAATGTTAAAATTGTGTATAGTATAAATAATCAGGGAAACTGGTTTGTTTTGTGCCACAAATTCCAAAGTCATACTGAGGTAGCAATATTTTTACGACAATATATTGTGACCACCTGCGAGTTTTCCAGGTACTTATCTTTAGTCTTATATATGACAGCATTCCCTAAGCCATAATAACCTTGGTGCATAATAGTAATTTGCACTTTTCTTTATTATTATTATCAAAAGTCCCTGATTGGTTTAGATTAGATGCTCACTCATGCCTTAAATCAATGTAACATTTTGTTCCTTTTTTGCATGGTACTTCACATTCACCAAGAAAATAAATGTAAAAAATTCTATATATTAAGATAACCATGATTGACATATTGATTACCAAAAGTCTAAGTGTTGGCATACTGGCTGTTACTGCAGAGAAAAGTATTTTGCACGAGTACATGGCAATATTATATAAGCCTCCAGCCTATGGGCAAATCGAAATATACTTTTTTACCAACTTCCGAAGATCTCCAAACTGCTTATGCTGCTGTAAGTTATAATTATAACCCTAAAATATACTTACTCATATTTCCCTTTTTTTCTTCTTTTTTTTAACAGGTACGTATATTAATTCCACTGGGTCATTTTCTACAAAAGACAACCCATCAAAATGGATGTTCCAAGGTCTGTTCATGATGCGGTTGTAGAATCTGTGGAAGACATCTTGAAAAAACCTATGGAGGAATCATTTAGTAATGATGTTCTTCACCCACCAATGACCAAAAAAGAGAAGATTGAAGCAGAAGCCAAGAAAATCAAAGCCGTTTTACAATCTTTGGCACCTGAATCCCACGACCAAGTTCTTCAAACCTTTGTCAAGTGTCTTTTCCAACAGCAAAACAAAAGCAGACTGTATTTTTTATGTAATGTTCTTGAATCTCTTGTCGAAAATAACACAATATCCGCAAAACCTGTCAGCGATCATCTTTTAGCATATGAAGGGTTAACATTCAAAGATCAGCTACATTGGAGAGCTACATTTAACACCTTGCGCAATATCGTTGGTGGCGTTCATTATAAAGAAGCTCGCGATTTATTGAAAATTGTTTTAGAAAAATGTCAGGAAAAAGAAGGCTGTAACACATCTGCTGGGGACCATGCGACAGCGCTGATTCAAATTGATGAATCCTTAAAGGTCATTGAGTACATTCTTGATCGGAATGCATGTTTGCTTCCAGGGTATTTTGCAGTGAATGAAATTACAAAGGTTTGTGGAGGAACAACTGCATGGCCACATTGGGGATTAGGAAAATTATTATCAGACTATATAAATAGTTTTAATTTTGCAGCGCAAATGGTATCTATATGTGGACGAAGCCGTTTGCTACCGGTCGTAGGCCATTCTGTGTCAACAAATAACGTGTGGAGATTGAACACTAACACTTTATCTTTTATGTTAAATGGTCCGTTGCCATATGAGAAGGAATTGACAGACCCCCAAACTGGATTAATGCGATATGTTCTGCAACAACCGTACTCCAGAGAAATGGCATCAAACATGTTAGGCCTAAATAAACAAACAAAGCAACGCTGTGAAGCACTTGAGAACCAACTAGTTGATCAGGTTGTCATGGCAATTGAAAAATGTGAAGAGAGCAGCTTACAAGATGGTAATGCAGAAAATGCACAGTTATTATGGCAACATCTTTCCAGTCAGCTGATATATTTTGTTCTTTTTCAGTTTGCGAGCTTTCCCCATATGGTAACATCTTTGTACGAGAAATTGAATGGTAAAAATTTAAAGAAGGGTCGGGATCACCTTATGTGGGTTCTTTTGCAGTTTATTTCCGGTAGCATTCAAAAGAATTCACTTGCAGACTTTCTTCCAGTTATGAAACTGTATGATTTGTTGTATTCCGATTCCGAAGTTATTCCAATCCCAGATGTCAACAGTGCTCATTGCACACATGCTTTTGCAGGGACTTGCATCTGGATCCATATTAATAAGAAAGCCCAAGGAGACCATGTCAAGTTGCACAGACCAATTCCATTTGCTCTGAACGACCACATGGAGTTTTTACGACAGACACTCCAATTAAAAAATCTTATGCTGAATGATTTTAAAGTAGCTTTACTCTGCAATGCTTACAGCACAGATACCAATTGTTTCAGTGTTCCCATGGGTCATCTGCTGGAAAGTATCTATGGTAACAACAAAACAACAACTTTACTCCCTGGCAATGTTGTTGCTTCATCCCCAATCAAACCACTATCCATGAGTTTGTTGGATTCGCTAACGGTTCATGCCAAGATGAGTTTGATTCACAGTATAGTATCAAGGGTTATTAAATTAGCAAAATCAAAATCCTCTGTGGCTCTGGCACCAGCTCTAGTTAAAACATACAGCCGCCTGCTGGTCTACACAGAGATTGAATCTCTTGGAATTAAAGGATTCATTAGTCAGCTGCTGCCAACCGTCTTTAGCAGTAACGCCATTGGAATTCTTCATACTCTTTTAGAAATGTTCAGCTATCGTATGCACCATATACAAATACATTACAGAGTCCAGTTATTAACTTATTTAAATTCCATGGCCAACATTCAGCAAGCTAACCAAAATCAACTCCATCTTTGTGTGGAGACAACAGCCTTAAGGCTTATCACCAGTTTAGGAAGTGCAGAAGTTCAGCCACACCTCTCAAGATTATCAAGTGAACCCAAAGGGATTTTAGCTGGAGAATCAGAAGAATTAAATCGTGTATTTGTTTTAACCATCGCTCGAGCCATGCACATAACAGGAGCAGATAGCTTTTCAACAAATTGGGCCAAAGACATCCTTTTGTCTGTTATGCAATCAACACCTTTGGGATGGCCGGCTGCTACCCTCCAATGCTTCCCCACCAGCCTGAGTGATTTTTTTAACCAAACCCCTGTCGCAAAGGAAGATAAAAATCTACTGAGGAAAATGGTGGAAACTGAATATAAGAAGTGGAAGAGTATGGCTAATGAGAATGACATCATTGCCCATTTTTCCATGCAAGGAATTCCACCATTGTTCCTCTGTATCATTTGGAAGAATCTCATCGAGGAGAACAGAGTAACTCCCACTGCTTACAAAGTTTTAGACAGACTTGGACCAAGAGCTCTCTCGAACCATCTCCGAACATTTGTCGATTTTTTAGTTGTTGAAGTGGCCCTGCAGTCACAAAATATCACCAGATATGTGGAAGCTGTAAATGACATGATTTGGAAATGTAACATAATTACCATCGACAGGCTTATATTATGTCTTGTCTTGCGCAATATGGATTCCAAAGATTCAAATATTCGTTTTCTTTTAACGCAGCTCATCCTTATCCAGTGTAAAGACTTCAAGCAAAGAGTTCAAGACTTTGTCAAAGATAACAGTCCTGAACACTGGCAGACGACAAACTGTCATGAAAAACACATGAACTTCCATAGAATATATCCAGAAAAATTTTTTTTTGAGGGAATCCAGGATATGAACAGTCCCATACAGCATCAGTATTTACCAGTTTATTTTGGAAATGTCTGCTTGCGGTTTTTGCCAGTATTTGATGTAGCCATCCACAGATTGATTGAAACTCCTGCAGTTCATAAAGTACTTGAAAACATTTTACAAGAAATTGGTCGTCTTTTCAAATTTCATGATCGGCCCATAACATATCTGTACAACACTTATTACTACTACGAAAAACTTTTGGCTGATCGGCCCGTTCTTAAACGAAGACTTCTTCAAACGATAGCAAGTGCTTTTAGCGACATCCGACCCAGAAACTGGTGTTTAACCGATGCATATTTGATGTATTTGGAAAGAGGACATGATGAAATTGAATGGATGCCAGATTCAGACTATTATCTAAAGATTGTTGGAAGATTATCAGACACAATTACAGGAAAATCCCCACCACCTTTCCCAGAATGCGATTGGAGATTTAACGAATTTCCTAACCCGGCTGCTCATGCTCTGTATGTATCTTGTGTAGAGTTGATGGCACTTCCTGTTAGTAGTCAAGTAGTTGGTTCGGCACTACTGGATGTCTGCTTAAAAAGCTCATGTCAGATTCCCAGAAATGAGATAATGTCTTGGATGAATGCTGTTGGTTTAATCCTCACTTCGCTACCTGAATTATGCTGGTGGTCAGTCTTGAGCGACCAAATAGTAAAAACATTACAAAGTCAAGAACTTGCGAATCTCGGAAACGGCTCATTAACCAATTTCTTTGAGAAGCTCAATTTCAAGAAGAGCCATGCTGCATATGCGGAACGTGATTGTAGCAGTTTATTGTGTCTGTGTCACGCAATATGGCACCATGCTGGAATAGGACAGTTGTCACACTTGCCAGTATTTTTGAAAGACAGAATCAAACCAATGATCAAGAGAGAAGATCAATTTATTTATGTGTGTCATTTGGTTGGACCATTCTTACAAAGATTACATGGCGAGAGAACACGTTCTTTACTTGATCTAACTGTGGAATTGTATCAGATTTTACTGAATGTGGATAAAGCTTCCGAGCAGTTACATTTAATGGACCCTATTAGTGACTTTCTCTATCACATTAAGTATATGTTTGTTGGTGATGGCGTCAAGGCAGAGACTGAAAATGTGATTAGAAATCTCCGCCCTGCCCTACAACTTCGATTACGATTTATTTCTCATATAAGTGTTGAATGAACATTGACTCAATTGGTGATTTTGTAATTAATATTCTCTATACAATAATCAACAGTGTTTAATTACATGATAGCTGTTAATAGGATAACTAAAGTCATTGATAACATCACAATGGTGTTATTATCTGTTAAATAGTGTTGTATATGTTCAAATAGCAAGACCTACTGATTTTATAACAGAGTAGGCTGTGGCAGGTCACATTAACTTTAATGCATTATATGTTGACTCCCTTCTGGTCACATTATTTTCATGACACATTAATTTCACAAGTATTGGACAACAACAGGGCATCAGTAGCCTCCTTGCTTGGTATGCAATGATTTTTACATGTTTTCTGATTGGTTTAATCAAAAGTAAAGTAACATCTAAAAGGTTGCATTAATAGTCTTCTTTCTTAGATGCATTGATTTGTAAGGATTTCTGTGATTGGTACAAATAGTACACTTTGAATGTCATTAACATGGCCATGGTATCAGATATTCTATGTATGGTAAAGATCATATGAACTGTGAACGTATCAAGTAATTCGAAGAAAACTTTCCTGTTTTATCTGTTTTTAGATAATACATGGATTGTGGAATATATTTTTACTGACAATCATGTGAAATAAACATTGATTGTTCATATTTCTGATATTATATTATAAAATATTGTGATTTTTTCTTTTACGAACTGAAATTATGCTACACAATCATTTATTACTGATTCAAAAAAGTATATTTGTCAAATTTCAAAACATAATGTAAAATTTAGTATGTGCTTACTTGTACTGGCATTGAAATTGACCTGCCAAAAAATTGAATTTGGAAATAACACAATAAATTGCAAAAACGTTGGCTACAACATTAATTAAAGAATGATAAATAGTTATATATTTGGTCTCACAAATAATTTGTAGTAAATTCTCAAATGTCAAGTCCATTTGGCAACATTTTGAATTGAGAGTCGCCATCATCATTTTTGGGGGGGGGGGGTTGGATGGTCAAATGGTTAGCATGTGTGCACTGTATCATAAGGTCTGTCATTGAGTCAACTGGTGTGGTTTCGATTGCCCGGTTGTACGTGACAAGTAGTAGGGTCGCCTGTCCAACCTTGTGGGTTTTCTCCGAGTCCACTCACTGCTAAAGACCCCTATGCGCAAGCAAATTTTTGAAATAAAATTGAATCATGTGTTAGTCCCGAAATGACCTAGTTTGTGTCGAGTGGACGTTTGACCTCATTTCTCTCTCTCACACATAATCTTTTTGTATACCTCACAGGGGGGGGGGGGGAAGAGACTGGTACAATTAGCCATTAATTGTACATCACACTGTTGAGGATCGAATCAGCTGTTTTAACATGTACATCACACTGTTGGGGATCAAATGGGCTGTTTGTACATGTACATCACACTGTGGGAATCGAATCAGCTGTTCGTACATCACACTGGTCCGGATCAAATCAGTCTCTTGTACACGTGGGAACCGATTCAACTTTTTGTACATCAGTCGTTTGTACATGTGGGGGCCGAATCGGCTTTTTGTACAACCCCACCATGTCAATCTCAAATCAAAGTCATGTATTTCATTCATTGTAAGTTTTGATGTAAGGTTTATTATTCTATCACCACCATTAAAATTTGTTATTACATTATGGATATATGACAATTTATATTATTGTTATAAATAAAAGTTTGTTACCTTTGACCATTTAAATGAAATGCCCGAGAAAAAAAAACAGTTTAGTAGTCAGCCAGCGAGAGTCAAAGGCGTCAGGGGCGGATCCAGAAATTCTTGCAGGACAGGGTTTGCCAAGTTCCTGAGATAATGTATCTTTGGGGGGTCTGAAATTTTTTCAGAAATACATGGTCTCTATCCCCATATACTGAAATCAATTTTTATTATGAAGTAATATGATGACATTGTGATTCAATTTCATTGATCCAAAGCATTGATTGTGATATCGTTGTCTATATCATTATCTAGTGCTTTGAATGCCCACCCCATCCCACCATCTGGCGATAAAGGATAGAACACATGACCATGATAATTTTCTCATAAAACGTGTTGTTTTACAATTTCTTTTTTATGTAACAGAGCTGGGGGGGTTGCCAGGCAATGAAACATATACGCCCACAGCAGCTAAATCGTCCGAGCGGTCGACAAGGGTTGTCACATATTATAAATTTTGTTGTTTGAGGGTTCACAAGGTTCTACAAACTGAAACAAGGGTCTCAACTCTGGAAGTAATCTACAGAAATTGTTGAAATTTGACAGGCTTTTTCGTTTTACTAATTTAAATAATGCATATAAATTTCATACAGATCACATGATCACTTTTGTCATTCAAACATTCACAAGGTTCACAATCGTCATAACTCTAGAAATTATTGACTGAAATTGCTGAAATTCAATAGGATTCTTCTCTTGACTAATTTAAATGACACATGTAAATTTCATACAGATCGGCAGAGCATTAGAGCGTTCCCATGGTGCAACAAAGTGAAACATGGGTCATAACTGTAGAAATAATTGACGGAAATTGCTGAAATTCAATAGCATTCTTCTCTTGACTAATTTAAATGGCACATAAATTTCATACAGATCGGCAGTTAACTGAAATTGCTGAAATTCAATAGGATTCTTCTCTTGACTAATTCAAATGGCACATAAATTTCATACAGATCGGCAGTTAGAGCGTTCAAAAAGTGCAACAAAGTGAAACAAGGGCCATAACTCTAGAAGTAATAAAGAGAAATTGCTGAAATTCAATAGGATTCTTCTCTTGACTAATTTAAATGACACATGTAAATTTCATACAAATCGGTAGAGCGTTCCCATGGTGCAACAAAGTGAAACAAGGGCCATACCCATAACTCTAGAAGTAATTGACGGAAATTGCTGAAATTCAATAGACTTCTTTGTTTCACTAATTTAAATCTAGAGCATTCACAAAGTTCAATAAAGTGAAACAAGGGTCATAACTCTAGACGTAATTAACGGAAATTGCTTAAATTCAATAGGCTTCTTAGTTTCATTAATTTAAATCATGTATATACATTTCACAAAGACTGGGTGATAACTTTTGGCGTTAGAGCGTTCACAAGGTTCAATAAAGTGAAACAAGGGCCATAACTCTAGACGTAATAAAGAGAAATTGCTGAAATTCAATAGGCTTCTTCGTTTCACTAGGGGATCACGTGGCTAAGTGGGTAAGACGCTGGCTCCCTAGCCTGGAGGTCGGCTGTTCGATCCCTGCATTCGCCGAGAAAGTTCATCCAGATTTTCCGGTGTGATTCCCCCTTGTCAGTGATGCAGGACAAAGGGCCTGACAAGGACAGCTGTCTAGTCCTTCGGATGATACAAAAAACCGAGGTCCCGTGTATACATTGTAATGCACGTAAAAGATCCCTTGGCAGTTGGAATTCGATATAAGAGTAGGCGATAGTTCCGCTGCCCGGGCAAAATTTCCCTCATAGCACACTGTATGGCGTATGCCCGCCTTCATTAGCCCAGCATGGGAGCAGAACAGTAGGACGTTAAACCCCATTTCATTTCGTTTCACTAACTTAAATTAAATATTGCATATAAATTTCACAAAGATCGGATGTTAACTTTTGGCATTAGAGCGTTCACAAGGCTCAACAAAGTGAAACAAGGGCCATAACTCTAGACGTAATAAACGGAAATTATTGAAATTAAATAGGCTTCTTCATCTCACTAATGTAAACAACATATATCAATTTTTTAAAAATTGGATAATAACTTTTGGCGTTAGAGCTCACAAGAAATTGTGGACGATGGACGGACGGGGGCGACGGCAATTAACATCCACATTTCAATGTGGGCGTATAAAAATTGTAATCAAGCAATCAATTAGGCTATTGCCACTGCATTCACCGGACTTTAGGGGCTTTGTTCACGAAAAAAAAAAAGCAGTGTGGCTTACGAAGTGTGGCACTAAGTTCAATTAAAGGTTTAAAAAAAATAACATTCCCGAAAAATTGATAAAACAAATAACGATTGATGCTCGGAAAATGTTGCCCAAAGCATAGTGGTCAATACTGTAAAAATTTGCCGTAGTAAAGTAAGTGTTTATTTATCACGTAAAATGTACTGTTTTAAATCCACTTTACACGTCTGCCCTAAAAATCTTTTTGTCCTAAAGTAAGGGGTGCAGCTCCTTTGCCTATGGGAATCAGCTAGCAAAAGAGGAATATGGTGGCGTGAAATCAATAGAAAATAACATTAGGTGGTCAAGCCCGAAATTTTCTATATTCATATTGAATCTTGGGCTTGCATTTTGAAAAGATAGCTATTTGGAAATACGCCCAAACACCTGATTTTTCACAACAGCTTATCAGAAAGGAAAACGTGGATGTTGACCGAATTTGATACTATAGGAATCTAGGATTCTTCATGTCATCTATATCTCTATCATCTTCAAAATACTTTTCCGGACACATAAACTCTGGAACAGAAAGTCCTAGATTACTGAAAATCAACAGGGTTCATCCTCTCCAATTCCAATGCTTCACACCAATTTTGTAAATCAATAGGGTTAATCTTCTCACACCAAATTTGTAAACAACCTATTTGTCGCCGAATTTTGATCGCTCTGTCCCCTCATGACCCCAATGCTTCACACCAAATTTGTATAAGACCGGAGCCTGTTTTATCACGTTATCAAGGTTTTTGGAGAAGAGGACGGGGGTAACCCTGGAACTGAAAGTCGCAGATTGCCGAATATCGATAGGGTTCATACCGCCATAACCCAAATGGTTCACACCAAATTTGAAAGAAATCTGTTAAAACTGTAGGCTAGTCTCTATTGCACTAACGGGGGTTGGATGGCTGAATGGTTAGCACTGTCGTGTGCGCTGTACCATAAAGTCTGTCATTGAGTCAACTGGCATGGTTTCGATTCCCCGCGGTTGTACGTGTCCAACCTCGTCGGTTTTCTCCGGTTTCCTCCCCCTGCTAAAGACCCCTACGCGCAAGCGAATTATGGAAATAAAATTGAACCGTGTGTTAGTCCCGAAATGTCCTAGTTTGTGTTGAGTGGACATTAAACCCCATTTCTCTGTCTCTCTATTGCGCTAACAAGGTTTTCGCAAAGGGGGTTAACTCCGGATCGCCAGAATGGTAGGTTGGGAAACGCTATCGATAGGATTATATCCTCTCATCACCCCATCAACCTAAGGCTAAATTAGAACAAAAATCTATTAAAAACTGTATCCCATCTTATTAACAAGGTTTTCAGAAAAGGCGGGGGTCTGGAACGACAGGTTGGTCCTCTGATGACCAGAAGGCTTCACACCAAATATGAAGAAAATCCGCTAAAAACTGTAGCCTCATCGCGTTAACGAACAAATTGCTGACGTTCGGGCAAGGGCGACCTCATAGTCATCGACTAGAGATAATAGGATTCTTTAGGACGCTGGATAAACATATATTTATTGCCATTCATGATATGCTACTGACACTGTACGGTGAATTAACGTTGGCAAGAAGACTTCTATGTCTAATTCAGTAATTAGTTTTAAGTACAATTGGCCTTCATCCGTAGTTAATTCAGAATGGTCTTTTGCTAAGGTTAGTGTTGGAGATCAGAAGTTGGGAGGAGCTTCGATATTGAGATTGACATTTCTAAGCTTGTCAATCAATTATGGAAAGCTCAGAGTCGGACCAAGATTTGATTTCTACTACTGCTCCTATCTAGTCCAACAAAAAGGGACACATATCATCAACTAATAAAAAATAAATTAATAGACTGGAGGCCAAGATCTTGAATATAAACTGATGTATTTCGGGAAGATATTTTCATGCTAAGGTGTTAGTCTGGAAAATTTAATCTACAGTTTGGCGGGGAAAATTGACAACGACCTTGAACTTTTGATGATAGGTTTACTCCACTCGGCAAACCTCGGCGATTCCGTTACTCGACATCTAGCCTCGGCTGTATGCCGGTAAGTGATATGTACCTACGCCTATACAATTGCACTGGTTTACTTATTACTTGCCGCTTTTAAAAAGAATTTATCAAGTAATAAGTAAACCAGTGCCGCATCGCAATTGTATAGGCGTAGGTTCACATCACTTACCGTCATACAGCCGAGGCTAGATGTAGAGTAACGGAATCTGCCGAGGTTTGTCGAGTGAGGTTTACTCGATTATCTGTGAAAAGGAGAAACTGGCACAGCTAAACCAGAAAAGTTGACGAATGTTTAGATAATGCCCAACGCACCTTGTCTGAAGTGACTTCTGCAACTTTAATTTATTTCTTAATTATAGCATGTTAAAGTTGCGCAAATAAAATTTATTTGTAAATAATTCCAAAATATACAATTATATTTGGTGGAGTAGCATTCACAACGAACTATCAGAATAATATAAAGGGTAATATTACCTGGAGGACGCATTTTGGTTTCTGTGTTGGCCGAGAAAGTTCATCGGGATTTTCCTTTGTGCCCCCCACCCCCATGTGATTGGTGTAGGAGGGAGGGCCGGGCAAGGAACAAGAAAAACATGATCTTGAGTCACCGGGTATTCAAATCAACTTAGTCCTACGTTGACGTCACCGCTAATAACGTTCTAGTTATTTGTTTCCGTGGATGTTAGCGAAACGCCAACGTGATTATGTTGCAACAAAGTAATACAGAATAAAAAACATTGTCGAGGTTAGTATATTCTATTTTTGCTTGTATAATAACATTGTACAACAAATTTGTAACTTTGACGCTCGATACAAACAAAACGTGACCTACTTTCGTGAAGTCTTTGGACTCGTTGTCTCGTCTTACACTCGCGAAACAAAAATGGCGAAGAAGAGGTCGTTTTTCTATCGTTACGGTACTGGCACAAGGCCGATCATCGGTGAAATCGTTACGGTGTATAATATGCCAACGAGTTACTATTTTAGAGCATACTTTACTAAAGGCTACATTGATTCGTAAACTATTTTTTAGTTCTGCGGAAGTGTTAAATAATTTGTTTACATTTTATCTCTCGATGTCATTGAGTTAACAAAAATAACACATCTATCGATGATATTTTTGTTTTTGATCGAGATTCGCTATAAGGCTATATCCTCTTTGTTATGTTCAAATATAAGCTTTATGTAAATTTTGTAACCAATTATAGTAATAAATTTACCTGTAGACATTATTACTATTAGCCAGAATTTAACTCACAGGTTCTCATTAATAAAATTATTAGGCCTAGACCATAATAATAATAATAATAATAATAAAAGGATTTGACATGACACTGAAAAATAGATTTTATATTACTTTCTATATTATAGGCCTATCGTTCAAGCAAGTTGTTTAATAAAAAGATTATAAAAGCTATCAATTTAAGATTTGTGAAAGATTTCACACAACAGTAGCAAGCATCTTAAAGATGCCTTATGTAAGTGCTAAATCTGCGTATTGCAGATCTTTTCTTTGGCCTCAAATGTTATATAAATTTTTGATTTATTCACATGACGAGCCCGCATAATCAACTTGAGAACATAAGATGGTCACAATTTTGAATGGACTGATAGTGATAGACAGTTGATCACCATTTAATAATTCAATTTAAAAATCAATAAAGTCAGGACTTAGTTTATTATCGTAACAACGTTTACAATTAAAATTGCGACTGCACTATTCTTCAAATATTCACAACTTTGCTCAGAATAAAGTAATTTGACTGGAATTTTGAATATATTCCTCTTTCATTAATGGTTTCTGTTTTGTTTTTAAACTATTAGTATGGTACCGTATAAGGGGAACTGTCAGCTCTATAAATTATGCATTTTAAAGAGAAGGCAGCTTGGCCCATCTCAACAAACTTTTATATTTAGGACACACATATCTACTAGCTTTTTTCAGGCATGTTTTTTTGGTGTTTTTTGGTGGGGGTGGGGGGTAAAAAGGTGTGTTCATACAGCGGGGAAGTTTTTGCACAAATCCGATATAAGCTTACTGAAACAAATTGTTGATGCTTTCTGCCAGGATCCATTCATGGAATCAAAGTTAAACTGGTACAGGCTTATGTGGTATGTGCATGTAAATATTGTTTTGCAAGATTAATTGTTAAAATAAAGGGGAGATATACAAAAGATTAAAATATTGTTATCCTTTTTCTTCAGAATTTGACAAGTTGTATAAAAGGTACCCTACTTGTAAGTAAGAGACAATGTCGGAAAAAAAGATAACAGTACAATGCTGTGTTCCAGCATGTTACAACACAAACCATATGGAACCACAAATCCTCTTTTTCCCATTTCCAAAGCGTCGAGAAATGCAAGAAAGATGGCTGCACGCAATACGTCGACCAGAGCTTAAGAAAATTCTTCCAGTAAGTTTATTAAAAATCTACCTACGGTAATCATCTTCCTAAAAATTTGAACAAAAGTATCCATGTGAAAATTTATTCAGTCTATATTTATTGAAACACAATAGATATTAGGAATTTAATTTTGACCATTGTTGCCAGTTATTATTACCTGTCCGACTTAGAATATTGAAAGTGACCTCGTTTCATATCTAATGAGATGTATGATTGCTTGATTGGGTGGTCGAATGCTCTTAAAACTTAAAGTGTGTAATTGCAAATCATACATTTATCATATCTATGCTAGTCTTAGACAATTTAACTCTTGCCTTACTGAACCCTTGACCATACTAGGACTGGTCAGGAATTTTAAAACATGCAAACAGATATTCAGGTTTACATGACATGAAGACTTGTAACAACGGTTACTAGACTTGAAAATGTGCAGATGGGCATTATTGCCTGGCAACGCTATGCTATATTTTTTTAAAATTATTAAGAATAAAAAATGTCCAGACCTGTCCTGGACGTTAAACTCATTTCTCTTGCTACACTTGCTTACTGTACTTTCTGTTCACTTCAACAGAATCTGTTTTGGACAATTTATTTTCCAGGTTGACCAACCATTCCACATGTTCATATGTTTAGATCATTTTAAGAAGTCAGATATTGTCAATCTTGGAGGGCGTACATGTTTAAAAGCTGGTGTAATACCTAGTGTGTTTAAATGGATGGAGCATGAAAAGAAAATGGAACTTCCTGCTGCCCCTACTGGTACTCTCAAATCCAAGTAAGCATGATTTTTTGGGTTGTTTTCATGGTACTGCCTTAATGAATTGGTGGTGACTGCCCTATGCAGGCATGTGTCCCCCCCCTCCCCCCTGATCTGTAATCTGATACAAACACCTTGGGGTGTAGCACCTTGAATACACTTACTAGAAACTTTCTTATGTTCAGGTTCTGCCACACAGAACATTCCAGGGTATCATTTAAAAATGCATAGTCATATTCAAAGAATAATCTGGTGATGTAATTGCATGATTGGACCGTTCTGTAATCGGTTGCAGGCTCTGTTGCTGTCACTACATTTCATAGTCAATTGCAACTATCAAACTGCATTTGGAAATAAGTAACAGAAGTAAATATATTAAAGTATTAACTTTTAAAGGAGATATTTAAAAAGTCTATTATGTAGATATTATAGGTTAATCTATCAATGCAAAATTATTGTATCTGTGGATACCGTCTGCCTAACCAGTTTATTGATATTTAATTATTTTTCTTGGAAATATCAATATGATATGCTACAGATTGAATTATCAAGGAAAAAAGTATCTTGATTTGTACAAAATGCAGATTTCAGGGGACCTGTTTTATTCACAGATCTTCTAAAAGTCTAACATGTAATGTAATTTTGACATTTTTTGTAGATTAGTAAAAAAGCTGGATAAAGAAATAATAATGGTTACATGTGGAACTTTGGAAGCTGAACTACATAAAGAGAAGTTTTATTGTCCTGGTATTCACAGAGAATGTATCAAATATAATAACCAGTTTATTACACCTAAAATGTTTATGATCATGGGAGATAAAGAGAGATTGAAAGATTGGAAAAATGCTGTTAGAATTCATGGAGTTAAGATAAGGTAGTGTTTGATCTAAAAAAATTTATTCTGAAATCTAAGATCAATAAATACCAATATTCTGAAATCTAAGATCAATAAATACCAATATGTAGTGATATGCCGATATGGTTACCATCGGTTTTAGATGTCGACAGCGAAAAACATCAGCCAATACAAATACAATTACCGTTATATAAAAATATTACTCATTAAAATGCCTCGAATGTCATGATAATTGATCTACATGTCATTGTCAGTCGGGAAATGCAGGGTACTATTTTTTCTCTGGAGTCGAACACAGTGTTTGAAGGAATAAATGGGCCATGCTTCCTACAGAGTTAAAAGTACATAATGTCTATTGTATGATAGCTTCTCATCTTTCTCAATCAAGTGATCAACATAATCCCACTATATCTATAAAATAATAGAGATTAAAATAGAACCATCTAATCTATTGGGAACTTATTATTTTGTTGTGTTATTAATTAATTAATGAAGTAAATTTTTATCAGAACCTGTGAAGGATTAAAACGCTAAAGTAGAGCAGTAAGGGTTTTGTATTGTTTACTCTTTCCTTTTTACTGTCTCTATCTGGGAGTCGAGTCTTGTATTATGTCTAAAAAGTCACATACATGGCAACTAAAAAAATACGCCAAGCAAGAGAGAATGATTTGTTCACAACTGGAATGGTATTTACTGAGTCTTTTTGAACAGATATTGGTGACTCAGTAGCGTCAAATGACTGATTATCAGCTGATGCCAATTACCGATGGTGTAATTGATAATCAGGACATCACTACCAATATGTTATGAGTTAAGTGTTGTACATGTGTATTCCCCAATGCAGAGTGACTATTTCCCTTTACTGTATTATTTTTCTACAGAAAATTCATTGAAAACAAGCAACTTGATTTACTGTCTTATTTTTCCACAGAAAATTCATTGAAAACAAGCAACTTGATTTCTACAGACATAAAGAATTTTGTACAGGACGTTGTGTAGCCCGTCTGCCTGTGAACCTGTTCCGCACCAAAGCTCAACCACCTGAACATTTCATTAACACCTCAGGTGACATCTCAAACGTGAGATTCCTAGAAACCGATAGACGTCCAGAGTTTAGTAAACCGGATGCCAGACCTTATATAGAAAATGAAATTGAGAATGAGAATGAAAATGAAAATGAAAATGAATCGGATGAAAGTATTGATGAAAAGCCTGATATTGATGTCCTTAATGAATTACTGAAGAGACCGATTCCTACCACCATAACACAAGGTAGTATAAACAAAAGAGTTTATTTACAAAACAAAACAAAGCTTGGTAATCAACATCCCGCATCCTAATCTAGTTAGTATACCAAAAGAAACGCAAAAATGATTAAATCTGAGAAATTACAAATTATTGAAAGGCACAACTACCATAATAGGTAGATCTGTGTACAAGTTTTATACAGATATCTTGAACGGTTTAAGATGTGTTTAGCCTGTATATTTATTTTTAAAAAGACTGCTACCAGATAGTTGTAAAGAAAATATATAGGCCTAATGTCAATTTGCAAATAAACAAATATCATTACAATGTTGTAATTCAAGGAATGAGACATCTTCAGACAAATTCAGCTAATTGTATCCGTGTCAGTTTCTGATACTAGAAAACATGAAATTAATGCTGTCATTAAATAAGACCTATCACCATTCACTTTTATTTCAGTACACATTTATGTCAACCTCTGTTGACATTAATTTCATTGACTCTTGCCTAGGATGTCCATGGGTTGAATCTCAGCATGGGCAGAAATGAATCCTCAGAGCAGAAATTTTCAAGCCTGTTTCTTAATTATCAAGGGTCATTATATGACGTGCACTTAAAAGCACCTTGGCAGTTGGAATTTGTCTATGCAAAATTCTTGCCGTCATGCTGTACACGTAACCAGTGAAATAAAAATGACCATATGTTAGTCCTAAAATGATCAAGGTAATGGGTTGATGAGATGTTAAACCCCATTCCATCATATTTATGTCACTCCATTTCTCCTTTTACAGGAAATTTAGTGGAATATTTTCCAAAGTACCCTAATCATGATATTTCTTGTAAAGTAATGAATTTTTTATGTTTTGTTTCCAGGATCTAATTCTAGTTTTGGTATAACTGATAATCAGGTATTTTGGAGAGGTGTGGTGAAACTCGGATTAATAGCTAAATGTTTTGATGTTATCAAAGATCATATTAATACACTTCAAACTGATTTCGTTCTTCATAATGTACGACAAGAAGGTATGTAATACATGTAATATACTTATACTTATAATGGCTGTGCCAGATATATCATATCAAATGTTACCAAAAAGATAGAATTATTATTACTAAATTTGTCTAAGGCTGATTTGAATAATTTCTTAATGCGATGATTTTTTTTTCGAGATGAAAGTTCTTTTGATTGTGTATGATCTTGTAACTTGATAACTTTTATTCTGGGATGTTGGGGATTTAAGAGCATATTATTTGTGATTGATCTGATCATGCTTTATTGATTGTTATAGTTTTATACTTACTACTATTAGTACTATAGAAAATATATCTGTGTAATTGAATACAGTTATGCTAACTTTTCAGTGATATGACTATCTTGATTGTACTGCTGACTGGCATATGATAGGACGTCATTTTTATATAAGTATGGTTTTTTTGCACCGTTTAATGGCCATTTTACACTACCTGTTATTGTATATAATGTTATGTATAATTATTTACTTGATCTTTTATAAACCGCCAACAAAAAGGATGTGCTTAATTTACCTTTTCGCATAAATCTTTGTACAATCTTCAGGGGCAGGTGACTAACAAATTACATCAATTGAGTAACTGTGAAATATACATTATTTGTATTATTTTGTAGATGCCCATGAATTAAGTTGTATTGTGAGAGAGATGGGATTATCTAATAATCTACAACACATGTTAGCTTCATGTAAACAAGATATGGATAATCATTATGAGAAACTTGATCAAGAAATGGAAGGTAACATTCATTATAATGTTTTGATAAGCCTCTTTTTGATTGTATTCAATCGAAGTTGGGATATTATCTACAACTACTATTGATATTTTGCTTTTGATTTCTTAATTAAATTTTGAATATTAAATTTGAGTAAATTTTAGCGTGGATTTAGCTGTGAAAAATTAGATTTTATCTGAAAAATGTAATTGAAAATCAGTGACTTTTGGCTACCAAAAATTAGTAAAGAAGCATACATATTCAGATGGAGTAAAATATGAATTTATTGTTATATTTTCTGTCTTTGTATTATGATGGATTTTTCCTGCAGTGAGCTTGTCTATTAAAAATGTTGTCTGTAATTATTTTAGAATTAAAACAGAAAGTATCACAGTATGAAAATCGAAAAAGAATGTTGAAGCTGAAGTCTGATGAATTTAAGGCAATCTTAAATCTGAACACTCCAAAAGCAGCAACACAGACCAAAATGGAGTCTGATGATAGTGATGAAGAGGTGTCGGTACACTTTGCCAGCAGTTCTCCTCAGCAGAATTCTACCTTGCCTAGCAACAAAAGGCTAACTGTGCATTCTCCAAGTGAAGTAGCAGGACCGTCAACAAAGCGTCTAAAATTTTCTACGGACAATGGTAGCGAAGAGGTTCTTGATGTATTGGTGACTTCTCCAGCAAATGTCTCGACTATTAAATTAGAAAAAGTGTCTGACACAGCAGCCGCTGCTGAGGTAGAATCAAAAGTGGAAGATGATACGTCCACACTTCCTAAAATTGTCAGCGTCACATCAATGCAACAAGAGGAAGTGAAATCGCCCAATGCAACTAACAACAATAGTGATGTTACTGCCTTGGAAGATATTCAAAATGTTGTCGCAAATGGACAGCAGATGGCTGAACAGATATTACAATCAGCTGGAGATGATGAACATGGTGACCATGCTGATGATGATATGCAAGCTATTGATACCAATAATATATCAATAATTAATGAGAGCTCTATTAGTAGCACAAGTACCATAGTTAAAAAGGTGAGTGAAATTTTTATTTTACTTTCCATGCTCTGCCGTAGTTTATGAGAAAAAAAATGTTCAAACTTGCTGGGATAACTTGACTAGGAATAAGGATGAATCCTTATCAAAATTGGGATTAAGTGAACAGTTATTAGATAACCATTATGACTGTTATAATACTGAAGATTCTCAAAGTGCAGATTATTTGATTTTATTTCAAAATTTGCTGTGAGGTATGTATAATTATTTGCACTGTTTTTGGCATCTACATATTATACACAATTATTGTTCATGACATCTTATTCCATTCAGATTTTTTGACCAACAAGACTTGTCTCTTTCCAGGATCAATCTCCACCAAATCCAAATGTTCGAACAGTATTATGGGTAAAATCCAATGGAACATCCGAGTACATTACCTTCAGTAACAACTCCGAAACAAACTCTTCAGCAGAGACCGTCACGGTTTGTGACCAATCAGAGGATTCAACTACATCACCAGTAACCAATCAGACAGCTTCTATCCCAGTGCCTCCAGCTCAATCAAAAGATGAAGAAATTAGTGCTATCAATAGCCAATCAAGTGACATTGCTGACAAAGCTAACCAATCAGAAATTACGACAGAAAATAAGTTAGAAAATGTTATAAAAGCTGATGGTAACAAGGATTCAAACAATACTGAAGAGAAAGTTGATAAAAAACAAAGCGAGGACCAATCAAATGATAACATAATGGATGAATTAGAAAGAAAAACACCCCAAAATATTTTCCCTTCCGAGCCAGTTTCTGAAACTGGACCAATTATTAAAGTACGGAAACTGTCAGAGAAAAGCCTTGGTGAAACAAGTGAGGAAGGGGATTCCAAGAGATGTGTTTCACCCCTATTTGGAGATGATTTATTTACCGATATTGTTGGCTCACGTAGATCTATGAGGAAACGAGTTGCAAAAGTAAAAGATGATTTGTAATTGATGCCTTTACTTAAAGGGGCATTATGGGAGATTAGATAAAGAGTTGACAGTTCTCGCTATAATAGTTTAAAAATAGATAACGTAAATAGAATATGCTGAAAATTTCAATAAAATTGCTCCACTCTGAACCGAGATATTAGCTTTTGAATTTTAGGCTAGCCTCGATCATCATTAGTGATCATCATTACTTGGTACGATAAAAGTCTCGATTATCCATTTTTATGTTTAATTATTTTTAAAAGAATGTATTCCAATCTGCTTAAAATCGCAGGCTAGCGATGACATCAAGAGTTGATTATGTTCTGGATAAGTTAATTAATGTCTAATTAATAATTTAGATAAAATTTCAGGCCTAAAGAAAAACCTGCAATAGGCAGCTTTAGCTTCTTGCATAATGTATGTTTAAAAAAATTTTTTTATACATGTGTATGACATATTCTAATATCTGAGTTTTTGATATGCATGTATCGACAAATTTGAATAAACTGTAAGTAAATGATACCATCCTGCAATACCATTCTGTTTGGTTTGCATTTAAACCAACCCAACCAGTTGTTTGTGTGTACTATTATTACTATTCTTAAATTCAACAACAATGGAATGCCTAATTAAATGAGTTATGTAACCCATTAAGCAAATGTATCTATCATATCTGATCGACTATTTTTAATTTTAGACAAAAAAAATAGTCATTCGATTTTCATACTTATACCCACGATTATTTATGGTGTCCTGTAAAGTCTGGTACTGGCCCTTTGATATTATGTCCTGGAGCCAAAAATGTTTAGTACAAAATATATTTTTTGTGTTGAATAAATTTCATAACACCCAAGAGCCTTTAAGAGAAATAATTTTCATAACATCCAAGAACCTTTAAGAGAAAGAAATTAATATTTTTTATAAGTTTCATTTATTATAATTTACTTTAATGAAAATTTGAATAACATTTTTTGCATACTTTTCCATTCAAATTTCTAATATAACTTTGTTAATGCTATAATGTAGTATATTGTACATAATCCATATTGTATTATGTTTTCATATTTTGCTGTTGGATCTACAAGTTGTGGTAGATACCATATGAATACAGTACAGTCAAAATAGCCTTCGTGATTATATTGTGTGCACTCATCAGTGACTGTATTCCAATCAACATTCTGATAGGGACTGATAGGGATACAGATCACAAAATATACAGACTTTTTACTGGCAATTGTCAAAGTTCTAATACAAATTTTGGCTGCTTTCTTAGAATATTTCAGTTTGTGGGATTAAGGTACAACTTATGTACAGTCCTATGAAAAGTCTGTTTGATATTAGACAAACAACTCATAGTCTTAGATGAGTATCTATACCTTGACAACAGAGAGTATTGTAAAGATGTATTTATAAGCAGGCTTATAATATTTTCAACTTTATAATATTTATTCTTTAATTCATATATTATTTTGTGAAAGAGAATTTCAATTGTTTTTGACACTGTTATGTTTGACAATATAAGCTGGCTTATAGAACTACCCCGTAATTATTTGTTTTGATAATTGAGTATTCAGCAAAATTAATGTTGATTGAAAGTTTATTACCATTTGGGTTTATTGGAATATGTTTCAAAATTGCTTTGTGGGGTAATTGCACCAGAGGTACATTTTACATGTAAGAGAAGGGGCATGTTTTTTTGGGGGGGGGGGGGGGTGTCAAGATCAGTCTTGTATATTTAGATAAAGTAACCAATAACATATTACTGTAATTTGATATGTATAATTTCATAAATCAATAGAGCTAATATACATTTGAACTGATACATTCAAAAAGATATTTGCAGCAGGGTTAGGTCAAGAAATTGTATTGTAGTTTTTAATTAATGCATACCTATATAACAATTGTGTATATATGTATTATGTAAATAATTGTTTTGTAAATAAAACTTCTACACATTTTGTTTATTGCGCTATAATAAAGGAGTTTTATCTTTAATACACCCTGTTCCCAATTGTCAGGGGTAATGCAGTTGCTTGGAAACATCTGATCGATTCCTAGCTTTAATGATGGGGTCTACGAATATGACAATTGTAGTAATTTTCAGGGGTATTCGCTGTGCGACTGAAAGATGGCATCTGCATATTGATTTATACTAAAAGAATGAGTGAAAGCTGGAATCCAAAGAAGAAATGGTGTAAATACCACTGTGCAGGCTAAATTCTCCTCCCCAGTAGCTGAGGCTAGAGTTTAAAAATAACTATGTTAGTCTAAAAATTACTGTATTGATGAGGCTTTAACCCCCATTTATTTTTCTAGAACAATAACAGTTTCGCATTAGTTAGAAAGTTCAAATACCTTTAACCCTATCAATATGTGGTGTATGGAATGGAATGGGGGTTTAACATCTAATTAACACAATACTTCATTTCAGTGGTTAGGTGTGCAATTTTGCCCCAACAATTAACAATTCCGCCGCCTCTTTCACGAAGTCCAACTTCTAAGGGATCCTTTACATGCACAGCAAGGTGTACATGGATGGACCTCATTGTTTGGTCCCATTTGAGTGACTAGATGCTGTTCCTTACCAGAACCTGGTGTGAAAAATCTTGAAGGTTCTTCTTGATCTACACTATGATTTGAACCGAAAGAAAGAAAGAAACAAATGTCATACCGCTTGACCACTGCGAGCCCCAATTGTACAAATGGCTAAAAAAATCCGTCAACTTTTGTATTACAGACCCCCACAAAAATAAAACACAATTTCAAAATTATATAACTTTCATGTCTCTAATATTTCCAAATCATACCAATACAAAAATATAACAAACAGTTAAGTATTTACTGGATTTCAAATAACCAGAATTTCGTATAATAACATTTCAATACTTTCAGCTATTAAATATATAATATATAAGAATGAACACACTACTTACTGGAAGAATCTAAAATCTCGTCATGAAAAAATCTCTTTTAATTTCTTAAAAGATTAATTTGGATAACATTCTGTTTTGTTTTTTTAATAAAAATAATTAAAAATCTCCCTTTCTCCCTAGGAAAACTGGAAAACAACCTTACAAAGCCAAAATTCCACTGAGGGCAATATCCCAGATAATTAGTATTACTAGGTTTTAGGCCCATGTAAATTAAGAGTTGGTGCCTTTATACATGAACCTCTTGTAGCACCATCCAATTTATGTTACATTATAAATACATGTAATGGAAGATCTAAAAAAATTTTGTTCAATATATTCTTAAAGGAGAAATCCCAGATATATTTCAATGTCACATCATGTCACTACTAGAATATGCAATTGCCTTGTCCATGTCCAAAATTGTTTGTTACTTAAGACAAATGCACAGTGACATCATTTTTATGTTGTCCTGTGTGGAATAAAATTTGCAGATTGCTATGTTTTAATTAACCCTTGGAAATTTTTTACAAAAGATATCATATATTTATCAGGTCGCTGATATCATAAACTGGGACTTCCCCTTTAATAAACATCAACAGAAATACAGCTGAAAGGTTTTAGATACATTTGTACATTAATATGAGATTCTCACGGATTTAAATAATATGATTATTAACAAAATAAATACATGTAGATAAGATGAAATAAACTACATGAGTATTCATAAACTGTTTTCTCTGTGGTATTGAAAACTGAAAACCTACTCAATGTTTTTTGTTATATGCAAAATTTGAGTAAAATTTATATGATGGATGAGGCAGCATGTAACACAGACTAGAAATGTCAACATACAACACACTTGTAATCAAACTTTACAAATTCATTTAGCAAAAATATGTCAGATTTGTGGCCAGATCATTTTTTTTTTTTACAAAAACATAAAATTTTAACAAAATAAGGATATAAATGCTTAGGGGCTTATCAGTAACTGGCAAGTAAATGCATGCTGTTAACATTCAACTGTTCTCCTTACTACATGTATAGGTAACCATCATTAGCCTCTTATGATGGTTGGATGATGTGCAGCCACAATAGCTATAACTATGAGCAAAAATATAGATCACAGCAATAATCGCCATACACCAATAAATGATTATTTTGAAGACATAAAAGGGGGCGATGTAAATGGCTTTAAATAATGAAAAATATCCCAATATATACCCTCAACAACAACAATAATTAAATGAAAGCCATTAAACGTATGAACCCTGGGATGAAAGAGTAATAATGAAGATATATTTACAACCTCAAGATAACAATAATATACACTGTTTATATAAATAACAAATAAACGCAAATAAGGCACAGATTTAATTTATAACTCCTATAAAGAGGTCAATTTAGCTCCTAATATTATTTCAGTTGTGTACATAGTAAACATCTGAGCAGATCTAGAAATCATGACCATCTTATCGCATGGGCACACTGGGCAGGTGTCGAGGTCTCCCCATGAACGTAGTAAACATCTGAGCACATCTCGAAATCAGGACCGTCTTATCGTCTTATCGCATGGGCACACTGACCCCAGGATTTTAGCGAACCCAAGATTCAATTTAGAAAATAACCAGTGGCTGCCAGGCAGGATAAGCCCACATTTTGGAAGAGATGGAAAGAGAACAAGCTAAACAAAAAGAGATTTTTCGTAACATCAAGGGCCATAATTCAGGAAGTTACGATCCGATATGCGCAAATATCGACAGGAACCATGATCTTTGGGTTATAAAGATATATTTTTCAAGTTTCATCAAAATCAGATCAACATTGTGACTTCTAGAGAGTCCACAACCTTGATAACATCAGCCATCATTAGGGTGTAACGGTGATATATTCAAACGTTTTAAATCGGATAAAAATTGTTAACTCTAGAGTGACCACAAGCTAAAAACATGATTTTTTGTACAATCAAGGGTCATAATTCAGGAAGTTACAATCCAATATGCGCGAAATTTGAAAAGAACCAAGATCTTGGGGTTATAAACATGTATTTCAAGTGATCCACAACCTTGATATACTATATTTTTACACTATTTGCGTACAAGTAGTGGACATTTTTCCGTCAGTTTTAGTCCGATTTTCACAAATTTTGAACTCAAGAATTATTTCAGTGAAACGGTGATATATACAAACGTTTTTTTAAATCGGATAATAATTGTGACCTCTAGAGGAACCACAAGCTAAAAACGTGATTTTTCGTACAATCAGGGGCCATAATTCAGGAAGTTATGATCCAATATGCGCAAATATCGAAAGGAACCAAGATCTTTGGGTTATAAACATGCATTTCAAACGTGATTTTTCGTACAATCAGGGGCCATAATTCAGGAAGTTATGATCCAATATGCGCAAATATCGAAAGGAACCAAGATCTTTGGGTTATAAACATGCATTTCATAATTCAGGAAGTTATGATCCAATATGCGCAAATATCGAAAGGAACCAAGATCTTTGGGTTATAAACATGCATTTCAAGTTCATCAAAATCAGTCGAAAATTGTGACCTCTAGAGTGCCCACAAGCTAAAAGCGTGATTTTTCAACAATCAGGGGCCATAATCCGTGAAATTAGCGTCTGACATATGCCAATATCAAAAGGAACCTAGACCTATATTTTAAGTTTCATCAAAATCGGATAAAAATTGTGACTCTAAGAGTGTCCACAAACAAATATTGGACGGATGTCCAGACAGGGGCGACGACAATATACGTCCACATGAAAATGTGGGCGTATAAAAATGAAGGTTCAGATTGGCAAGTATGGGCCATTGCTTTGCATGGGGGTCTTAAAGCTGGCTCTGTTTGTAATCTAGAGTTCACCATTCAATCTGGTCAATAAATCCAGACTGACTTGCAATGAAAATATTTTTGGGACAAATTTACCTTTCCTTAAATTTTACAAGACAGTATTTGAAACTAGGCTTATAAACTGAACCGTTGCCAAAAATATATATATATGGACAGATTAAATTTCAAATCAGTCCTTTCTAAAAAATTTTCAATAAATTCATAGACTGGTTACATTCAGAATTCAAGCCCCGCTCTAGACATTTAAATATTTTTATTCAATAGCATTTAAACTGATCATACCTCAGTAAGGCACATTCAAATACATTAAATTCCATCATAATATATACTGATTTGATCTAAGGCATCTTTAATAAAGTTTGTACCAATAATTCCAATTTATGAAAAGTTAAATAATTCTTTCTTCATCACTTTAATTTTTGTAGGGAACATGAGCAACAAATCATATATTATCACATAAAGTTATTAAATAACAAATAAAACCCATAGTTTTTACAAAATCTTAAATACATGTTGGCATTTATATGCTTTATGTTTGTAGGATTTTTCTATCAGAAGATTCTGTCTTCCCCCTTAACGAAACCTTAAATCCTTAAAAATTAAGTATACTAGGCCAGGCTATTCCCAGAAACCAGGAGCCATATACTAGCTGAAGTTATAGTAGAGCCTTTAATGTTTTATAAATTATTAATTAGACATTTGTCAACATGACAAGACCATAATCAACCCTCGATGCCATCCGTTGTTTAATAAAATACTCAACTACCACATTTGTTAAAATGGTCGCTGATTAAACAAGATGGAAGATTTTGAGAAGGTACTTGATTTAATACACTTTTAAAATCATAACCCTCTCCAATCCCCCACTATAACGTTAACATTCACCTCCTGTGACTAAAATTGAGAGACAACAATATCGTAGTAAGACTGTTAAGCTCTATCTTTGTTGACTGAGAAATCTTCTGTTATTTGTGTAATTGCTAAACATTGACTCACACAACACTAGCAGAAAATCTACTCAATTTTTTTACTTTATGTAACAAACGAATATCTTCCATTTTAACTAGCCCTTGATATCCTTTAAATGCTTGACTGCGTGAGTAGATAGAATTTTCTACACAAACAAAAGGTTCCATTCTATGTGATTCAGTTCATAATTCATGTACCCGTACAACCAATATGTACTTTTGCATGCGAATCATCTTTAAGTAATTTGGTGTTTTCCCCATTGTAGGTAGAAGATCTACAGCTGAGATAGAGCTTTCGATTATCTTTATGTTTATTCTCAGACTGTCACAAATTATCCAAACTAAAGCTTTTCCCAAACACTGTTAAGTTTTGGGCTGAGTGATTTTCAGTCTATAGTAGTTCTGGACAACTTGCTTTTGAGTTTTACTCTGAGGTTGACTTTTACCAGTTCTATTCACAATTCCAAGTAAATTAATATTTCTTCAACATTCCGTTCCATTTACAACAATGGTCGGAGTATCAAGGGCGGACTCAGGCTTTCTTTCTACAGTAAATCGTGACGGCTTGCGTTGAATGCCTTCAGCTGGTGTAGACTTACTCACTTCTACATTAACTGTAGCCGTATGTGGTCTAGGATCCTCTTTTTCTGTGGTGGAATCTTGGGCTTTCTCTTTATCAGTGAGGTCAGGCAGGGATCCCTTTCGTTTGTCAAGATGTCGTGGAAGTAAGACATTAACACTATTTGATCTGGGTCGCCACGGTTGTTTAGCATTACTTGGAAAAGCCTGCATAGTGTATGGTTGTAGCACATGCCTGAAATATAAAAAAATTAGTGAAGGCAAGTTAATTTCAATATATATATAATATCTGTCTTGTAATGTTTTTGCTAGTCTCCCGTTCAGTTATATCGAAATAAATGTATGAAATGGATTCGACATCTTACTTTTCTGGTTATTTTGAATGGATGTTAAAGGAGCTAAATCGCTAATATTTAATTTAATAATGTAATATGAATGTATACAAACTGATTTACATTCAATCATTTTTACTCTAATTTCAAATCATTTATATTCAGCGAAATGCGCCAGAAGTCTCAATCGAATGGCAATCTCTAGCGTCTGGTTATTCCAGTCTACACCTGTAGTATTTATTGCGTATGCTCTCCAGATAAGAATATGGCTTCACCGTTTGAAATGACTTGTGGGATATGTCAAGCCTCGTTCTTCGAGTCCCTTGTTACAAATGGCACTGAAACGCATTCTGGTACACAATTCGTGAACAATGGTAAAATGTTTATTTTGTCTTATATATTGGATATCAGAAGCCCATCTTCTCCCAGTAAGATCACAACATCAATGTTGATTTAAATTGACAAATAATTTATGTTTTCAATGTGGAAGACTGTGGATAATATTGAGTTAAAGACTTATCTAATGTTGGAGTAAAATGAAATGAAAGGTTGGGTTTAATGTCTTACTTTTCTGCACCAACCAGGTTAATGAAGAACGTACATGTAAATGAACACTTGCCAGTTGGAAACTGTGTTCAGTTAAACTCCTTTTATTTCTTTCTCCATAAAATAAATGATTATAAGATGGTAACTTACACTATATCTCCTAGCTTTAGTTTACGTTTGGGGGAAGGATTAAGGATGACGTATGATAGAGCATTTGGTCGTTTCTTCAATTCACCTGAAAAAGTATAAACTTTGAATTAAAATTCATTGTACAGACATGAATTATAGTTAAGACAAAACCATAGTCCATCATTAAGTTCTATCAATGAGGATGAAGTAGGGACCAGAAACACTCTGTTAAAATGTTCGACAGACCAATAAGACCTGAGCAACTACTACATCTTAAAATGATGCAGACAGAGAGGAAAGACATCAATATGAAGATAGTTATACGTAGATTATTTTTGGCACAGCACCATCAAGGTAATCTAAATGTATATTTTTTATTTGTTCAGAAAAACAAGGCCAAACAAAGTATTATTTTTATACGCCCACATTTTCATGTGGACGTATTATGCCGTCGCCCCTGTCCGTCCGGACGTCCGTCCACAATTGTTTGTGGACTCTCTACAGGTCACAATTCTTATCCGATTTTGACGAAACTTGAAATATAGGTTTATCCCCAAAAGATCTCGACTGCTTTCGATATTGGCATGTATCGGATCAAAACTTCATGGATTATGGCCCCTGATTGTACGAAAAATCACATTTTTGGCTTGTGGACCCTATAGAGGTCACAATTTTTATCCGATTTTGTTGAAACTTGAAATGTAAGTTTATAACAAAGATCTCGGTTCCTTTCGATATTTGCGCATATCGAATTGGAATTTCCTGAATTATGGTCCTTGATTTTAGGAAAAATCACTTTCTTTTTAGCTTGTTCTCTATCCATCTCTCGAAAATGTGGGCGTATCCTGCCTGGCAGCCCCTGGTTATATTGGTTATTAAACATGATAAAACAATTTTGTTTTAATTTTTATATAAATTACAGTACCCACAAATTCAAAGCCTAAGATATGGACAAAGATTACTTACAATAATCGTCATCTCTAATATCCAGACTCTTAAGTCTGTTGCGAATCAAATCAGCTAAATCACACTGATCAGAGTTCTGGAAACTTATAAAGGGATTTCTGGCATGGAATGTTGTTTCTCGTTTCAGACCAAAATCCTATAAAAAAGATACAATCCAAATTTTTACAGTACCGAAACAGCATACAATACACATGTGTTATAAAACAAAATAGCATACAATATCCTTGTAATGTAATACAAAACAGCATATAAAATAATGTAATACAAAACTGCATATAATATCATGTATTGTAAAACAAAACAGCATACGATATACATGTAATGTAATACAAAACCGCCTAAAATATACATGTAATGTAATACAAAACAGCATACAATATACATGTAATGCAATACAAAACAGCATACAATATCTAATACAAAACAGGTTACAATATATACAGATGAAAGGAGAGGGACAAAAAAGTCAAATCCTATCTTTGTGAAAACTTTAACCATTTTTTAATGAATTTTGATTAAATGTTAGTGTATGATTGATGTAACAGTAGAGAACTAAAATTTAATATACCTTTTTTGGTGGTGGTGGTGTTGGTTCACTACTTTCTAAACCCTGTTTTTCGGTTCTATAAATAGCAATAGGGACTTCCCCTGTGGCTGTACACAGTCCTTGATATAGTTCACCATATGTAGGATAAAGTTTTAATGTGGCTCTTTTAACACGAATCTGTTCAAATTAGATTTTAAAAATAATACTGTAAATTGTAAGTCATGTTTAAAGAAACACTTGTACTTCACTCATCATTCTCAAACTTAGTCATGGTGTTGATATAAATAATGAAAGTTAGTGTTCCAAAGCATCAACAAATCAAATTAACTCTGTTTAGCAACGGTGGTTAAGTGGATAAGACGCTGGCTCGCTAGAATGGAGGTCGTGTGTTCGGTCCCTGCATTGGCCGTGAAAGTTCATCGGGATTTTCCGACATGGTTTCCACTTGTCAGTGGTTTAGACATTCTGATGTGACGAAAACCTGAGGTCCCGTGTATACATTGGCGTGCATGTAAAGATCCCTTTGCAGTTGGAATTCGATGTAAGAGTAGGCCATAGTGTCGCTGCCCGGCCAAAATTTTCCTCATAGCACACTGCAAGGCGTATGCCCGTCTTTATTAGCCAAGTATAGGAGCAGAACAGTAGGATGTTAAACCCCATTTCATTTATTTTAGCCTAAGCAAAAGAGGCTCATTATCAAGCCTTTGATCCAATGAAACTATATAAAGCTTCATCACTCTCACTCAATTAGTTTTCATCTGCTTAGCTTACGCAGAAAATGCTCAACATCGAAAACAGTCAAGGAATTCATCTATTAGAAGCAGAGTTATTGTGTTCTAAATATATCGACCAATCAAATAGCTTATCTTTGCTAAGCCTAAGCAGAAATGCTCATCGAACTCAATCAAGAAAGAAATTCGCCTAATGAACAAATACACTATGTTCGAACATCCTCCATCTAATAGAAGCAGAACTATTGTGTCCCAATGTCTGTGATGGACAGACCCATTTTAAGAATTCCCTGCTTTCTTTGAAAAATGGAAGACAATTAAAATATCTGAATACTTACACTTGATAAATGACCTGAATTTTGCTCTGCATCTATACCAAGTAGTAGACGTACAAATGTTATTAAATAGCCTTTAACAAATGTCTGAAATATGTAAAGACAAGAAATTAATTGACAAATAAAATGAATCGATTGGATTGATTACAAGGTTCATAAATAAATTATGTAAAGTCATAAAATATGACACACATCCATAACAGATTCAACAATATTTAAATTTGTCCATAGAATTGTTCAAAATAAATAAAGATGAGCTAAAAACAAAACTTACTGCTAGTAATTAAATGGGTAAAGTGCATTCAAACATACTTTTACCAAAATCGCATCTGTCCAACAATTTAAAAATGCTAAAGTGTTTCTAGAAACATCAATCTGATTAAAACACAGATCCTATTTCGTTTCGTTTTTTATAGTTCAAAATTTCATTTTACTTGTCTTTACTACACTAGGATCTGGAAGAGTTGTTATATTACTGGCATTTTGGTTGAAGTGAGGGATAAACCAATGAAACAGTCTGTTACAGCGACTTCTTGACATGCCATGCACGAAACTGTGGGTAAACCACTAGAAATGCCAACACTGACTGATTAATCAATGTCTGACGTCATATGGTCAAACATCGCTAGTACAACCCCTGACATGACCTTCGAGTACATCTTGTCAGATCTTCATGTAGTGTAGGCCATCGAAAGTATAAAAAAAAAGAAACGAAATATAGATCTGTATTTCAATCAGATTGTAGAAACACCAAACAAATTTATTGTAAACATTTATTCTCCAGATACAACTTACTGCACTCAACACCATTTTGTAAAATAAAACCTATTCCGAAATTAAAATACAATACTTGTATATTTGATAGACTATTGATGAGAATTTGATAAAATTTTAGTTTTGTGATAATCAGAGTATCTATAACATAGTACTTCCATTTTCAAATTCACTACACTAATAAAGACTACTAATTATATGGAATATGTACTGACCTGATATAGCAGGGTATCCAACATACTAGCACTAAAAACCTGTCCTGCAGCAAATGGCAGACGAAACATATAACTCAGATTTGATGGTGTTTCTTGTTTTAATTTCTGTAATAAATTCATAATAGATGAAAACTAATTACAAACCAAATTTTATGTGCTTTGTGAAATGCATTTCAGATTATACATGTACTCCATAGTACGTGCAGGAGAATTGCATCACATATAAACAGAAACCTAGAAGACAAACCTGTATAAGATACTTCACACACATAAAACATGAACAGTATAAGTAATAAGCAATAAAAGTACCATCAAATCAAGTTATGAATCCGGGGATGGACTTAAGCATCCATGTGCTGTACAATCCCAGGCCTGTAGTGAATTCACTCAAAATGAAACCAATAACAAGTGTGGCAACTCACAAATGAAAAACAGAAAGGAATGGGGTTTAATGTCTGTCAAATATATATTTTATATACATGTGGTTACATCCAATATGAGGGAGGAGAATTTTTCCAGATAGCTGGCATTTTCACCAACTTTTATTTGAATTCCAAGTAGGGTAGGTTTACATGTACACAGCTAAAGACAATTTTGCTCAGTCAGCAGCTTGCTCACCTGCACTTCTTCCAAGAACAAGTGTCATGGAATATTTTTATGGTCACCCCAAGAAACAGGCACAATAAATCCCTGATGCATGTACCTCATTCCTTAATTTCCATTTTTAAAACTTTCTGATGCAGAGTCTGATAAGACAGAAATAAGATATTTTTATACACCAAAACAACACATACCTGTTCTAAAAGTGATATTTTTTGTGAATATTCATCATGAGCACTGAACTGCATGAAACGTAAATTAGATGCCTGACTTAATTCTGTTATAATATTAGCATTAGGAAATAACCTGTAAATATAAACATAATAATTCAAACATAGTTCTAATGATATAGTTATTAATACACCTGAAACATGGAGTATAATTCAGTTTAATCATGTTCTGATGATCATCTTAATGAACAAAACAGAGAGAGAAATTGGGTTTAATGTCCACCCTACTCCTTGTCACGTACAACCGCGGAATCGAAACCATGGCAGTTGACTTGACTCAATGACAGACCTTATGATACAGCGCGCACGTGCTAACCATTCGGCCATCCCCTGCCCCCCCAAATACCCAAAACAAGGAGTATAATTAGTATAATTTAATAGTATGTGATCATTTGTTTTAAATACTGACAATCATCATAATACACTGACACCAAGATTATATTCTTTAAGTATGCCCTCGGGTTATTTTAGACCTCTCAATTTGGGCACATATTCGTTAAACCGATATTCTTGTGTAGAAACTTTTTATGACAATTCATTTCCTACATTCAGGTGATTTCTAAGTGAAGTGATATCTATGTTATCACAAAAGTAAACAAAATCAATGTTTATTCTGGAATTCGGGCACCAGTGTACAATAACAAAATAGGTATAAAATAGCCTTTGATACACTTTGGCAAATGTTGTTAGGAGTGCTGGCAAAAATGATTGTATTCCATTGGCTTATAGAATAGAATTATGCAATTTATCCTTTTTTAACATTTCAACTTACCTAAAGATAGTTTGAACAGCTACAATTGTTTCTGAGTCAGATAGAGTTTCTTCCCCTTGTTTTTGATGTTTTTCTTTATTTACCACCACCAGATGGCTGGCTTTGTTAATACCACCTCGTAGTAAATCATCAACACTAGAAAATAAAATAATTGAAATATTTTTGGTGAACTATATTATATAATCATCAGGTATAGGTCATCTTCACTTGGAGTCTATTACCTGTATACACACATACCCAAGTTCAATAAATAGTAAAATGTTTGAATTATGGAACCCATGTCTGCTAATGTGAATGCAAGGCCTCATATATGATATGGTCAAGGAAGAATCAGTTAGATTTAGTCCATATCATTCTGTATTCTTGTAAAATAATTAACCGGGCCTTTTTATTACATGGGGCTCAGACATCACCTGATCATCACACCATGCAGAGATTTTGTGGGAATAGATGAACAGGTTTATTCTAAGCTTAGAACAATCACAGTAAACAGGAGACCTGATGACCAAGAGCAGTAGAATGTCATTACATGGGGCCTGATCACTGGGTCATCACACAAAACTTAAAAGTTGCTGGTAACCAGATCCAATTTTATTATCAGAATGGCTATAGTAGAAACGTAAAGTTGCCGTTGGGCCTGGTTACTAGATCCAATTTTGTTATTAGAATGGATATAGTAGAAAATTAAAAGTAACTGTAGGACGAGGTTAGGTCAGCTATAGTAAAAATATGCTCAGTAAGATGGTGATTTCAGTGACAAGTAACAAGAGAGAGAGAGAAATGGGGTTTAACGTCCACTCGACACAAACTAGGTCATTTCGGGACTAACATCTGGTTTAATTTTATTTCAATAATTCGCTTGCGCATAGGGGTCTTTAGCAGTGGGAGGAAACCACGCCAGTCGACTCAATGACAGACTTTATGATACAGCGCGCGCACACTAACCATTCAGCCATCCAACCCCCCCGACAAGTAACAAAAGGGTTAATGATAAAATTATTAATGGCACAATTAGAATGTGGACATAGTTTGTCGTGTTCCTCACATCTTTTGTGCATTGTTTCAGCCCTTGTTGTCAGGAGTGCCGTGATTCAAGGGTGTTGATAAGAAAAAAAGTTGAATTATTACCTTGATATTTTTCCTTTCATCCAATAAACTAGTGGAAACTGTGCAATAGTCTCTAAAAATATCTTATCTGGACTGGAATTAAATGATAAATAAAAATACATTTCAAAGAAAAAACATTTGAATAAATAAAAAAACAAAAAATAATTAACAGTCAATCACTAGGACTAATACAGTTGGTTTTACTCTATATAGCAGAGCCTTTTTAAGAATTATAAAATGGATGAGAAAAATATCTAATAGTGAGAGATTGAGAGAAAAGGGGATTAGTATCTATGCAATAATAATTAGGTGATTTGGGGACTAACATATTGTATATTCAAACGGAGTCATATAGAGTGGCTGGAGAAAACCCTACTTCTTGCTTATGTACAGACCTGGGATTGAGTCCATGAGTTACATAAGCCTAATGATCTGCAGAAGTGTATTACATCAATGTCAATAATGACACCAACCTCTAACATTGTACTTATTGGGCCATATGATAATTCAAACCTAAGGTACAGTAGCTGTAGTAACAGAGACTAAATATATATACTTACTCTTCTTCTAGTAGTAATATAATAGGACTCAGACAGTATTTACTAATAAAGTTAGATCGTAGAGGTACTATAAAGTTGTATATACCACAGCTAGCATATTCTACAGATAATATAATTAGTTGTCTTGTCCAACGATCATCATTAGCATTTTTATATGTACAATGTTCACAATGCTGAAATAAAATATACCAGTAAATATTAAACCTACCAATCCTTTAGAATCTAGGCATTCATGTAGATCTGTACATAGAATAATAAACCTTTTAACAGTTATAAGTGTGCAACTTGGTATCAGTAGGTCTTCAGTTGTGTTCAAAGTGTGGCATAATATTACTGCGGGATTGTCAAATTTCAGATCTTCCAAATTGCAAGTAAATCTGGTTATTTGTTTATCCTTCGTTAAAACCAACCCAAAACATGTTCAGTTCATTAGAAAACATTGATCATTCCATAGAATTGTGTCATGTGTATTTGCAGTTCATTTAATAAATTTCCACTGGAACAAGTGATCTTTTTATTGCCCCAACTTTTGCTGTCTTATGTGCAAAATTTTTGTGTAAATACATAGACAACCCTACTGCATAAATTCAAATGTAATTATTCTATTTACAGCTGAATATATTGAAATACATACGAATAATACAGTTCTTTATTCTACAACCAGCTTGAAGATCCAACATGTAACCAAATCTGGTTACTGAGCCAATCTTATAATCAACAGAGCAATTCAAAGTATACATTTTTATAGCAAACTGACTAAATGTAAAAAATATCCCACCTTTCCCCATTCTAAACAACAGAATAAACGAGGTGTTTTCATGATATGACAGTTTGTTCTCCGTGATCCTAGATACATTGTAGTTGGTGGTGGTCCGGTCATAATCCTGTAAATATACCAAATATAATGAATATAATATATAGAAATTATGGAAGGCTATGGAGGCACTTGATTGTCAGTCCAAAACGGCTGACATTGAGTCCTAACACAGTTCTGTCAGTCCTGAAAACAGATGTGGGTGGTGTTAGCAGAATCATGATGTAGCAATTTCCACAGAATCTGTTGAGTGTTAAATAATAACAAGATTGACTAGTTATCACCATCCCGCGCCCTTACACTTGTAGGGAAGGCATAAGGAAAAAAAACTTCTTGGAGAGAGAGAGAAATGGGGTTTAACGTCCACTCGACACAAACTAAGTCATTTCGGGACTAACACATGGTTCAATTTTATTTCAATAATTCGCTTGCGCGTAGGGGTCTTTAGCAGTGGGAGGAAACCGGAGGACCCGGAGAAAACCCACGAGGTTGGACAGGCGACCCTACTCCTTGTCACGTACAACCGGGGATTCGAAACCACGCCAGTCGACTCAATGACAGACTTTATGATAAAGCGCGCGCATGCTAACCATTCAGCCATCCAACCCCCCAAACTTCTAGGAATATCAATGGGATTAATCAGAAGATTCATACTCTGATCACAGTAGCTCGGCAAGGCACAGTCGCTACTCCCTGTAAGGTTTGCACAACAACCTTTGCCTAACTTAATCAGTTGCTGTATGTTAAACATTAGGCTTATACATCAGAAAATAAAATATTATAAACAAAACTGAACACCAAAAACTAAGTCAAATTTGTTTCCATTGAACAAAAGTTATTAAAAGCCAGAAATTCGAAATTAGCAAAAGGCACAACTACTATATAATAGGTTAATGTTTGTACAATGTTTCATGAAGATATCTTATATGAGATATGCTTCAGAAACAAAATTGAACACCAAAAACCAAGTCAAATTTGTTTCCATGGAAACACGAAAATTATTCAACCCCAGAAATTCCAAATTAGCAAAAGGCACAACTACTATAATAGGTTGATGTTTGTACAATGTTTCATGAAGATATTTTGAACAGTTTATGAGATATGCTCCGGAAACGAAATCATCGGGATGGACGGACCCCATTTCAATATCCATCCTTAACTTCGTTTGGCGCGGGATAATAATATCGTTATTTATAAAACATGTTAATACTGAAGAACAGCTGCTAAGGTGATGTTGGTTGTTATATTCACTGATTATTTACAGATCGGGTTTTGAAACAAGATTATTTTGAGTTGAGATTGAAAGTATGATTAAGAGTTACATTTCACTACTTACATTTCATGACCCATATCATTATAAAACTGTAAAATATTCCCTGTTCCATTTCTATGACTCAATCCATCTGCTTCCTTTTCCATTATGTTGCCATCTTTCATTTTCTTAGCCATTTTGTCTGGTTTTAGATAATCGAAATAGTTGCTGTTGTTATCTCCATCATTTTCATTGGTATCCTTTTCTTTTTCTTTTCCATGAATAATTTTTGTGATTTCTTGACCGACCATGCTGGTAATTGTGTCAAAGACACTTTCTTCTTCATCCCCATCATCTTCACTTTCATTCTGATATTTCTGAAGAACTAGGGCTATTTGTTCTGAAATAAATAAATATGGTCCATCATATACTAGCCTACGACACAGATGATCAGGTATATCATGACATTTTGTAGTGAGAAGCTTTTTTAGAATCATTAATTTAATCGTGTCTGATTTTGATACACAATCCTGCCAGATTATATTATCATGCTGGAAATACTTCTAAATATACAGATTATATTATTATGTTGAAAATCCTTCTAAATATCATAATAAGAAGTTTATTATGATGTTGGGAATCCTTCTATATATAACAATAAACAGTTTATCATGATGTTGGGAATACTTTTAAATATACAGTTTATTATAATGCTGGAAATATCTTTAAATATCTCAATAAACAGTTTATACATCTAAATATAGTTTATTATTATGTTAGAAATATCTTTTAATATCTCAATAAACAGTTTATACATCTAAATATACAGTTTATTATTATGTTGGAAATATCTTTAAATATCTCAATAAACAGTTTATTACAAAGCTTGAGATAGTTCTAGATATAGAGTTCATTATAATTTTGGGAATACTTCCATAATTCTCAATAAACAGTTTATTAATATGCCTGAAATACTTCTATATATCTCAATAAACTGGTTATCATTATGTTGGAAATACTTCTAAATATTGAAATAAAAAAAGTTTATTACAATGCTTGAAATACTTAATATATCGCAATAAACAGTGTATTATGTTGGAAATACTTTTAAATATTGCAACAATTTATTATAATGTTAGAAATAAAACTTCTAAATATCTCGATAAGAAGTTTATTAGCTAGAAATAATTATAAATCTACTGTTTTTCATAATGTTGAAAACACGTCAAAAAAATGCAGCAAAAAGTTTATTAGCTGGAAATAATTCTAAATATATTGTTATCATAATGTTGAAAAAACGTCTAAAAATTGCAGTAAAAAGTTTATTATAATGTTAATTAAATAGTTTATTATAATGTTGATAAGATACAAAATCTACAAAGTAATTTGTATATTACAAATTGGAATTAAAGAAAATTATGATAATTTATCTACAGGTATCCCCTTTCAAAAACAATGTGTAACTAAAATCGACACAGATGCAAACCAATGCTGCCACATCATCTACCAGACACTTTGCAATACAATACTGTAAGCTTGCAAAACTCTTTGAATTTAAGGTGTGTGTATGTGTGTGGTTGTGGTGGGGGTGGGGGTGGGGAGGGATAGCACAATTTTTACTTTGATGATTTAATCCATAAATGAATAATCGAGACTATCCTTTGTATCGTACCGACTTTAGTTATGATGATCGAGGCTAGGCCTAAAATTCAAACACTAATATTTAGGTTCAGAGTGAAGCAATTTGACTGAAATTTTCAGCATATTCAATTTACATTATTTAGTTTTTAACTATTATAGTGATAACTGCCGCCTCTTTAACTAATCTTCAGTAATCCCCCTTTAATTCATGCCTGAATACCACAGACACAGATTTAGCTGCGTATATCATAACATGACTTTCAGGGGTGATTTTTCAAAGGATATGAATTTGAATAATAATCGTTAGATTCTTTAAACTATTGATATGAATATTAATCTTGAAGATTCTTGTTTAAACATGACCTTTTATGTTTAAGGGTTCAGTGGAATAGATAGAAGTTGTCGACTGTCAGTCCAGTCCTTAAAATAAAGATGTAGATAAGAATGAGCTTTCAAAAATAGATTAATTCACTCTATAAAAAAAACAAGCCAACAGTGAGACTGATGTCCCCCGCCGAAATCCCAAAATAAATAGATGACACATATTAATTAATCACACATTTATTTTGTTCAAAAGTATCGAGCAATCAAACTATACACTAAGTTTCACCACTCTCTATCAGATAGAATCAAGATTATCTTGTCCATAAGCATCGACCAATGAAATTGATTAGCTCTGCTTAGCTTTAGCTCGAAATGTTAATCATTGAACTCAGTCACAACATTCAGCTAATGAACATCTACACCTCAATTAAAAGCAGAGTTGTTATGTTCCAAAGTCTTGACCAATCAAATTGCTTATTACTCCTTAGCCTAAGCAGAAAATTCGCACCATCAAACATAGTCAAGGTAATGATATAATGAATCTATATTCAGAGTTTCATCGCTCTCACTTCATTATGACCAAAGCTATCGTGCCCCAAAGCGATCAACCAATCAGATTGCTTATCTCTGCTTACCGTAAGCAGACAATGTTCATCATTGAACCCCATCAATGCATTGCTCTGCTTACCCTCAGCAGAAAATGTTCATTATCGAACTAAGTCAAAGTATCGATGTAATAAAGCTATACACCAAGTGTCCTCACTCTCACTTAATTAGAACTAAAGTTATTGTGTCCCAAAGCATCAACTAATCAAATTGCTTATCTCTGCTTATCCTAAGCAGAAAATTCTTATCTTCGAACTCCATCAAGGCATTCACCTAATAGACACCTACGCCAAGTTTGAACATTCTAACTCAATTAGAATGAGAGTTATTGTGTTCCAAAGTCTCGGCCAATCAAACTGCTTATCGCTCTGCTTACCCTGAGCAGAAAATGCTCATTATTGAACTTAGTCAAGGTATTGATGTAATGAAACTGTACATCAAGTTTCATCACTCTCACTTAATTAGAACTAAATTTATCGTGTCTCAAAGCATTAACCAATCAAATTGCTTATCTCTGCTTACCCGAAGCAGAAAATGCTCATCTTTGAACTCCATCAAGGTATTGACCTAATAAACACCTACACCAAGTCTGAACTTTCTAGCTCAATTAGAAAGAGAGTTATTGTGTCCCAAACAGTGTGACGGACAGACAGACAGACAGACAGACGGATGGACAGACAGACAGGCGGACGGACGGACAAACGAACCCATTTTAATAGTCCCCTGCTTTCTTCGAAAGGCGGGGGACAAAAATGCAATATTATAATACATGCTGTAATCACACACAAAAATAAATCATTGAAAATTTATCAAATTTTGTTAATATTTCTATACTAGCAGTACTTTTTTCTATTATCAACAAATAAAAAAAAGTATAAGCAACATATTCTATGATGTCTACCACTTATATTTAGGTAAGATTTACAACATAACAAACCAACAGTGAAGCTAATGTCCCCCGCCGAAATCCATAAAAAAATACATGACACATTTATTGCACATTTATCCTTTTCAAAAGTAGTGAACAATCAAACAGATTATCTATACTTAGTCTAAGCATAAAATGTTCAAAAGTTAATCAATGAACTCGGTTAAGACATTCACATGAATATCTACATCAAGTTTAATCATTCTACCTTAATTAAAAGCAGAGTTGTTATGTTCCAAGGTCTTGACCAATCAAATTGCTTATCGCTACTTAGCCTAACAGAGAAGAAAATACTCATTATCGAACTTAGTCAAGGTATACAACTTAGAATTAAAGTTATATTGTCCCAAAGTATCAACCAATCAAATTGCTTATCTCTTCTTACCCTAAGCAGAAAATGCTCATCTTTGAACTTCATCAAGGAATTCACCTAATATCACCTACACCAAGATTGAACATTCTAGCTCAATTAGAAGAAAAGTTATTGTGTTCCAAAAAGTGTGACGGACTGACAGACCCATTTTAATAGTCCCCTGCTCTCTTCAAAAGGCGGGGGACAAAAATGAATTTGACAAGTAATTAATATACGGTAATGTGTTTTAAAGTATGAACTATCAGTCAGGATTACAAAGTTTCATTCAAAGAACTCTTCTTTGGGAAAAAAATGCAAAATAGATACGCAAAAAAATGCAAAATGGATTCATAATAAAGTTATGTTCCTTACAGATTTATTAAATTAAATTATTTCATTTGTACGTGCACTTTGTGAAATACAACCCTGGGGGACAAGCAAAAAATGAATGTGCATAAAAGCTGTAAATGATATGAATCTTTAAGTAAAATATTAGAACTAGTGAAACAATCTGAACATTGATACTACTACTACACTCATCTTACCGTTAGATTTATTACGTTTTAATAAGTAGTTTATCTCATTCTCTTCTTCTGCTGATGCAAAATTAACATCGTTAATTGTGAAAATAAATTCTTGTTTGGCCAAATAAACTTTAAATCCAAATCAATTCATCTAAATCATTTTTGTCTGTGAGCATTTAAATCAGAACTTTAGCCATGAACAGATTGGTCTAATGCATGTGAATTAGATCTTAAAGGGACAATAACACTCTTGCTGGCTTGACAGCTCCAGAAAATAAATAATAGCCTTATTCTAAGTACTAGATGTTTAAGTGTCCTACCTGTTGTGTAAATTATCCATTACATCCTATTTTACTTGTCCAGAGGGTTCGAAAATATTTTTAAATCCAAGTCACATTGGAAAAGGTTTACGTTAGGCTTTTCAAATCATTTAGTTGAATTTTTCCAATTTTTTAAATTAGGTGTGTTAAGATGAAATTTGTATCACCAATTAATTGGAATATTGTAAAATAGTACAATTTGTAGACCAGAATAAAGATTGGGACATACTATTCAGTTACAACAAGAGTGGTATTGAGCCTTTAAGGTCTGAGCAAGTGTAATGGTTTGGATCTAAGTCTGGTACAGTGTATATGTGAAAAGTAGAATAGAAGCCTGCCTAACATCACAGGTTTTGGGGGGGAAACAGCAGAATATTGAAATAAAAAAAATATACAAAGTTCGTCCCAAAATGAGATAGCTGGTGTTTATCAAACACTATTTACCCAGCAGATATTTGCCTGGTTTCTCACTCTGAAATCTCATTTCTATACTGCTGAAAATGCTTTTTTTTTAAAAAAAAAAGTCTCACCTAATGTTTTTGATTGCCGAGCATTTTTGCCAATGTCATCTTGTAAGGCTTCAGGACTGATTTCTGAGTATTCTTCTTTAGTAACAGACATATAGAAACAATAATCTGAACCTTTCATGATATAATTTGGTCCTGGGTTTAACTGTAGACGTGGTTCAGGTATCTGGGTATCTAAAATAGCCATCAATGCTACACCAAATCTAAAAAGATTTTGGAGGGTATTTTAAAACTCCACATTGTGAACGGCATAGAATAGCACAATAATTAAGCAATTAATAAATATAAAACAGAAAAAAATCACTACTTTAAACAGTTAGATAATATGGTACATATATCAGAAAACCAATAACAAACAGTATACTGGTAAACAAGGTCTCTCATTTCAGAATTTATAACAATTTTTAGCATTATCCCCAAATCATTACAAGCATGTATAAGCTTATATCTAATAGTGTGTATTAGGTTTTAATGCAAAATTTTTAGAATTCCCTGATTTTAAGTCACCTTATTTGACTGGCAGATAATTCATCTCATTTATCCTCCGGTTGATTCTGTAGTAACCTAAGGATTCTTTTCTTACCTTTGATGAGCATCAGAAGATGCCTCTGTAAATTTCTTGCCCTCGTAACGACTAAAGAACGAACTCTTTATCAACTGAATATGATATATCTCATTACCCGAATGCCGACCATACAGTTGCTGCCACTGTTCTGTTGCCAGCTCAGCTTCTCTGAAAAGGCAGAATAATTGTTCAATTAAAACTGTAATGACTCATCACATTGAAGAGATGTTTTCGTATTTGGGGAAGAACAGGTATTATTTTGTTGAAAAGGCAAAATGATTCATATACATCAATGATCTTAAAGCAAAATCTAAACAAGCCAACAGTGAGACTGTTATCATTTCTAAAAGCATTGACAAACCAAATTGCTTATCTCTGCTGAGCCTTAGCAGAAAATGCTCATCTCCGAAATCCATCAAAGTATTCACCTATCTAATAAACATCTACATTTTGAGACTAAACATGTGGTTATTTTTTCTATGGTTACATGTGCAATGTTAGGGAGGAGAATTTTGCCTGGACAGTGGTGTTTCTGCTATTTTTTATCAAATTGCAACTGTCAATGATAGTGGACATTGTTTTTAAATCATGAGTGACCGCTAAATCGTGTCAACATTTCAACCTTTTTTTGAGACTTTTTTCATACGTTCCAACTTGGTGCAGCATCAAACCATAGGGTTAAATGTTTTAATATCTGTGATTAAATACATGCTATGCTCACTTTGATATGTTGAAAATTGTATTTATTGTTAGTTGAAATAAACTTACTGTCCTCCTGATGTGTGAACAAGGAGGGAAACAAGGGTAGATAATCCAGGATATAAACAATTATTAGCTAACAGCGCAAATTTAAACTCATCTTCACATACCACATGTTCTGAAACAAAAAGTCAATTTTAATAAAATGACAGAAAATTCTAAATATTTAAACAGAAAGTTTTTCTGTAATCTATAACGACCATTAAAACAACTAAACCAATCACGGCTCCTTTTCTTATTCAACAAATTATTTCTGCATGATTGAAACAACCTATTATCGGCAATTAAATGTAATCAACTTTAAAATATAATTTGTCTGGTCAATAATGTCATTTAATATTAACGAGATGATTATCATTTGAGAGATTTTAAATCTCTAGCAAACACAATATTGTAAAAGGAACATCACTCCCAATATGGTTCAGTATGAATTTATAGCAGCCTCTGGCTTCTTCTGCTTACAAGCCAGTGCCACCCTCCTATAAATGTTTGGTAAAATCTTTTGATGAGACTCTCTTTATTCCAACTGAATCCAAGCTAATCAATTGGTGTACATTTTAGCAAGAAAAGTTATATACTGATTATCAGCGGTTTTAAATGAAGGAAACATTGACAGTAACCAAAAACAGATAGGATATAGCTCACCTGCAAATTTAACATGCATCTTGTTTTGTGCTTTAAATAACTGAATATACTGTTTACAATGTGGGGCAAAATCTTTTACAGCCCATGACCGCAAGATAGTATGTTGATCCTAGAGAAGAAAATTAATGTGCATTAAAATTAATGCTTTACACTGTATCTAACATTAGGGCATAAAGCTCTAACTCAATATTATCTACAGTCATGGACATTACAAACTTGATTTATTAGTCGATTTCAATCAATAGTGATGTTGTTATCTTACCATGAAAATATGGGCTCCTGATATCAAATATTTAAGACACAATGAACAATTTTAAAATCAGTCAGCGACATCAGGCACCTTGATGAACAAGGCAAAACGTCAGTGCATAAGCGAAATGTCAAACTGTATTCTCGATGTATACTGGACTAATCTGAATCAGACTTACATATTTCGAAGAACATAACCGATATTAGAAATTTTTAATTTTTTAAAAAAAAAAATGATGTAAATCAGGTTACTGTATATACGTTCATATCACATTAATATTTACTTTTTGACACATTTTCGTCAATTTTCTGTTTCAAAGAATAAGAATTTAGCAACTTTAAAATGGTGGATTCTCGTAATATTAACATATAATTAAGACAACATTTACAAGACAGATAATCACTGGTATGTTGATTAGTCTATCATCTAATAACCGTAATATAATTACTGTATTGTTTTGTGGGATATTATGACTAGACAACTGATTTATGAGATAACTCGCCCACACCTTAATATTACAGAGAACAAATATGTGTACTGAAACAAATACCACTGGCAAAGGGCCACATCTAACACATTAAACACATCTTGTTGGCTTAACAGGTTGTACATTATGTGTTTGTGAATATGTTGTAAGTGAAGCCAGCAGACTGAGCAGGGTGCCCCAATGTTTGAATGTATAGCGTATACTTAAGATCGTGGGTTCGAATCCCAGGAAGAGCTATACCTATGACATTGATAATGTAGTTCACATGGAACTGTGTTTATAAACAGAACTAAATCACTATTGTCGATGCAGATGTTAAACCATCAGCTACATCTGCAATCTGCATCGACAATAGTGATTTAGTTCTGTTTATAAACTCAGTTCCATGTGACTGTGGTGGTTGGCACATGTTAAATATGAAAAATCAGTAGAGAAAAAGAAATAAGGGGTTTAACATCGACTTGACACAAACTAGGTCATATCAGGACTAAAATATGATTCCATCTTTTTTCAATAATTTGCTTGTGAATGGGTTCTTTAGCAGTGGGAGGAAACTGGTGGACCTGTAAAAAAGAATCTAGACAATAACAAGAGAGCATAGATCTATACACACACGACCTCTCCCCCCATGATGACATATTTCAAACAGGAATAAAATCTGTTGTAATTATTTGTTAATTTTCTTCTACCTAGCAGAACTGGATGTGGGATATAGGAAAATTGGGCCAAGTAAGCGCTCTGAATGGGAGTATGTTGTTGTACAGATATTCAATGTGTTTGTAAAACTTACAGCACTGTATTTATCTACAACATTTCTTGGTGCCAAGAAAAAACAGGCATCAGCTTCATGTATTCTGTAAAATAGAAATTGTCGTATTAATTCAGAATAATACATGTAGATGACCAGGAGTCATAAGTTAAATAAGATATAAAATGAAATAGGCTTTAATGAGCTACTTTTCTGCATTGAAAAGGCTAATGTAATAAAATAGGGATTTAACGTCCTACTTTTCTTCCCCCCAAAAATTAATAAGAGTTGTAGAGTAAAATATTTGATTTATGTGTACTAAGTATGCAAATCTTAACTAACTTATGTTTACTGTGTATGCAAATCTTAACTGATCTATTTCAGCAGCATTCCTCTACTGTATCAAAAAGAACGAGGTTCAAAGGCTCATCAACACAATACTTTTGAGACATATGGTAATTTTTATTTCTGATATATGCACTGCACAACTGAACCACTTATCCTGTTTCAAATATATGAGATTCTTCCATTTCTACTGCAATTATCCCTTTCATGGTTATTCTCAACACATTTGATATCTTAAAAGTTCTTAATTCTGCTACACACCATCCCAGGATTTAAACCTTTAGGGCATTCTAGATGTTTTCAGAAAGAATAATCAGAAATACATGTATTTACATACCGGCATCGCTTTAAATCAAGATCTTTGAGTGAAGAACCTCTCATATAAATCACTCTGTGGGTCCATTTTGGATCCTTCAAAATGACCTGCATACTGTTATCCAATTCATGGGAACTCAGTAATATGACAAGATGGTCCTAGAAATATATTCAAAAATATAATCATTTTGACTTGATTTTCTGAACAATGCAAAATATTCCATGCTTGTAAATTGGAATCTCATTTGATCTGATTTTGATTGGACTGGTTATTATATATGTGCAAAATTTGAGATCGCTCCATTGATCTATTTCCAAAATACAGTTGTTCTAGTTAAAACTTGTAGTGGTATTCAACTATATTCAAGTAGTCCTCATGCATTCTATGTTCATTTTCAATTATTAGATAAATATTAAGTACCGGTAGTTTTACTTTTATATTATTTATGACAACATGTAATATCTTGATCAACACTCCTTTAAACTTGATGATTTTTCTTTATGAGAAGACATCTTAATGTAAGAATGAATATTAAATGAATATAATCAATAATATAATTTATATTTCTGAAGTAGAAGATATAAAGAAATATGTGACAAGCTCTGTTGTGAAAAGCCAATTTTTTAAAAACCAACTGGAGTTGGTGATACCAAAGATTTTACTTTCATTTTAAATTAAGATCCCTTTCAACAGATCTTGCAACAAAAATAGGAAACATCTCATTGAGGAAGAAAAACATGCAATAATTCATGATAACCTAATAATTCTATATAGTTTGGAAGGAATATTCATTCCATCTATTCTGCTGATCCCTCAAACTAAATAATATTAACCCAATGATGTGCAATGTCGCTGGACATATTAAAATTGATTCAGTTAAGGCGAATGTCCACCGGACAACTGTAACAACAACTTCACAATTCTTGGATTCATACACCAAGGGCAACAACTGCACAGATAATGTTATAATTCCATGACAGCATGAATTTGGCTGTCTAGAAATAGAATCTTTCTAATTGCATCCCACATTGAATCTCTGTGTTTTTTGGAGTTGTTGTTCTTGTTGTGTTGGGTGGACATTAGTCTCAATATTAAAGTCTAAATCAAAAGTCTCAGAAAACAGAACATTCTGGATGTCGATTTTATTCTTCCCTTTCCAAAGGTCTTTTCGAATCTATAACTGAATAAACATGATCAAAGAATATTTGTGAAAATGATTCGTCTTACTGCAATAAATAAATAAATAGTTTAAATTTAAAAAAAAATAGTTTCTCTCTGTGTGAGTACCTTAGATAGGATATGAATAAAGTTGATTTAAAACTATGATTTTAAATCCAAGGTTGTTTTTTTTTCCAGGAAATTTGATATAGACTATAATTGCTAAATAGTAGATGCACATGCATATTGAGTGGAGTCTTCCAATAGTTTTATTCAGGAAATGAGATGTCGGTGATGTTATAATTTCTAAGAACCACTATGACGTACAGTACCCAATATACTACTTATAACTACTGACATAAATAGTCCCACATATAATGATACACAATCTAATTAAAAACCAGAGGCTATTTACATTCGGTTTAATCGATTATCACTCTATTAACATCTAAAAACATGCCTAAGAAAAGTGCTTTCTGAACCTATGATGACCTTGATTAAACAAAGCTGGGATCAAAGCTTTGCAAAATATTTCGCAGAATTTTTATATCACAGATTTTTATTTGTCTGTTGATCTGAAGTCGACGATGTGAAGCAGACAGAACGAAATATTGGCATAATTTCAATAAGTATTAAGAGGTAATGAAAAACAAGAAATTAATGGATATTGAAATTACTGGTTCATGAAATTACTGGTTCATGAAATTAATGTGACCTGGATGTATCATACTATTTTTTATCTTATATCAATATCGTCATTCTGAAACTTGAACATTAGTGAACCTGGTGCTAGCACTAGAAATGGTTTAAACTGTCCAAACTTATAAAATTGTTTTGATATCAAAGACATTGATTACCGTCTAATTAATTATTGTCAACATTTTTTAAAGTATGAATGATATTAAGTTTAATGATATTATGAATAATGGGTTAACTATGTATTTTATCTTAAACTGTTTTAATTACATCTTGTAACTAAACTGGATATACACTGAACACAATTCTATGAAATACAATTAATGCTTGTTATAATTTTATGTGGTTGCTTTAACCTGTTTACAATAAATAAATGCATGATAAAATAATTGATTTCTTGCTCATATTAAAATATAAAAAATAATAGAAATAAAGGATCAGAGTAAACAATTAATAGACTAAAATACCCTCTGAATTTACAATCAAGACAAAAAGAAACAAATACAGACAAGGAAAAAGAAACTAAAGCCGCCGTTATGGAGAAAGTTTTACCAAGCACAAGGCTTTGTTACCTTGTGTGAGGTTCCGGTTCTTTTAAAGATAGGTTGCCAGGCAATGAAACATACACTCACAGCAGATAAAACGTAAGAGCGGTCGACAAGGTTTGTCGCATATTTATTCTTTTGTATGTAATTGGTGGCATTTACAAGACAATATCATACAGATCAGATTATAATTTTTGTCGTTTGAGGGTTCACAAGGTTCTACAAACTGAAACAAGGGCCTTAACTCTGGAAGTAATTTACAGAAAATTTTGAAATTTGACAGGCTTTTTCGTTTTACTAATCTAAATAATGCATATAAATTTCACAAAGATTGGATGATAACTTTTAGCGTAAGAGCGTTCACAAGGTTCAATAAAGTGAAACAAAGGGCCATAATTCTTGTGGTAATAAACAGAAATTATTGAAATTAAATAGGATTGTTCATCTCACTAATATAAACAACATATATGAATTTTAAAACAATCGGATAGTAACTTTTGGCATTAGAGTGCTGACGTAGACAACGGATGGACGGGGGCGACGGCAATATACGGCCACATTTCCATGTGTGTATATAAAAATAAATATTGAAAAAGATTGATTAAGTAGGTTGCTGCAGAAAATATGAAGAGGATCTACAGTCCACTTTGAAAGAACCGTTAATATGGTTTCCACTTTCTATGATTCCATCACAAACACAAGGCATGAAACTTTTAAACAAATAGAACATTCTAATCTAAACCAAAGCAAGCATAAACAAATATAACAACACATAAAATTGTTCATGTTTCAATCTGATTAAAACCAGACATTTTGTTTTATTTTGGATGTTGTACTACATTGACATCGGACTCAGGGAATTCATATAGCAGAAAAGTATATGGGCATCCTCGCTGAAGGAATTCCTACCAGGCGTCACCAGTAAAAAGGCGGTTCCTCGTGACCTTATTGATAGTAAAAGGACCGCGTTTCGACGTATAGGGATTAAATTCCATATTAACGACAAAAACTAACGTTTATCAACACATCAGTTCGTGTTGAATGTACAGGAAAACAATGCTGTGCGGTATACAATGAGGTCACGTGGGACCAGCTCCTCTATGAAATTATGTCCCTTTATCTCTAGCAAGGACGCCCATTAGTGTTTGTCTGATTGCAGGTCACAAATATAACTCTGTTGTGACAGAAAGTAGGTTGGATTATACAAAAAATACCAACAAAATGAAATTGTAGTCTAATTTTAGTCAGATTGAACATATTAACTAGCTCCCACAAATGAAGCACTAAGGGCAATAACTCTTGTATCACCTGACGCCAAGGCTTGTAAGCTGGTCGGCCCTAAATATCAAGAATGGCAGAAAGTAAAAGATTGAAAATATGTAGAGCATTTAACCCTTATGTTCAGCTATCAAACATTAATACCTGTTCTATCAAAACTGGCTACTAGCCATGATTGGAAGACAGCCCTACGCATTTCTCAGTGACCTTTGTTAAAAATCACTTTCCACAGGGACAAAAGCTTTAGATCATGGCAAAAATATCAAACTTGGATGAAAACTGTAGACTAATTTTAATTCATTTTTAAACTTTATTTGTCATATACTGGCAAGATTTTAAAAGGCCCACATAGCTAAGCAATATTTTCTAGCAAAAAGAGCAAGATTGGTTTTTGTTTGTCATTTTCAATTCCAAATCAAGCCAAATTGATTATTACTAAAGCCATTCATGCCAATAAAGATAGACCTAGTGTATAGCATAATCTTGCCAAATACATTATAACATGTTTAGAGTTAATTAATTTTAATCGAATCTTTGTCAAATATGATTCTATTTCTACAAAGGTGCTTACCTCAAGTTTTGGATGAGCATAAAATTCACTGAGAAAATCCATAACAGCTTCAGTTGCTAGGTTACTTGAGCAGACGACAACATGTTTGTTACCAGCTGCTGTTCGTTTACTGTACTCTCCACCTGCTTTCTGTCTCTCAATCCATGTTGATGCTATCACTTCTAACTAAACATGTAGATAAAATACAAAAAAACTATTGACAAAATACGAAATGCCTTAGGGCTTCAGATAATGTTGCCAAGAGTAAATCATAAGAAATAATTAATAGTTAATGCATGCCTCCATGTCTTGCTATAAATATAATATTAAGCCTACCCATCTAGGTATAAATATAATACTTCACCTACCTGTCTAGGTATTTAGGTATAAATATAATATTATGCATACCTGTCTAGGTATAAATATCATACTACACCTACCTGTCTAGGTATAAATATAAGCGCCACACAAATCATAATAATCATAAAGAGTTGACCAATCCATATATCAGGGGATATGTCTCCATAACCCACGGTTGAGAATGTTACGATTACAAAATAAAATGATTCAAACATCGATAATTTAGCTTCAGCACTTCCACGCTGTATATGTTGAATTCCGCATATTCTGAAATGTAAGGATTCTCTTTCAATGTATATTTTTGCTTGTGACCATCATTTTTTATGTTTTTAACAGACATGCCCAATAACTGACCATAATCAACCAAAATAATGCTGTTTTGGGGGCAAACAACAGTTATATAATATATATAATCTTCAAAAAAAAAGTAGCGGATATTGAAATGCAAATACCTATGCAGGTTGTGATATGATAAATAGTCATGGACACTTGACATGCTTTGAGAACATGTTTACAGATGAAGAACTTATCGCCCCAACAGAACCACTGAGCTGCACATGTGACACGCAATAGCACCATACACGTGGGAGAGGTTCATTGTCAAAGGAAGGGTTGATGAAAACTGCTGTGTGCTAGTTTATCCTATCCATGTTTGCTTTCCAATCGGTTCTTGTGTAGCATATCTTTGCTTTAGTGTGCTATGTTTAATTTGCAATGAGACGTCTTCAACATGATGAATGTCTACGTGCTATTGGCATGCTTCAAATGGGTTCTACACAGCGAGTAGTAGCCAACATGCTTAATGTGTCACAGTCTGTGAACAGCAGACTGTGGAACCGGTAACAACAAACACACAATGTGGATGATAGACCTCGTTCAGGTCATCCTAGAGCCACAACACAAACCCAGGATCGATACATTCGTACACAGGTCCTGCGAAATCGAGGACAAACGGCCAATCAGCTTTCTGTAAACTTGTACCAAGTTAAAGGTATTCGAGTTACACCACAAACAATTAGAAATCGGCTACATGCAGCCCATTTGCATGCACGACGACCGCGAGTTGTGTCTCCATTAACTCTCCAGCACATGGCAAACAGGCGTCAATGGTGTAGAAATTGGGGTAATCATCGATGGACGCGTGCAATGTTCTCAGATGAGTCTAGATTTTTCTCAGGATTTCATCGATAGGCATGCTCGCGTTTGGAGGCGTGTTAACATCAGACAGCATGACAGATTCTGTTATGGTGTGAGAGGAATCACCATGACTGGCAGAACAGATTTGCATATTGTTCAAGGAAGGGTCATTGGTGTGTACTACCGTGACCACATCCTGGCACCGATAGTTCTGCTCTTTGCTCAACATGCAGGTCGATGTTTCATCTTTCAAGATGATAAAAGCCCATGCCCACCACGCCCGTGTCGTGAATGACTACCCCAAGCATCACCATATTGTCCATATGCCTTGGCCAGCCATGAGTCCTGACCTTTCCCCTACGGAGCATGTCTGGGACATGATTGGGAGACATATTCGTCGACGTCACCGTCATCCGACAACACTGCAAGAATTGGTCGTGGCACTGCAAGAGGAGTGGGTCAGATTGCCCCAAATCGTGATTGGATGGTTGATTAGGAGCATGCCATGACGAATTGCTGAATGTCTGAGGATTGGTGGAGCACTTACTCATTATTAAGAAAAAAATCAAAAACATCCATTTTCACTTTTGACAGTATCTCTTTGCGAGTGAAATGAGGCCATCAGATAAGCCGCCCATATGAACTGTTTATGTTCATGTGTAAGCAATTGGCCTGTTATCAACTTACACTGGTTACTTCTAATATTGTTTTTGAATATCCCCTACTTTTTTTTGAAGAGTATATAATTAGAAATTAAAGATAATACAGATTTGAAAAGTCTTTGATACACGCCATTTTCCTAGAATCTAGACGTTTTTTTTCAATCAGCTTGTGAAAATGTTAATATGAATACTTACGTTGTATAAACTAAACTAACAACACTGGCTAACAGCAGTAATATCTGTTGAGATAATGTAACTGACATGGTCTGAAATCTTTGACGTGTTAAATGAAGATCATTCTGGAATAAATGACAAATTAAAATAAAAATAGTCCAAGAAATTACTACACAGAAATAGCATGAATTTTACGGTAATAATATTTATCTATATGCATTTGGAGAAGTTGTAGTCACTGTAAGGCATACAGCAACTGACAACGAGTCTTTGAGAATGGTATTTCCTATACTTACAAATACTCGCTCTAGAGCTATCTCTGCTAACCAAACATTGAGAAATATTGGTACAAACAGGTTCTGTAACAGGGGTGGATAACATACCTGAAAATATAATAAATGAAATAACAGTAAATTATAAACCCATCTAATTAAAGCTATATCATCATGAGGTTATATAATTACAGTTCAGAACTATCATTTTCATTCTATACATGTACATCACAAAATATAAAAACCTATATATATATAAATGATGGCAAATTTTATTTTAATTCAATGCATGTACAACACAAAATACAAATATTTTTGACTGAAATATAGAAAGCTAATTAATTTCATTTTCACAATACACTGCTATAAATAAAATTCTGAGGGATTATCTTTTATAAATTGTATTTGTAAGTCCTACTTACTGTGGCAAGAATTGGTAAGGAGCAAATCAACTCTAAAATAAATGCAGTTGTACGAATATGTTCTCCTCTGTGACCCTGAAAAATAATCAAAATTTTGTCTGTCAAACTTTTTAATGTGGTTGATTATTACAACATTATAATTGTAATACAGGTAAGTATTCTGGTAATAGACCTATCTTTTTAATAAAAATATTTTATTTTGCTGTCAGACATTTACAAATAAACTGTTCTGAACATCTACATGTAGCTAGTGTTCAAGAGAATCCACATGAGTTGGCCATTTTGGAAAAAAATCACATAGGCTCGCCTCATTTATCACATTAATAACTAATGACGCCAATATCAAAATCTAAAATTAATTTTTTCATTTACCTTTGTAGAAATATAGACCAATAAGAGAGCTTTAGATAATGTAATGGCTGATAAAACAACTTGCACAATCCATAAAGGCAGTGGTCTATCAACCCAAAACACAACATACCTACAACAATAGAATATAAACTATTAGTATTAAACAACAATCAGTATATTATGGTAAGCCTAAAGAAATTAAATCGCATTAATTCAGGTCATAACAAAGTACTGAATTAAATTTATCTGATGTTTTACTTTGATGAGTGATGAGACAATATGCATAAAATTTTGATCTGAAACATTAAGCCTTCGACATGGTTATTTCTCAATACTGGCTGTATCTATAGACCAAAGACAATATTTTGATGCGATTGATAACTACAACATTCAAATTGTAAAATGGTATCTATTATAATTTTTTAAGTAAGATTAGGAATTACACTTACCAATTAATACTGGTAGATGAAAAGACTGTTTGTTCTTCACTACTATCATTAGAATTAGCATTATCACAGGGAACGCCATTACTGGAAAATCAAAATAGTGCCACTGGTGGAGATATAAATATACACATATATTTCAACAATAGACCTGGAGCTAGAGGAGTCAGCCTAGCTGAAAGTGTACCAATTTTCTCCTATATGGTATCAATGCATGTATATCTGGTATCATCAGAATGTAAGTCTGCCAGGTTTCTGATGTCGGGAGAGGCTGTGAGGGTTGTGATTCTGGGTATGAATTCTTGGGCTAGATTAGCTCAAAAGTTTCCCATATGAAAATCGTACAGCAGTGTACCTTACGTCTTCAAGTATTACAAAAACACTTTGACAGATATTTGTAGTGGTGGGGTACCCCTGACAGAGCTATTTAATTGCAAGACATTTGTAGGGAATGAGTATCCCTGACAAGTGTTATCTATTTTCCAGACCACAGCTAGGCTAGATTAGCTAAAATCTGTACCACCTTCTTAGCACATATGGAAGCAGGAACTATTCTTTTTGTTCAAAAATGCATTTTTAGCCCCATAAAAATTTTTTTACCCAAAAATCAATTTCTTGTAACTGCAGTTTATCGCCTCTTCCATAAGTGCTAGGTATTAGTATTCTACCCATCCTGGCACAATTTTTAATTTTTTGGACCACGGGAACAGTGCCTGTTAATCTAGCCTAGTTGGGGTCCGTGGCATTTTGGGCATGTCTGTTAGGGGTAACCCTCCGCAAACACTGTCCTGCAGTGGTCATTCATGATTTCATGGGCAGCATTATCATATCATTTCTTTTCAGAAGCCACATGTGTTCAGATGGTACAGAAAACTAGGGACCTGTGCAAATTGGCAGTATAATAAATCGGAAATCGGAATTGCACACTGCATGGCTTATTTCCCTCTTGATTAGCCTGTATGATGCAGAAAAGTATGACGTTAAACCCTATTTCATTTCATTTAATTATACTTGTAATTGCAACTTGACAATAATGATCTCACAATAGACCGGACAGTCAACACTGCTTGTTAAAACATGGGTCATTGTATAAGATAAAATACTTACCATGCATATGTTTGTGCATCATCTAGTGTAACACGAACAACATATGTTATACATATAATAAGTTTGACTATCAGATCAAAAAACGTACTAGCTAATCCTGAAATATACAATCAAAATAATTCAATACAGTTACAATTTATACTTCAAAATTTATTTATAAATTGAGATAATGCTAATGTTGTATTCTTGGAAAAAATATTTGCTGTTTGAGAAAAAGAAAATAAGTGAACATTTGACTGAATCTGAAAATTTTGAAATGAGAGCCTCTGTCTGTCAATATCATAAATTCATAAGAACGCTTACTTTAGTTTGATCTGTCTGACTCTTTCCGTGGGCCTTTTGATTGCCATTCTGATTGTTGACAAACAGAGGAGAGTCAGAAGTAAGGTTCTATTAGGGTTTTTTGGTCATCTGTCTGTCAAAACTGACAGACTGAAATACATATCGGACAGTTTATTGTTACGTCACGAAACACTCTATAGATTGTAGCTTTTGGTTAATTGTCATAAAAATTACATCAATTCTGATCTACATATTGACAATCAAATTTGTGATTCCTACCAGATAAGCCAGGTGGAAGCTACAATTACTTGGCTTATAAATACTATATAAATAAATCATAAGAGGTAGGAGGTGAGGGATGTCATAATAATCCAAAAATCAAACATTACTTACTAGAGTGTGAGTTTCGTATAAGGAGGCGTCGTAAACGACCTCGGATGGATACATCTTGAGTATTGAATTTAACTGGTATTGAACTGAAATAAAACAAGTAAATGAAAATTCTATATCCTATAGATAAATAATAATTTCATTTAAATATTACATAATTACTTGTATCATCCTGTGGGTGTGTCTAAGGAAGTTTATGGGAGACATTCTTCTCTGCCAACTCCAGGATTCGAACCTGCAACATTCTATCCTGAACGTGACCCATAATATCCCATAATAACATTCAAAAATATATGATGATGATGATGATGATGATGTAGGGATAACAGCAAGAATAATAATGATGATAACAATGATTAAAATAATTATGATAAGTGATTAAAATAATGATGACAATGATTGAAATAATGATGATAACAGTGATTAAAATAATGTCAATAATTAAAATAATGTCAATAATTAAAATAATGATAACAATGATTAAAATAATGATGATAACAATCATTAAAATAATCATAGATTCTCTTATACCAAAAAGGGGCATGTAAAAAGGTCAATAACCCTATACTATGGTGCTGAATTTCAGTTATGTATATTAGGGTCCCAGCTTACCTTAAATCGTTGGTATCATCTTGTTCATCATCTGAGTCGTTATCTAATGCTCCCAGATCAAACTGAGCACAGACGGGAATAGAACGACGATAAACAGACATTTTGGAATTCCAACTTTATTGTCACCAAGTTTTCAGTGTGATAAAATGTATTTTTAGATATTTTAATGGAATAAAATGAGAGTTCCTCTTGGTAACACCGATCGCTGTTGGTAAAATTCCTTAAGTTATATTTAAAACAAAACTTTTTAAAATTGTACATAAAAATTCAGTTCTGCCTCTTGGAAACACAATTTGAGATCTTTGGTTTAAAAATTTTAAATTAAAAAAAAATCTTTCTTGGATGAATAAAATTAACTTCCTGGTGTTCAATATTATGTATATGGTTAATCAGTTTTTACAATAAAAACTATAAAATCCAAAAAAGTTTACAATCGAATAAAATCACGATATCTATTTTGTAAGTCTTGGTTTTTGTGCACTTTCCTTGTATCTTGGTTAAATAAAAAACATTTCTTGAAAGGTTTAAAAATTCAATACTTGAAATCTAATTTTAAAATATTGACATTAAAATACTGATTTCTGTTGTACTTCCTCATTTGTTGATGTAAACTTTCTTTTTTAAGTTGAGTTTTAAATCAAACATATTTTTATTAATATATTTCAATTGCTCTTCAACATCAATACCACAACACAAAATGGTTAAAAACTTTGAACTATTTGAGTATTTCTTAGTATCACCGTTTTTAATGTATTATTACATTTCCTTCAAGTTTGTACAATTTCTGTTATACATCAACTTGTTCCTGTCATTCTTCTTGTTAGTCTTTAAGATAAACATGTAAAATCGCTGTTGATTTCTTCATCCAAGAAAAGAAAGATGCAATATATACAATTACATAGTAATTACTAATCCTTAAAAACTTTCATTATGCTCTTCACGATTTGCATTTTCCAGATTACCAGCAGATCATTTGCAAAATTTAATTTTCAATTGAAGCCACGGTTATTTCATCAATTTTCCACTTCTGCTTTAGGTTTATTTTCATACACTCCTGTAATAGGTTAATTTTGGGAATTTCTTTACACCTCTTAGATGTAAGTGCTTAAACTTTCTAATTAAAATATTCTACTCAGCTGTTTCCATGGTACTTTCGCTAATTTTTCCGATCATCAAAGAATCTTACTTCATTATGAAGTAGTTCTGCAGCACTAAAAACTATTTTCTAATCTAAAACCCGTAAAATCCTTGGAGTCTTTAGTACAGATTGAAATCTAAAAGATTATATAAAACAACCAGATGCATCTTTAACTAAAACTATGCTACTACTAAGGTAAATCTGTTAAATTCTTTTGAGTTTCATCCTTTATTTTGTTATTCCTATCTTTACCAATGTTTACTTTGGTCTTTCACATCTGAAGTCTGTTGCTATAGCCTCTTGTTGTCTGCTTATTTCATTTTACCAGCATTCTATCTTATCATCCTTCTGAAAAGAAAAAATATGACAGCAATAATAACATACATTTATTTACAAAACTGAAAAATTATGACAGTAATAAAATACATTTATTTACAAAACTGAAACAGTTACTCTGACTTTAAAGGTCTAAGAGTAACAACAATTAAGAAATTTGTAGAAATTCTAATTATTACCCCCCACCCCCAAAATACTAACTCTCTTTACTGACAGGTTAACTACAGTAGTATATATAACAGACAGTTATTACATAGTTCTATGATGTATTCAGTGACTCCTTGAATTAATGAGAGAGATATAAGGATGCATCATGACAAGGTTATTTCAGGACTAAGGACTCCAGAAATACTTATTCAGGTATTTTGCAAGCAATATGATGGAAAAAATGGATGTGACCTTGACTGGAAACCACACCATATGAAGCATTGTCCAAAGATTTGCTTATATTCGCTGTGGGTAAAATCTTTAATCTGAATCCAAGCTGGCAGATTATTCACTCATTAGGGTTTGTTTTCTTAATCAAATAATCAATAGGAGTACATTTTAGCATAAATAAAGCTGTGATATTGTTCGAAAAATTCACAATCCAGATCAATGACTTTCATTGGATCATCCATCTGTCTATCTAATTTCGGTGTTAATCGACAGTGAAACATGTATCAAATAGATAAACTAGCTTTAAATGAACAACATTCCTCTGTTCAAGATGAAAACTTCATAACAAATTAACACATCTTTACCCCTACACCCTTGTTTACATAATATACATTCACATCACCTCTTATATACATTCACGTAAATTTAAAATCTACCCAACCAAATAGTTTCAAGGGGTAAGACAAGTACAACAATCTGTTAAAGAAAGACACATTATCAAATTCAACAAATAACAGTGCACAACTCTGACAGAAATACAGAAATAAATAGAATAGGTTTTATGTGATGTATTCAGAAATAACCCAAGAATAGACTCACCTATCTATCGAAAATCTAAATTTCCAGTAAGACATTTTACAATTTATACAACCAATAATAAATTTTAAATAATCTGTATCTCAGCTCTGGATTTGCAGATTTGCAAATTTGTTTAAAATTTTGTATACAATCTAATCTGAACATCCCTCTACAACTGTACACAGTCAAATGACATAAAATTGAAAATCATTTCATCTCAATCTTCAAAGCCCCGACATAAACCAAAATATAGAGCACAAATTCCCCCCCCCCCCCCCCACACACACACACAAAAAAAGCACACCATTTTGGTCCAAAAATTATTCAGATCGACCAATTTTAACGTATCTTAAAAATGTCTGAATCTAAGTAGGCAATTAATTTTCATCTCTCATCTAAATGTAGACAATGTAATAGTTCAGGTACATTTTTAATTCTGTTAATGTTAAAAACATGAAGTGGAACAAAGCAACACATGAGATGAAATTATTAAAATTTACTTACATGTAGACTTAATGAAAAATTATAGTAATTGATAATAGTGTAATTTTGTGGAGTTGGGTGGCTGAAGAGTTGATCATAAGATCATGGGATTGATCTTGGACTTAGGTCACCAGCCTAAGTTTGTGTGTTTTCTCCAGGTAAGAAATGAATATATATAATATGAAATTAGCTCTGAAATTACTTGGTTCTTGTTGAATAGTTGCTAAACCCCATCTCTCGCCGAGTCTTATTTAGTGATCATCAAAAGATAGATATGTACAAACCAATACAAATAGATATATTAAAACGCAATTACTATAGCTCACCTGCAAAAAATGGGATCCTTAGAAAACCTTTCATAAATAAAACTAATGAAATATTTACTTGACTACAAACTAAATGCAATATATATATTTACATGCATTAGACTGTGACGTACATATAACAAAATCTGAACGTCATGAACTTTTTTGCATTAAAATCACTGACATGAAACGTCAAAATAAATCTTATCTTACAGGTGAATCTTACTATGATAGGCAATCAGGACAACCTGCCCCAGATCAAATAAACGCTACATAAACAAAGAGATGATAGAACAATAAGATACATATCCCCAGGGAAGATATTGAGGATTGTAATGGGTAATGATTTGGTCTACTAATTTCCATTTTTTTGCTTTTGTTTACCTTAAATGCAGCTTATCTCGATCATGGACTCAATCTGAAGTAGATGTATTGAATGTTAACTATGTTAAATCAACACTTTGATTTTCTCCCCAAGTCAAAGATGATTTGTTCTTTTCGTACATATTGATTACATTTTGAAGGCTAAAAACAAAACTGGGAAGTTTTGTTAAGATTTGATTTACTATCTAGAAATTAATTTTAACTTTTAACCATCATAAATAAGATATATTAATATCAATAACTAATCTACCAACAAAACAAGGAACAAACCAATCAAAATTACAACCCAAAATCAGATCAGCTTCTTTAATATACATAAGTTTTAATCTGACCACAAAAGAAAGTAAGAATTTGATTTACTATACTAGAAATTAAGTTTGTTTGTGATAAATAAAATATGTTGATATCAATAATTAATTTACCTCCAAAAGGGCCAAATTAATTACAAATTACCAGGTACAATCCAAAATCAAAATCCTATCAGTTACTTTCCATGTAAGATTGATAAACTTTAATTTTAATCTTAAGTGTATTTACTCAATTTGTCAACTGATTAATGTGTAGACTAAAAGAAATAAAACCTTATAAAGGAACACCCAACCGGATCAAAGAAAACAAACACCGGTAATAGTTTAACATTTGGGTACTAAACTTTACACAAGATGGTATAGTCATATAAATCTTAAAGTAGCAGTAGTCCCAGATAATGTTTACATTTGTTTAATTGCCATCAAGTAAATATACCTTATAATTGAACATACTAACACAGGGTACAATTTTATGGATACACAATTACTGGGCAAGTATATTAGATTTTGCAACAATTTGGCATTTTAATGGAATGTCGAGATAGTGCCATTATTCCCAAATCAAAGGTGTTAAGTTTTAATTGTATTTGATTGTTATTTTTGTTGAATATTCTGTATGTAGTTGCCTACTTTTCACATACCTGTATCATTTGCTTGATAAAGACGTATGTATCCTCGTTGAAACGTCGCTTAGTATTAAACTCAGTAATTGTGTATCCATAAAATTGTACCCTGTATTAAGCCAGAGATATATAAATGATTTATCAAACTTGAATCATAGTTATCTGCTCTGGAGAAACCTCTTCTTGAAACTAATCCAGTGTCAAAAATATACTAGATTTGACATAATCTTTGAACAAGGTTGTCATAATAATTCAATGGACATGGTTGACATAATAAATCAATGGACATGGTTGACATAAATCAATGGACATGGTTGATGTAATAAATCGATGGAATGGTTGATTTACAGAAATCTCTAAACCATGACCTTGTAATATTTATGTTTTCATTAATTACAGACCAGACATAATTACGTTTGTTAAGCAAGTATCTAGTACAAAACTATATTTGTTTTCATGGGTAAATCACACTTTAAGGCTTAAAGTAAGTGTTACAATTTTTTCAAGATTTCTGAATCTGATAAACATCATGACACACCTTTTCAAGATTAAATAAGATCAAGTTTATCTACGTACTTTAATGACATTTTTACGATTGGCACTCAAAATATAAAACATAAATTGCTTTTTTGCATACTGTAATTATAATTCAACTGTACAAATTGCACGTTCTCATAAAATGTCCAGAAATTAATCATCAACTGGTTAAAAATTTGACGTTTGTACACACATCATTCTTCACCAGACTTCGTAATGGCCAACATAAAGCAGTATTCCTTATAAAAAGAAACTCACATAGATTTAAAAAATGAATTAATCATGGTAAGTACCCATTAATACTAGAAATTTAAAATACTCTAAACCTTTAATTTATATCAGATTTTCATTTCTAATCAATGATCATTAACAAACAAATGAACTAATTCTCTTCAAAATCTATGATATAAAATTCGTAAAAATTCTAAATATTTACTCATATGATCTTATGCCCACGCATTAACCTCCCCCCCCCCCCTACCCGTTTGACTTTCAACGTCCTACTTACATAGCCACTGATTTAAGACTATATCCAAATTAAATTCCTTTCATACAGCTGAAGGGGATAAGAATACTATATTATAGCGTATGGGCCTACTAATAACCTATGTTTTCACGAGCCGGTATGAACAGTCATCTGCTAAATTTGCAGCTAACAGGGTAGAATTCCTTATTTTAATTACCATGAGCTTAATGTAGTCTATAAATTTATTTTTCCAGATCTTAAGTTATAGTAATACCATATTTTCAGTTAAAAAACAGATAACCAAGTTCCACCAGATAGTTTGACTTATACAAAATGTAAGAGCACCGATTGGCACCACATTGTGTTGTATTCAGATGCTCTACAAAATAAAATGAAATAGGGTTTAACGGCCTACTTTTCTGCCCCAACTGGGCTATTAAAGACAGGCGTACATCATACATTGTGCCATGAGAGAAATTTTGCCCAGACAGCAATGCTACGACATAATCTACCGATTCCAAGTGTCAAGGATTCTTTAATGTGCATGCCAATGTGTACACAGGACCTTGGTTTTTCATTCCATGCCAGTCACTCTGTTATGCTCCACACTGTTAAGGATATGTGGGAATCATGCCATAAAATCCAGATGAACTTCCTCGGCAAACACTGGGATCTCCATGTAACAAGCCAATGTCAATTCACTGAGCTATCGTGGTAGATATGTTATCATTATTATTGAAATTTGAACATTTTCATTCCAACAATCATTAAATTTCCTTTAAATGGCAGAACGATCAAAGTCAGCTTTGGAAATGAAAGTGCTGAATGGATGACAAAATAAACTACTAAAGTTATTGCATACATGAAATTAAAGACAAATTACATCCATACCGAAACAAAATTTTGTCAGGAAATCAATGCCTAAATCAAGAATGATCGAGACCATTTA